TCTTCATCCCAAAAAAAAAGAACAAAAGGCAGCTTCTGAACAAAAAGCTTAGTACATGTCCAATGATGGACATCGGCATTTCACAACTATCAGGAATACCTTGCGTAGCTAAAAAGACCCGACCAAGAAGAGAAACCATTACGTTAAGAGGAGGGAGGCTGTATATGTTCAAGTTGTCAAAACAGCATGCCTACAGCAATAGAATCTTACCAAAACAGAAGATAAAGATGGAGAGAGCTCAAGCTATTCCGGAACTGGATTGACACCATCACATACATACCTGTTACTCATACATGACTTAGTCGTTGTTCAATACTTTTATGATTTCTTTACAGGACTAATTCTAAGCACGACTAGCCGACAATTTTGGAAATGTGACAGTATCCCTCAATTGAGTTGCCGCAGTTCACGCACAGTGGGATGGGTATGGAGAATCTTGGTGATCAGATTTGGTTTCATCGCACCTTGACATTTAAAAATCCCACTGAGAATGATGTTGTTGACTATGAAACCGAAGGACGACAAATAGACATGGTACTAATTTTGTTCCGGAAGATAAGTCTCATCATACCGCCTAGAAAAGCAACTGTTCCAGACTATTTTGGTGGCAAATGGCACTCAATTATCTGGTCGTATGAAATGAAGTGATCTAAAGAACTCATAGCATCTAAATTTTTATCATCTTAGTTGAACAGTCAACTAGAAGCGGCGAACCATCTCTACACAGAGAATGGATTAAATATTCAAATAATAAATCATTTCGATCGATTGCATTCACCGTTGACAAAGAAGGACTAATCTTACGTGCGATTAAATAGGCCGACAGGAAGTGAGCTAATTGAAATTACGACAAACAAGGTGCTGAAACACACATATAATTAGCGCAGAACTTTAAATGACAAACGAAAGGCTTGCATTCGGAATGAGTTAAGTGAAGGACCTTTACGCCTTCTTGGGCAAGAAACTGTGCTACCATCACATTATTTCCCATCCACACACGTCCTACCATTCGACGTCTTCTGGACTGGAGACACAACTTGTGTGGCAGCCCCTGTGAGCATTAGCAGAAGACACTTGCTGCCTTCAACATTGAGTGGCACCACTGGAGTGCAAGATGAAGTACCTTTAACTAAGCCATCATTTGAAAAGGCCGGTAAATAATGAAAATAACAACTTAAAAACTTAAAAATTAACCAAGCTAATGACTACTCCACCATTGAGTACATCCAAAATGATACACAGCATTCTGTAGTGACCTTGACCTCCAATGTGCATATTATAGATATAAGAAAACATGATCAGTATCAATGCTGTCATGGCGAAACGCCATAACACACGAACCATATTAACGAGAAAGGATAGAGAGCAGGAAATTCGACAATTCACTGCACGTAATGCCCCTCCTAACTCATATCCACTCATGTCTTCCTCTTCTTCCCCATCAACAAATCAGACGGTTTGTTTAACGCCGCACATGTGTTACCTAGTAATGCCTGCTCAGCAATTCAGCGTGGCAAGATCTGTATGGGAAAATGAATTGAAATTGTGGCTGCTGAATCAGAATTGTTTTGACACAAAATCCTCAAACAGCAACATTTATCAGGCACGGTTAAAGCAAATCAGTAGACTAAATTTGATGACTTTAGATTAGAGAGCATATTACCGCGGCCGTATCACACACCGTATCAAGTCTACCCTACTTCCTGGTGGCTGTCATCCATGACTTGAGCCAGTCAGTCCAATCATGCCATCTTTGCTCAAACCACCGAATGATGTGAGAGTAAGCAGAGTGACAGTGTTAAATGAAGTTAATCACAAACAAAGACACAGACTTTAAAGCATAGACATTTCGATGTCCGCCTGGACTAGCCTTTATAGCGATGAAATGAAAGCCTTACTCGCATATGTTGCACAAAAAAACTTCCCAAACAAGCCTATATTTAAACTGCTTCCATTTTAGTACACCTTGCAGTATCATGAACATCTACGAAAACTAAGACAAAGGTTTTGGAGGAAACATTCGAAAGTTTGTGAGACCGGTTTCTCTAACTTGAATTCGACTATCCTGTTTACAAGAGGATTGCACTACATTTAACACATTCGCCTGATGGCGACGTACAGATGGATGCTTGCAGTCCTTCCAACACATGTTCAGTTAGACTACTCTTTTGGTGAGGAGGGATTACAGAAGACCACCTTTACTTGAGCATTTTTACATTTACCATCCTTTGCTCAAAGAAGTAAAGAAACAGTATTTGGAGCAGGATGTCCAATTTGCCGCGTAGTAGCAAGCTTCCTCTCGTGTCCTTTCAACCCATTAAAGATAATAGGCGCCAAAAAGTAAAATCCATCTGCATGAAAATCCAAACAGGGAATGCAAGAGTGATTGTTGCCACGCGGAAGAAGAAATGGGGTGAAGAAAAGCAAGAAGCGTAATAAATTAGTGAACCCAATGTGAAGTATCCATTAAATCCGTTATCAGAAAGCAACAATAGCACGGTTTGTGCAGCACCTCATAGACACAAACACGGTTTGAAGGGCCCTTTTAAGTTTTATTGAGTGTTTTAAACGAATTTGTGCCAAAATGGATTGCAGGACCAATGCTTCAAATTAAATAAAGTTCATGGATTCAAGATTGTCATAAATGCATGCTTTTGTGCGCAAAAGGTTCAACAACCATTTCGCCACTGTAACTGTTCAAACCGACTAATTAACGACTCCACTACTTAATGAAGGAGCATTAACTCCACCATTATACAAAGTACGCCAACAGCCTTCTGCGATGTGGACACCTACAGAGTCTAGCACAGTGAGTGCTACCCAGTCTCCAGACAATGAAGAAGGTTGCCAGGGTGGGAGAAGAGGAGGAGTTACATTACTCACTTCAAATGCATCAAACACCCAAATATAGGAGGAAGGACATTCAACGCACCAGTAACTGCAAGATTCCCACAGTAGCTCCTCCCATGCGAATCACTCACAGCTAGAGTAGGTATGCTTCCATCACAGTTTCATTTTCTGTATGCACTCTATCGTGCATTGAGTTTATTGAAGAAAACTGAGCGTTTCGAAAAGATTCCGTTCCAAGAACTTGCTGGGCAAATCTTAAACTCGAGTTGATTAAAAATGCGTGGCTCCGAAATCATAACACAAGTTTTCTTCATTTTCTTGTAAAAATTAAAAGGAGACTAACAGTAAGTTTTTTTCAATAACTAGTTCCAAATTACCAAAGGGACACTGGTGCTTAATATTAAGACTTCAACTTGCCAACTTAACCTGTAAAAAAAATACCAACGATCAAACAAAGCAATCATCTCTCGTATCCTTGCGGAAATACAAGTAAATACATTTAGCAGGCGAAAACCGAGAATCCAACTAACCCAGGTCGGAGGTCTGAGCTTATACGAACTGATGTTCCATGTTATGGCCAGTGATGCAGCAAAGATAAGGAGGCAGCATAGAAAGTAGGCAGCCGAATTGGTTCTGTCACGACCCCTCTCCAGATTCACAATGGACAGTTGAAAAAGCTGACAAGATGACTCACGTTAAACATCAACAGACCAGAAAACAACCCAATTTCATCAATACAATCAGTTGAAAAGTTCCATTGGAAAAAAATTCAATAAACTTTAAACCAACTTCACATTGACCAACAGGCGAAAAAGTTACTTAATAGTGCAGATTGATATTAGCCTAAGTTAAGCCAATGCAAGGCACATTTCTAATGAAAAGTGAATGTAGTCATGGAAAATATGCTAGTTTAACACTAGGCTGATGTGCTGCTAATGATGAAGAGTCTGCTAAAACAATAACAAGCCTTTTAATGCATTGAATACTTACGATCGCTGTGCAAAGTGCACTTGGACACAGGTAGTTCCAAGCATAGATATTCTCTTCGTTTGCCATGTTGGCGAACTTCCAAATTAAAACTGCCAGTAACATCAGGTATGGTAGCTGAAAAGGTAAAAAATAAATTGTTACCTACGTGTTTAACGAAGTACAGGAAAGTCCATCTTCGGGGACGATGCGGGCTCCGGAGCAGTATTATTAAATATGGCAAGGAAATTACCGCCAGATAACAAAAAATAATGGTTGGAAGTGTGACATATATGTCACATTCTGTAAACCTGGGGACTTCACTGGTCCATTCGCTTGTAAGATTCTAAAGCTTATAATTAACCATAAGTAACTTGCGTAATGATACCCCAGGCAGAAAGCCTCTCTGAAAGTACTCATCATGCACTAGAACAATAGCGCGCGCCCTCACGCTGCCTAATGTAACTGGCACATTAAAACATTCGTCTCGTGTTGCAAAATCGAGTGCTAATTTTAATTACCATAAGTTGTGTTAAGGTTTTGTCCTTGTTTTCTAGACGCTTTTTAAAAATGCAAACACTGTTGCTTTTTGTTTGCTTCGTATCCTGGATTAGTTTGATTTACCTGAACACCTTTGCCTTCGTTTCCTTAAATAACATTTGTCTTCCATTGTTTGCAGTGCTTACTTTAAAAGGGTGCAACTTCATTTACTTGGTCAGCCAAATTTTACAGTTTCTAAAGTCCAGTGAGGGCCCTAGTGCTCATCTTGTTTATGTCGACTGGTCTGGTCTTTAGGACTTTCCAATCCTCATCTCTATCCTTTGTCTGAACACAAGTATTTGGCTGAGCCTCATACTCTTGTAGTATCAGGTTCGATGCTCCTGGTACTATACAACCCGTATGAATCACCACGTCATGCTCCTGCTGAGTAGGTTGGCTTTTGGTCTGGATCATAGCCCCGTCTCTACTATTTCTGCCTGAACATAAATAACAAGTCACGCCTAATGCCTTCTGAAATCTGATAGGATGCCTTGAGGCCTAAAATCAAAACGCTACACTAGACTTCAAAAGCAGTACTTTTTACTTGAATTTTATTGATTTCAAGTGAGCACGTTAATAATGTTCATTTATAAAGTAGAACTTCGGAGGAGAGATCACTATTTTCACTTTCCATCCAATGCACTCTATTTAATGTCACAGAGAAGAGCCACTCCTCGAAGTATCCAATAATTGGGATCCCGGTTTGTCCTCAGTTGCAGTGGAAAGATGAAATTAAGGTCCGTTCTGGCAGGTTTTTTGTATACCGGACACGTGTAGTATACCGTCGTTGTTGTCGGTGCTGCTGAAGGCTGGCCAGTGATGCAGCAAGTGGACAAGTGGACGACAGGCAGGGGTGTGTAGAGTAGTTTCGGCGGTGGTTCCATTAGACGTCCAGCTTTTCTGTCCCACCCAGCTCCATCGAGGTAAAGGCCGTAGATATAAACACCTGTGTCGAAATGTATTTTAACTTTTGTAAGTGCAGGAACCGGAACTCCATATTTTTATAGCAACACTTTAAAAATACTGTTACACTGTGTAATGTATACCAGTGTTTAAGGTGACCTTCATAGGGAAGAGACGGGAAGCGAATTCGAACGCGAATCCCGTGCTTGAGGACCGTGAGGAGTCCGTCCTCGGGTCATATCTGCTACTTTGGCTCATATGTACTCCTATCCCGATCTTCCTGTATTCAATGCCTCATAAATTGACTGCAACTAAACCCCTCTTGAGGTCCGCGGTTCAAGGGCACGAGGGTAAGATGGCAGTTCCTACACACAATCTCATCGGGCTACTTTTTTGTTAATAAGCCGGAGTTCGACGAATATTTGAATCGAGGCAAATGTAAACTTTGAATATACATATTACTGTTGCTACATAATTTCGTCCTGATTAAGGGCGTAAAAGTGGCGAGTCTTTTGGTTGATCCGTATCTATTCACAACAAACAGTACTGTGGCTTAAAGAAATTCATGATTTCTACTTTAAGAAGTGATGAAGTAATTATTTTACACTGCCACAACATTGGCCCATCTTAGAGTATTATTTATCGGATTTACAGTGTAAGACAAGTTTCTACAAATTAATTGCACGCATTGGTTAATACACACCTAAAATCTGCGCATTGGGCGAAAAATGGTAGACACCGAGAGTAATTTTACCTTCTGGCGGTAGCCGTGAGACCTCTTCATGGGACATTCTTGTGACTTCATTCGTCAGAACTGCAACATCCAGGGCGAACTTGTTGGCCCTGGCTATTTCCTGTCGCATAGCTGTTAGGAAACCCTAAAGCATTAAAAGTGCTGTAGCTGATCCATTCCACTTGTTGCTGTTCGTGGCATTATATGCCCAACTTCTTCATGTTAACACACATTTCGACACTCGAATTACTTTCCTCTTCCATTGCTTTAAATACTTCCACTTTAAGTTGCATGTTTAAATAAACATTTTACACCTTAATCCGTTTAATGCGTTACCCCTATTTCAGGCTTACTCATTTGTTTATTTCAGTAAATAAAAAGGATTAAGCAGGCCAGAATTTACCTGAGGATTGAAAAAACCGGTCAACCAGTAGGCCTTGGGTCTGCCGTGAAAAAGCCAGCTGTGCAATTGTGAGTTCCTGTCCAACAAGTCGGTAAACCAAAACCCCAATGTCGCCGAGTCCCACGAGACCTAATGGATGTCAAAAATTAATTCCGATGAGCATGTAGAAAACCGTGTTTGCCTTTAAACTGCTCGTTATTGGACGTTCGTTATGGTGGAGTGCGAACCATCTATTGTGTGTGTGTTTTCGGCTGGCCATTTTCCCGTCCCTTTACTCATACGCTTTCTTTCTAATTCGATGCAGAGATGGTGTACCACTTCCTTCCGACACAATTCTAGCCTCGCTCAAAAAAGAGCCAATCCAATTATGCTTCGCGAGCTATGCTCATCCACAGCTCAATGTAAATGAAGTGCTTTTGAGAATCCTAGGCCACCTTGCTGCGGTGCCAACAAAATTTGGACAGAAAGCCAGATGACCGTCTGTCAGAGCTAAAGCAGTGCTAAAATGTAGAGGTAAGGATGTCGGACAACGGTTTATAAAACTTACTACTACTAGTACGGAATCCCGTCAATTTTGTTTTTTGTTTTGGTGTCAGTACCCTTGAGTTCGTTATACTTTGATATCACACAAAGTTTTATGGAAAAAAATGTCGTTGCTATCTTCGTTTATACATCGCTTTTACTTCCAACCAGTTCTAACATTTAAAAAATTTCTCTAAGGAAAGGAGATGAGGGAGTGTGGGGACTTTCCATGGTACAACTGCTTGAAATACAATACGATGTTTTGTAGTGCCTTGAAGGGATAAAAATGGCTTTATTTTCGCTTGGTGATCAGTCTTAGCTATTACCTTTTTCTCTTGAAAGGTTACTCAGCCCTCAAGGAGAAGCTTGGATGATCTGCAGGAAATATGGTGTTTGACACAAGAAGTTGGTTAATTGCCCAAAGGAGCTTCTACATTATCTTATACTATAACTAAGAAAATATAAACAACTTCCAAGTGATATGTTCTACCACTGCATATCGCATCTTCTCCAGGAAGCAGTTTGTAAACCAGCAAGGATAAAACCTCTTTCGCTACATCCGACCGACATTTGGTGGCGTGAGAATTCACAAAAGAGAAAGTAATTATGTTTGCATAAGTTGATTGGGGAAATGGCAACTACATTGTTGCACTTCCTCCTATCCTAAGAAAGTTACCGCTAGGAACAATTCGGAAGCTATTTATCATCTGCTACCCAAATCACCCCATTTCTTGCAGTTGCCTTCGTTAAAGCGTAAGCTTCTTCTCCAGAGGTTGAGGCAACGCAGCTCTCATGCTGACGTCGCAGTACGTCTATTATTTCCATCATGAATTTAATGCTTTACCACCTTCTTTACTCTTTAGTAGTGCATTGCTCATCTCGGCGCCGAAGGGTGGATAATCTCACTAACAGAATCAGATCGGGAGATCTTGATCTACTCGACGTGTAAATTACCCTCTTCCACATAGCAGGAATGCGAGCATCGTAGATGTTGTCGAGGGCGTCGCGCAGGTTCTCTGACATGATGATAGTCCCGTCGATGGCCAGCTTTAGGTCGTTCAGAGTTGTGCGCACCAAACTAATCACCCGCTGAATGCGATCCAATTCATGGCGCAGGAAGATGTGCAGCGGCTTGAGATGGTCCAGCTGTTGCAACAGCTCTTTCACCTTGAGTGAACACATCAAAAGAAATTCGCTAATTCGTTGCACTCATTCCTTCATCATTCGAAAATCTGAGCCTTCACACCTTTCTGACTAAAGCAGAAGAGACTGAATAACAGTCTTTTGAGTGAAGTCCAATACGAACCGCCTCTTTAAATAACGCAAAAAATGAAGTCCCACTACCTCAAATGGATTGTAATCAGACGGCAACTTGGAGAGCATTTCTTCAGCCATTTTGCTGACGAAGGCCTCCCGAGTTTCACCACCTCCACCAGAACTATCCTTGGGTTGGATGTTTGCAATCGTTGTGAGTACAGCCGACGCATTATTAGTTTGATACCTTGACAAGGAGATACAAATTGTTTGGAGTTAGGAACTAGTTCAGTTGAAGTTATTCAATAAGTGCATCCTTGTATGCTTTCCGATCACAGCAAAACAGGGACTTTTACTGAGAAAAAAAGGAAAGGGTCACTTTCGATTACGTGATGTCAGCGTTGGAATGCAGACCGAAGCACTCAGGCGAATCAGTAGTTGGCAGTGCGGAGATGCACATCTGATACTCCTCTACAGTCTGCGCTTTTGGAATGCTGTATCCTGTGTAGAACTGGAAGTCGTCCATGAAAATACGGTCGGTGAACCAGACTTGTGTGTAGGTATTCAGCAAACGCTTGTCATAGTCGTCAGTCACTCGACCACCGTACTGAACCTCACCGATCATGTAGCGGATTGTTGGCCAGGAGAGTCCCTGCAGGTGGGAGCACCGATTAGCGCTTAGTAAATGAAGCTATCAGCCGAACTTATCTTAATTGGGGATTAAAACTTGGATTGTTGAGAGAGTTTCCTCGTCTGTCTATTTATGGGAAATGATGATATAGTTGAGGATGGGAAATGTCGTTGAAATGCATCAGAATAAGACCTTCGGAAAAAGTGAGGAAAAGAGTAAGAAGATGGATGAAACGGATTCTTGTATGGGAGCATTCATGTCATAAAAGCAGAGGGACAAAAATCTAATCAGCGAAAATGAACTGGTTCGCAGCACTGTCTAGCCGATTTTTTTAAGAATTCGAAATTGTGTCTCCTATCTTGAAAGGTCATCCCACTAATCGTTTACGAGACAGTGACGTGTATTTAAGAACTAGGCGTTAGCGGAATGAGTTGAGGTACCTCAGAAACATGTAGGCATGGTTAATCAGTCGACAGATTAGCCTCTTCTCAGCGTTAAAAACTATTACAACGAAAGTGGTTAATGAGAAGATTTTCCACAAGGCTTGAAAAAAGCGGGAATGAGGCAGCGCAGATGGGTAATGCTGAAGGCTAAAACTGCATCATCTTCAGCCTCCACCTCATTTCACTTTTATTATATCCGAAGCTTATGAGGAATAGGAATGTAGAGCGACTTCACGTCACACTTGGAGGCGATCAGACTGTAGTCCGGACTTAACCCAATCAAAACCCACAAGGTGTGTGTCTAGAAGTCGTAGTCAATGAAAATGTAACGTTTTCAACCGGCTTGTTTTAATATTGAGGCGAGTTTCACATGCACTAAAGAATTTAAAGAAAAAAAGCATTGACTTAACCCAGACAAGAACGCAAGGTTACAGTCTCTATTGCTGGTCCAACGTTGAAGGTGACAGAGATTTTATCGTAATCCTGCGAATGAATGAAATGTGGGGTGTTTTAGTTCATTTGAAGCATCTATAATAGAAGCCACGTGAACTAATGACAACTGTTTGGAACCCAATAAGGCCTTTCCCTTACCACAGAGCCTGAGGACATCATGCAAACCTAAATAGAACCTAAATGTCCTTTAAAAGGATCTTCTAAGGTGTAGCAACACTCTCAGTGACAAAAAGAACAAATGACTGAACTATTATGTAATTAATTTAGTTCCTTCATGACTGCTCAACTTCACAAGTTCAGAGTTTCGACCATGCATGCCCGTGATTTTGAGACTCCATTGCTGTTACTGACAAAGTAGCAATGAGTGACACACCTAACGACTGCTTCGAGGAAACGTACGATCACAAAATCCAGAGAACCAGAACATTTCTCACTCTAGCACTAATTTGGTGTACATAAAATTAACACGAGGCTTCATGGGTGACAACTGACAAATCACTCAAATGCAGCTACAAATGACGACTAATCACCGAACATTCTAGAGAGATCTTATAGGGTGGTATAAAGTAGAGGTGTGTAATGAGCGCACTGACCAATCAGTTGTTGGGGCTGTTTGGGGCATACGCTCTTTGTGCCCCTTTTCCCACTCAATATGTCGGTGATGCGTGTGGCACCTGTCTATTATTGATTGTTGAACATGACCTCAATAGAGTTGAGACCAGTCACAGATAAGAGTAGCTCTTTTACTCGTAAAAAACTTTCAAGGTGAATTGTGACTCTTTACAGACTGCTTATTATCTTCATTCGTGTAGTTGGTTAAATGCAGTAGGTTTTGTCAAGGAAGGTCCAACGCCTGCTTACCCTAAGATAAATTTCCATAAGTGACCAAATTTACCGATACTGTTTTAAGCTAAGAAAAGAAACCGCGCTAAGAAGTCGAAGTCATTTTAGCAGAAATACCTTGTGTGCATCCATATCGTCCAAATGGTTTTGAATGAATTGTACCGTAGAGGTGAAATCTGCTTGGTTAAACTCATACGGTATATTCCAGCCGATGGGACCAAATTTACGACGTTCTTGTACAATAGTGTGGAGAAACGCTACAGCATACAAAAGTGGTTTCCATTGGGCAGCGCTACTCGCTTCCAATTGGTCCTCACCCTCCTGGCCAATCATGGCGTAGGTTCGTAGTAGCCCAGCTCGCACACCCATTGGAGGGTCAAAGGTGAATTTTGTACTGGTTTGTAGTAGGGCGATGGGAAATTTAGGATGGGGTTCTGTTGTTATCCAACAGCGGAAGCTTTCATGAACATTCTGCGAGGTGGTTAGCTAGACAATTAAAGTAATCAGCATTAGCAACATGTTTGTGAAGTATATGGTCACCCACCTTCTGGCCTTAGCAGTCTCGGGTATTAGTAACTCACTGCAGACCTGCCTCTCTAATCCAAAAAAATTCAGTTGTTCTTCTACTAGGAAAATCGAACATCCTTGTCCGAGTGGAAGGTACAGTCTGGTTTATTTGCAATTATCACAAGTGTGTGTTGAATTTAGACAACACGCTTATGTCACCACGGTCAGCGTAGAAATTGGGAAAGGAAAAATACGTAACGCTGGTTAGCAAAGTTATAATGGACTAGAAACATTGAAAGATTTGGTCATTTTCAGTCGAGTTACTTACTTATGGTAAAATCTTTTAGAAACTTACCAAATCGAAAAGTTCGTCCATAAAGTTAAGACCGAGGTGACAGTTCTGCAGAAGAATCCACTTGCCTTCAGCCATACTACCCGAAATTAGACGTCTAGCGTGCACTTCTTGACCTTGACCCATGGAAACCGCTCCACAAGCTATAAAGCATGATAAGAAGGAAGTACTGATTATTTTCAGTTCTCTCCCACAAAAATGCGATCCTAGGAAATCGAAATACCATACTCCTTGTTTATCAGCGTCAATTGTTTTAAAGCAAGGTGCTTTCGCTCGGACCTGTTTCCTAAATGAATGCAAAGGGTTTCTTGTTTATGAAAGTTAAATGAACAAGTTTGTAAAGGCAATTCTTTATGTCAAAACAGAAGAAGGGCATAATCTCGCATCTGATAGATTCAAAAATGTACTTTCCATAGTTTTTGCCCTTAGAGTAAGACGGTCTGGCTATGCCATCCCCCTCTCTGCTTGACACCTCTTATCTGACTGTCTATTCTGGACCCCGTGTAAGTGCCTATCACTATTTAAAGAAATTTTATCGTGAGAACGAGGAGCATGAGCATGTCATGGATGAAGAAGGAGGCCGAGATAAAGCGATATCTCCTTCAACTCTTCCTCCGTTTCCCAGGGGTGGTAAAAGGTCTCCTTCCCAAATCGCTTTTACAATATACAGTACAAAGTACTGACGTGTCTTTTAAGGCTAAGAAGTAGGTTTTCTTTTGACCGATTTGCCAGTGCTGCACATTTTTTGATTAACAATGGGAGAAGGACGGTAGACTTTTCAAATGTTAAGTGAGAAGCTTCTGCAGCGTTATAATGTAACTGAGCCTAGGTTATAAAGCAATCACTCTCGAAGTAAATGTTGCACTTTTGGTAGAAAATAGTTTCAATGTTTTCAAGGCAGGAATGGAGGGCTTGATAACGCCAAGTCTTTCACCACTTGTCTATGTTTTGTGCTGATTAAATGTAAACAAATGTACGTAACATGCCCTACAAGTTGTGCTACATAAATATAACTAAACCCAATTGCTTAATTGCACTGGAAAAGTGTTTTCAAGTGGAGTCTGTTGATGGCGAAGCTCTGCTTCACAGGTCCGATCGGAGTCCGGGTTTTAGTTAGTAAAAATCAAGACCAAATGCCCGACACATCAAAAGTATCGACACCAGCATGTCGTGGTTCAATATTGTAATCCCGTGAGGTTAGTTAAGTGTGTAACACACTCCCTAAAGGCTGATGGTTTGCATCCAAACGAAGACAGCAGTCGGTGGAGTACGGAAAGAACAAAAATAGAGTAGGTGGAAGTCAGTTAAGGGCTCACAAATTGGCCCAATACGCACGGTTGAGAGTGTTGGCACTTAAACCATACGACATGTGGAAATGCAAAATACTTAAGAATCTTGGTTAAAATGACGCTCCTACATGGAGTGAGACTCAATCCAAGCTGAAAGAATAAACAGCGACAAGTGATGCTTGATTAATTACCAAGGTCGAGATCAACTGGTGCCAAGATGATCGGCAGAGTATAAACATAAAAGGTTGAAATAATAGTGCGCTAGATAGATTACCGTTACCGTTGGTCAGGCAATCAGAACATCAGGGATCCAAAACCTGAAGTACCACAACCTTAATTGTTTTATAGGAGATCAAGTGGGGTTTTTGATCAAGACGACTTAATTATTTTCGAATTTTGGGAATTCTAAGCGTTTCTAGGTGCAAGACTTCCTACTCACTATCGCCAACATCGTAACATGGATCTTCCGATTAACACGATCGGAAGTAAGTAAGATAAGCAGTCTCTTAAAGACTATGGAGACACTTGTAGCCAGAGAAAGGGCCTACCTAGACCCCGACGTTTAGCGAGTCGCTCAATATTCTCCGTGGGATCCGAGCCCATGGAGAGGAAGCAGATCAGAGGAGTGTGAGGATCAGAGTCCTGTAATACCATTGTCTCTAAGTCTGTGATGACTGGATTGACGAAGTCTTCGCCGAGCATCTCCTTGATGAAACGTTGAGACATTGGCAGACAGCGGTCTAGGCACCAGCAGCGCACCAGAAGCAGGCGCTTGAAGGTCTGACCCTCTAAGGCTGCCTCATACGGAGGTGGAAGGGCAGTATCTTCAGGAGCATCACTATCAAACCAGCGCTTCCAGGACTGAAAGGAAGAAAACAGTATGGAGCCAAAAATCGCTTTGTTCTGAACCTTATCGTGAGCTACGTCATTCACCTAGTAATCCCTAAAGTTAAAGAAACAAATCAGAGGAGGGTTGAGACTTGCCAGAAGCTCAGTAAAAGTTAAAAAGTAATTAAAGTCGCTTAAGAACTACAGATTTCAGTCACGTAAAAGTGGCAAAATCAACCGAACAGAAATGAACTTTAACATCTGGAATAATCAAGTCAGGAATTCTAGCCTACAACAGACAAAAAGTGCCGATTTTAGGGCGACTAAAGTGTGTTCAGGAGGTAGAGCACATCAACCTAAGCATGAGGGGACACCAATGACATTTTGGCTTTACTCTTGGGACAATAGGTCCGATATAAACACTTAGTTTGAAGTACTCTCCCGTTGTGATGTGTCTTCTTAGCACTTTGACTGGAACATGGGACACCACAGTATTTACAGTGACAAACAGGCTATATTCAAAAGCACAGCTACTCAATTGTTTGCAGGACGGAGGCAGCCGAATCTAACCGAGTCTTCACATGTACAATGTCAACACATCAGTCTTGTGTTGTGAAAGCAGGTAATGGTTAGCATCTCTTACGAAACTTACATAAGATTGCATAAAGTGTTACACGTTCTACAATTTCAGTAATTAAAATTTGGAGCCATGGCGGCAGTAGCATAGCAGTAAAATGTGAAACGGGTTGCAGCAGGAGAGTGGATGCGTAAATTTAGCTTCTGAAAGCTGCTTAGCGTAGTGCTTTATCCACCATTCCTATTTTTAAACCAAAATCTTCTCTTGTTGCGAATGATATACAATGTACTCTCGTGATGGATCCAAAGCATATTCCGCCATTTCACAGATGCAACCGAACATTCGTGTGAGAGTTTGAGGTCAGACACTCCCAAAGGAAGCCCTAGATATGACACTCAAATGACAAAGGGGTTGTGTGCAAGGCGCCTGAGTAGGGAAATGCATAGGCAAGCAATCACCGCATAGAAGGATGGGAATTTGCTACAATGCTATTCGACGGCGTCGGTTATTGTCTAAGGAAAAGCAGCGCTATTGAGCCAAGCATTTGGCGTCAGATGTACTCGTCAAAACGGCAGTCACGTTTACTCAGCCAATCTATTTGATCGACGCAGGTCTTGATATTTGCAGATCCCAGATCGGTTGGAAGGGGCGAGGCAGGGGAATTGATAATCTCAAATCTGTTGTGTGGGAATAACCTTAGTGCTAGCATAAACGGGTGTTAGCTGTCTTCTCAGATGCATTTAAAAGGGCAGCAAATCAGGATCGTTCGACATCATAAATCCTGTCATATAGTTTTCTTTGGAAATTTAGAGAAAATGTTAGCATTTAAAATTACCTATGTTAATTAAAGGGTCATTTAATTTGATGAAAACTTATTGGGGTTCAGCTTAACAGCGAATGACCCCAAGCTGACACCAACTTAATCTCGATCGGTTGAAGTCGAATGCGGGCAGATTATTAGCGGATAATCCGTTTATGTATTCGCATAGCAGTCTCGGAAATTCAATCTCAAGCAGTGTATCGTTTTTTAGAAGCAATAACCACTAAAATCTTAGAAAGGAAACCCGTGGGAAAGTACGCAAGTTATATTTGGCTTTTAGAGATGACATTCCTACCCTTTCTTTGCGTGGAACGTCCTTAAGAAGAGTAGCGAAAGCCGAGAGCCGACTGAGTTCAACAAGGTTAAGCCAGGTCATGTCCTGAATCCACTGCCGCGGTTTTGGTTCAACTGCATTCAAGTCCAATGCAGCACCACCTGATGAAAGAGGATGTAACTGCTAAAACTGGCCACCATTAAAGGAAAGGAGCATTTCTTGTCTACAACCCCTCCCTTACCTTTTATGAATACCTGAAACTCTTCTAGAGAAATTTTCTTCTCCTGCAAAGCCACCTTCAAAGCCAATAGTAGCGTAAAGGTGAACTTGTCCTTCTCATACAACCCTCGCGCAATGTAACGAAACACATCCAACATGAGGTAGTCGATGATGCTCTTGATCCGTTTTTGTGTAACCGGTGATCCTGGCGACTTGGACATGGATAAATTGAACCGCTGGAGAAACTGATGCAGTGATGTCTGGTACATCACGTTTACCATGGACATCTCCACAATGAGGAAGTAAAGAATGGATCCACGCGTTGCCACCGGTCTGTACTGCTCCCGAGCGTTATTAATCTTCAATTCTGTCTCAGCAGCGGTTAAGAGTTTGCTTCTAACTTCTTCTGCTGTAGCCTTGGTAACTCGAAGAACCTTAATTAAGGACTCGTCCTCCACCAGACTGCCCTCCGTGGAAGTGAGCCGAAGAAGGAGACTATCTTCGAGATCCTTAACCTTTTGCTTGTTGGAAGTGACCTCTTCAAGCAAGGTTGTCCTCTCGGCTTCAAGTTCCTGAAAGGAAAAACACCATAATCTGGTGGCATGATGTCTATAGAAAGAAGTTAATAGGAAGCAAAAATAAATTTTACGAATGTATCGCATGACAAAAACTGGAAAGCCTTAATTTTACGAATGCAATGATGGTAGAAAATAAAATATTAAATTTTCCAGCATGTAAGTATAATCAGAATGCTGATCATTCATATTGTTTAGCTATAGAGGATGAACCTAACTATTCAGCGGTTCTTTCAAATTGAATGCAATTTCACCAACTAAAATGTTGAAAAATAAAAGTCCATCCACAATCACCTTCTTTTCGGTCAAAATAACCACTCTTAACAGTTGGTCCTCCAAGCCCCTCTGAGTTACAGTGAAATCAACAGTTGAGGTTCGTGCAAAGACCTCAGGGCTGTAGAGTGGATTTGGAAGTTGCGTAGTGATGTATAAACGAAAGCCATCAACATCCACGTCCACTTCCTTGTCACCAACTCGCACCTTGTAGCCAGTGCCCACGCGCACGAAATCGCGCTCCAAAACGCGATCCAGGGCTGGATCAAGCTCCTCACCAACATCAGCTATCAGCAGAGGACGACCCTGTGATAGGGCATCCTCCAGGTGGCTCCGAAAGTACTTGTGGTTTAGAGAACTCACCTGAAAGCAATTATTTAATCAAAATCCTTCATTCATTATCATTCTTGAATATTTTACCATCATATATCAAATATTCTACCCATGAGTAAGTTCATCAGGTCGTAGAAGGGCTAAATGCGCTTTAATTTAGCATTTACGGTAAGGTGCTTAAGGTGCAGGCAAATTCACTTCTAAAGAACAAAGACGATTATGTCGTTGGGTGCGTTTTGTACCAAAGCATTCCAGGAAGAGGTCATCACCCAGCCGTTAAGACCGCACAGAACGCACAACGAGGGATCAGTAATGTATAAATTATTTTTTGTAAAAAGAGTTGATGGGATAAAGTTCTACGTACAGAATGCCATGAAAGTGGAGCAAGGAAGGAAAAAGAATTAACGATATACAGCTGCTATCTTTTGGACAAATACTTGCATGAAGGTGATTCGTACAAAAGGACAAAATATTGACAAATCCTCAGCGACAACTGCTAGCCGAACCACTAAGATGCGCTTCGAGGTGACGCCTACCACTGTCGTCAAAAAAGATAATGCAGCAGTAGAAAAAGGTTTCACCTATCAGGTTGGCAACTTAGGTCTCAGTCATGAAACTTCGACCTTTCTTGATCGTTTATCGTAAAGCTACACACAAACTGATGGCCTTTTAACACTTTCAGAGATAACTAAGCGCCCTTACATTAACCATTCAAAATGAATTAAAAGAGAAATCTAATTGAAAATTAGGTAGTTGGGGAGAAAAATGGTGCACAAAATGGCCAAAGAAGGCGCTTACCATAAGGTTGGAATCGGCCTCCCTATTGGTGATCCAGGCTTTACCCTGACCCTGAGGATCGATGAGCAACGGAAACCGACTGGCCATTGTCACAATCAATCCGTTCTGGATGGAGAGATCGTCTCCAGGTAGACCCTGAAGATTCCACAGACCTAGCATCGTGTTATCCACAAGCATATTGACGATACTAAAATCCTACAAACGTCAAGTGTTACTTGCTGGACCAACAGAGTATTGAAAAGAGAATAGGAGTGAACTTTACCGGTGATCTGGGAATATTCGTTCGTGACAACTCATTATGCCACTGTTGATTAAGTAGGTTGCGAAATTCCTGATTAAATGGTCCGGCATAAGTGAGAAAGGCCGTGGCCAGCAAAACATCACCAACCAAATTTTCTATCTGTGTTTGAAATTGGGCTTTTGCCTCAGTCCATCGAACCTTTTCACCTGGAAAGAAAAATTACCCTTTTGTTACATACATGACTTAGTAATGGGTTAATATGATTTAGAATAATAACCAGAAAGTCCCTCGATCAGCGCGGTAGCGTTTGCCATTTTGCGTCGACAGGCTTCGGCGTCATCCGCAAACCGTTGCTTCTCCGCCATCGCTTTGTCATACTCGGCTTGGACTCGATCCAATTCAGCCTGCTTTTCGTCCAGTTGTGCTTGGGCATCACTTAGTTCTGCGTTAGCTTGGGCCAATCGGGTCTCTTGGATCACAAGATTATTCTAAGAAGCAGAAATATATGTGCATCAGGTAGAACCTCCCACCCAAATTTTGCAAGCAGAGGTACAATGAGTGTTTGTCTACCTTTAGGGGGAGAACTTCTTTATTAACTGCAAAGAACGCAGCCATTGCTTTGGTCCACGAACACAGGCCAGCAACGTCTCCACAAACGCGTTTGGCTTGGTCAAGATTAAAATCCTCCATCTGGAAATAGGGTTCCATGAGATCGATCGTTTCATCAGTTATGGTGTCCTGGAGGAGAGAAATAAGAGGATTTGGAAAACATAAATCCGTTTTCCGATAACGTCATAATTGATATTGCATTTCGAATGAGTTTGTAGCTCGTAGATCAGGAATTCTAACAGTAATGAATTCAACTAATAGTAGCGCTTCGGGGGCGTTTGTAACTTTTAATTATTCGTAGGAGCTCGAATGACCTAATAAAATTGAAGGAGGTCAAATATTTCGCAGTAGATAGCCACAAGTCTAAAGGCGCTTCGAAGCTTAGGCTTCTAAGTCAAAAACTCTCCTCGCATACTATTCTTCATTTTCCATTTATGGTGGAAGAATCACTCTAATAAAGTTCAGATAGAATCCATTCAATATTAATCCTTTGAAACTGAAGGATTTGTGACAGATATTTTTCGATCTCTAACGCAATTTAATGAAGAAGGACCAAGGCATTAACTAATTGCAGGCAAAAGTCATCCAAACGCTTCAAGATGCTGGTGTCCACATTGAGGCTGACATCCAGATCCTCATTGAATCCTCGAACTTAACTGAAATCAATGAAAACTAAGAGACCTGGAAGGTTAATGTGAAAGTATAATAAAATCACGCACTTTGGGAAAATTGAGTAGATTAGAAAGGAAAGCAGTGTTTCCCATGAGCTTGAGAGCCTCCGTCCATGACGGCTTGGGGCATGGCTTCTCTGGGTCGGGAGTGACTGCGTCAAGAGGCTTGCGGAAGAGTATCAGTACACAGTCCATAATACGCATGATGAGGTGCGGCGGTCTACCCAACTTTCGAACTGTATGGAAATAAAGTTATCAAATACAACAATCGTTTTGTGGTAGTTTAGGCAGTATAAATTTGGTGATACTTGTCGCCTTGTTAAAAATCGGCCAAAATAATCACCGGTGGCAATATGTGCCGGTTTAATAGTTTTCAGTGCTTCTTCTGCTTCCTCTAAGGCGGGTCTGGCCGCCTCTAATCGCTCCTCTGCAATGCCTTTGTCTTTTCTAATTGCTTCCACCAGCGTCTCCGCTCGATCTTTCACCACTTGCACCTGCTCCTTGACGGTCTGAGCAGCACCCGCCTGTTCTTTGACCCTGATAAGCACCGCTTCAGCCTTCTGATTGGCTGCTGCCAATTCGCGCTCCATGACAACGAGACCTTCGGAGAGCTTATTTACCGCATCTGTCGCTTCAGAGAGCTTCTCCAGTCCAGAGGACATTCGACCGGCGAGAGCGTCGAATTCACAACGTTTGGTAGAGTAGGTGGACTTATAAGTGGTGACGAAAGAGAGGTAGGATTTGGGTGTCACGTAAGTCTGTCGACGCATACGCTGAAAATAGTCCTGACAGGCCATGGCTACACGATCCTTTATGTCAAATCACCCGAAAAAAAGAAAGGAAAGGATTTGTTTTGGCTTGTTTTCCATTTGTAACGCATTTGTGAATTTTATTTTAATTACTTTACTGGTGTTGAATGCTACTATCCGTTTTAGCCGAAGTACTCTTTAGATTAGCCCTGTGCGCTGGCGATGTATAATGAGGAAGCGCAGATTTAAACCAAAAAAAGTTATGTTTTCAGTCTGAGTGCGAATGGTGTACTGAAAAAAATAAAAAAACTCTTCCGAATGCAATAGTGTGAGCTGTTTGCCACCTTCATGGCGGTTTCTGAAGGCTGCATAAATCCTGCGCCCTCTGTGTCTGCGGCATTTTGGATGGCTTGCAACACAGTGCTTTAGGAAAGTTGTATTGCAGTTGGACTAATCCAGCAAATTCCTAAGCTTTATGAAAGGGAGTCATATAAGATGTGAAGGAGCAACAGCCAATGCCGAAGCCGACAGAAGTTACAGGGAGGAATAGGCGGTAGTATTGCGTGAATACTCGAAGTTACCACCTATTGCGTTGACTAAATTGGTGGCAAGGTTGAGACTTTGGGTGGAGGAAGCAGCAACGCGAAGGGGATTGCAGAAACGATGTAATTACTTAAAGGCTTATTTGGAACTGAGCCTATAGGAATCTGTAAATGTTGACCACTACATTGAAGCATTGGATGCGAGGCAAACTACTCGTTTAAGGACTCAAGTTTACAAGATACCTCTTGGTAAATTCGCCATGCAATTAACAAGTTCAAAGAGTTTGGCATTCAGTCAAATCCTTGATCGGCTAACAATCTGGGTTTGATTTTTAGTATGAGAAGGAGAAAAGGAAAGATGAGGAGGAGGAGGAGGAGGAGGAGGAGAACTGTTGGACTCATGGCAGTACCTCAGAGAAGGGCGGAAGCACTCAGTTCAAAGAATATGCAATGATCCAAGGTGAACAAAAAAAAAGTTGATCAGTTATTTTCCTCTATGAAGGTGGCCAAATCACATAATCGAGGAAAAAAGTCGGCAGCTGTCACAAATTGGAGTGTCTATTATGGAGGAGTCAAGAGGTCACATATAAATGCTATTTTACTTTATCCGAATGAGATGATATAGTACTTCGATGGGTCAAGCACTTCTCGCAGCATAGTGTTTTCCCATTGCCTCGAAATCTATCGTCTTCCCTTATCTTTATAAGCCATAATGTACCTACCTGTGCTAAGGATTTTTCCTTTACCTTTTCTGATTTTATTAAAGACCCTTTTTCATAATTAATTACTAAGCATTCATTGGCTTCTCGAAATTATCGATGTTCTTCAATTTCCTCAACTGACCTAAGTATGTCACGTCTGATTATGTTGCTGTGACTACAAAAGGGTGGAACCAAAACGTGCCTTCTATAATTACCACACGCCGTAACATAACCTTGCTCATATGCAACGGCAGAGGGTCTTGTCCAAGGCTCGATGACACTCGGATGATGTAAATAAAGAATTGCCTCCCTCTGCTCCGCCCTAAAATAACGCTCTGAGTAAAAAACACACATGGGCAAGTTTTGGGATTTAAAGCGTCTCGACTGGTAAGTTAGTCATGGCTGAAAGGATTTGACACTAATTCAGGCTAGTAACACCCATGCCTATTAGGACTAGTGAACTACCCTAGAGGTAATGGACCATCAGAAGTGGAATCCAAACCTTATGAGAAACTTTTCCAACTATAGCTTTGCGATCGAATCATACTCAGACACCAAGAGAATGGAGTAGAGCGAGTGCCCAGTTTGACGACAAGCTATTGCATCAAGCTACAGCGCTGACACTAAACTTTTTTGGTCGTCTGTCGCCTACGCGCATACAGGTGCCTTCTGATCGTTTTCTGTCATTGAAACTTTAAACGAAATTGTCATTCGTTCTTCGTCACAATGCATTACATTTTGACGAATCGTGTGGTTGTGGGCGGCTACAATGAGGTGACTCTTTACAAGCATAAAGTCCTGTCATCACAGAAAACATTTAACAGTCAAAATAAGTTAGATGTCAATGGGAAACTCCGACTTAGCTCTGTAATACAAGTAAATAGGGAATATTGGTGGGTAGGAAGACTAAGGTAGAATCAAACGCTTAACGTGCAATTGAGACTCCACAAAAGTCGGTGAGAAAAGAAAGGTTGTAATGATCTTTTCTAGTCACCCATAAATTTAAACCAATTGCCACTCTTCAAGCTGATCAACACAAAGCCTTAAGTAATGTGTATAAAGAAAGTGCTATTCAGATTGTGAATGTTTTTACAGTCAGTAGTATTGCAGGGCCTTTGTAATGCGGAAGAAATGCGAGCTATATTCCACTCACACCCCAGCAGTCAACAAACAAACAAGAAAATTAGTCGTGTGAGTTAGTGAGAATCTTGTGTCATTAAAATGGGAATTTGACATTCTCTCGTCCTAAAATGACAGTAAAGTTCTTGTGTTCTCTGCTACAGCAGAAAACGGATTTATTCATTTCTCGCTGATTGTGCCACATTTGGATCACCAGAGTAAGCCCGGAAATAGGTTTGGTATGCTTAAGAAACTAAAGCCTAATGCTTAACTTAACACTGAAGATGTCTTTCCTCATTAAAATAACCTGAAGCTTACATGGAACGTCCCCATAATATTGACCAACGCCGACTTGATAATCGTTTCTTCGGATCTACAAACTATATCAAATCTCTGTAATAAGTGCTGAGACACCGCCACCAATGCTTCCCGCGGCCACGGCTGGAACCAGTCCATAGTGCATCCCGATATGAGACTCTTGAAGCGCAAACTCCTGGTACGAAACTTTTGTCCAATCGGAGAGAAGCAGAGGCAGACGTGCAGATTGCGCGCCACTCGTCGCATGTAGTAGTCGTACAGATTCTCACTGGTCGGTGGCACACGCGGGTACTCACGTTTCATTGGCTGCGCGAGGTCACCAAGGATTTCGTCAATCTCGTCGTGGGAAAAAAGGCCTGCCACCTCACCGGAGGCAAGCATATTGTTGAGAGGTTCCAGAAAGCCCTCTTCCTTTACTTCATTGTCGGAGAAGACGAAAGTTACGCCTTTATCCTCGTGGCCTGAGAGACGATAGACGATCTTTAGATCATCCATCAGATTAGAGACGTTGTAGGATCTGTAAAGTTAAAATAGAACTTGTTTGGCAGATGCACAACCTATGACCATGACGACTTAAAAATATCGTATAACGCCAGTCTACTCAAAGTCATTCATAAATCTTATTATTCAGAAAATGCATAATTCTGTCCTCCTTTAGATACCTTGTCCCTACTGTAAACATTCCCTTAAATATAAAAACCTTTAAAGCTTCCCCTGCATAACATTATTTCGCACTTTTACGAGAAGATAACCGAAATAAGAAACCGCATAAATGTCTGAAATGATCACGCAATTTAAAAGTAAGGGTTTGAAAAGTTACCTGGTTATCGTGATTTGAAAATGTTGATAGCCGACAATGAAGGTTGCAAGTCTTGTTAGTGATTGCTTCCCTGAACCTCCAACACCAACAAGGAGTATATGTCCCTTCGGTAGCCGTAGTATTCGACAGATCTTCACCAAATGGATCACCGCGTCAGCAAAGAAAACCAGATCCAGCTTCGCCCCACGAGTTGTCTCATTGTACGCGGTCTGTTGGAAAGGTATAAAGTAGGCAAATTTATACGATGACCAATATTTTCTTCCCATTTGTGCAATCGATAAAAGATCTCCGTGCTATCCTCCTGGTGATGTGATGTATTCCGGCTTCCCTAAATTTTTGACCTGAGCGCTCAGTGGTAATGCAAAAGGATGGCAAACTTCGTTGTATCCGGAACTTCGAGATATAAACCGGAATAGGTCTTTCCTTAATGATCAAAAGTGAATGAACAAGAAACTCAGAGTCGGATCTCGGAATCGAATGCCTAAATGCCGCCACTCGACGTTGTAATACATGCTCAGTTTAAACCTGAGCAGCACTGAAACGTAGGGTAATAAGGAGAAACTAATGGTAAAAGTCAAATTAATTGAGAAGGTGCCTCACAAGTTTTTATTAAGTTCGGCTGAATAAAGATAGGCATGCGATGTTAGATTGCTTTAAGACAGTGATCGATCTGGAACATACAAGGCCAATAGAACCTCTCATTTCATTTCGCAAAGATCAACTCTTTGAGTAATGGAATACGCCAAATGGCATTCTTCCCTACAAGATAATTGGTTAGAGGTCATCAGAATGTATTGTGTCTGCCCAAGGGAAGGAGAGAGAGCCAATGACCAACTCAGAAGAAAAGGAAGGCGACTAGAAAATGAAACGATAGTCTTTTTGTCTCCCACTCGACTATATGAGCTTCTCATGCATCTCAGTCTACAAATAACGATGTTGACAGCATACTGGTCCTGTTTTACTCATGAATTTCCAACCTTTTGTTTTCGATGATAAACATGTTTAAACACAGATAAGCCCTATTAAGCCTCCACAGGTGAAAGGTAAACTATGCAAATTTATCACCATCGTACCTCAAAGTGGATCAACCTATCAGCTAGTACTTCAATACCAGCCACCGGCTCATATATCTTCGGTGCTTCGAAGACAAAATCTTCGGGTTCATCGCCAGTGGCCTCTGGTGGATCGCGCATAAAATCCACAAAGAAGGGTTCCCTAGAGCATAGTTCTGAGGCCACCGTAGCACCTTCCACCTCTTCCCCCACCTGCTTTAGTGCATCCATAAACCATTTCTTCTCCTCAAATTCAATAAACCGATCAGCAATGACTCTGGTAGCCTCATGCCACCACAGAGATAGAAGACGTTGTGATGTTGAGATGACTTCAGCTTCTGCTCGGAGCATTCCCTGCCATATTCGGCTGATATCACGAAGATCAAAGACGTAGTGGAACTTGGCAGGTGTGGGGAGCATCTTCGCTTTAACACGTCGCCACAAGAAACGAGTAGCAGAGACTAGAGTTTTGGCGAGATCCCTCACTTCAGCAGGGAAGCCGCGCTCTTCGCAGAAGTGGCCTTCTGCCAAACAACTAAATATTCGATCCATAGATGCGTCGCTTGGAAGGGTGCAATTGAAAATGGAGAATTGGCGTTTGAGACGCTGTGGAATGTCATTTCTACCTCCACCGGGATGGATCATTGCTGCAATTATCTGAAAGAAATGCCCGGTCGCATTCATCCAGATAACTGCCTCATTGAAGGTAGATTTAGTTAATGAGAGCTTATATGGATATCAAAAAAGAGAAAAGAAATCACCTGAATGTCAACAATATTCGTGAAGTCACCCGGCTTCTCGAGACTATAAAAACCCTGCATTTCGATCATTTGCCGCGTAATTTCATTGGTCACTTGATCTCCCCACTCATTGATCACGGGCATGTTAATGTCATCGATGAAGATGGTCAACTTTTTTCCTGCTGGTGGACCATAGGTCGAACCCACCCGCTTCTCGACGAAACTTTCCACAGTCCTTTGGAACATATTTGGCGTAGTGGCGTAGGAAAAGTTTACCGTCTTCACTAGATGCGTTTCTGGATCACTGCGGCTACAGTAGCCCTCTACCATCACAGTCTTTGCGCTCCCCTGAATTTCATGCAGCATGCTTCAGTCTTATCAATTAAAACTAGACTAAAGAGGCTATTATCGCATTGATTAAACCAAAGATTAGCCGAAAATTTTAACATCCGATTAGAAGGAGACATTACCTGTACACCGATGAGGAGGACCGGTTTGGCCTGCTTAGCAATCGTGTGAATGAGGTACTCTGTTCGTATGTTATCCACATTGGGGACAAGGATTTTCGTATAATCAGGAGTGGAATCATGGGGATAGACATAGTCCGCAACTCTACCGCTCCAGTGCTGCCATTTTCCATCGTCATCAACCAGAAACTCAAACATGGTCTTAGAAGTGTCGTCTTGGCTGATTTCAGGGAACGGAAGGTCGGCATGATTAGTTCGAAGGAAATGCTCTAACTTGCTACGTTCTTCTAATTCAAGGGGAGCACCAAGCGACCACATTGTGGCAAAAATGATAAGTTTTTCCAGATATTCATCGGACAGTTCCTTCTCCCCCCGATCCTGCAGTTGGCCTTCCAGAAGATCGATTATCTGCTTGATATAGTTGCATTGGAGGAGCTGGGAAAGGAAAAAATGGTATGCAGGGTTGGAAAATTGCTATATGTAGCCCATTGTAAAATGAGTATCACCTCCATTTTCGCGTTCAGACTCTCGATCACGTAACGATAAGCGTCAAGAAAAAACTTTTCTAGAGTGTTCATTGCAACTGCCTTCACCTTGGGGGACTGTCCTAGCAGCCAGGCTAAAAGTCAGGAAAACGCATTATGTAATATTAAAATTAAAAGGTGAAAATTAGGTGGCAGGTGGCTAATCCTAACCCAGTTCCACTTCAATGTCCAAATTTATGGACTAAAGTTGGTAATTTTTTTCAATTTTTTACAAACTAATTTCGTTTTTTCCATACGAAACACGGCCATTTTTAAAAGGCACAAAAAAATTGACAAGAACATCGACGAGGAGAGCCACTCGATTTCTGCTGCATTCCTATTCCTCCATTCAACGTTGCCGATTCGGGAAAGTCTAATCTACCAAGGTCAAGGTCAACCTATTAATGCATACACACATGATCAAGACATGGACTTAGACAACGTTACAGGCCCTTCCTGTCGAAGTCGTAGAAATTAATTAGAGAAGGCACCTGAACCGTTGATCCTTCCGTCATTCCTCTTTTTACTGATCTCGATAGGACCAAAGACTTTACAAAGATGAAACTTGATTTATATCAATGAAAATTTATGCTCTCACCTTCAATAATCGGTTTCCAGTCAAGAATCGAGCTGGACATATAAATCATCCCATTCCTCGACACTGTAGCAGGCGAAGCATTGTCAATGTTGTGTACTTCAAAGACAATTTTCGCATTTGGTGCCATAGGAATGCGGTCACCATTAGCCAATGTTAAAGTCTTATTATCATCCAAAACAGAATTCAAATTCTCGATCCAGATCGCATCAACTGGCCCGTCCAATACAATCCAACAGTGTTCCGCCTTCTTCAGCCTTGTAGTTCTACGCCATAAGGTGGAAAAAATTCCATCTGTCCAGTCATTTGTGGCCACATCGAGACGGCCGAACATCTGAGGAGCTGTGATGGCCTTTGGATTCATACGCATCTCCCGATGAGGAGCTCCCGTATCTGCTGTCATGGCAGCAAGGAGGGTGGTGATGCAACACGTTTTTCCAGACCCCGAGGGACCCAGAGCCATAAACCCATGTCGAACGCGTTGCGTCTCATACATTTGGATAAGTTTAAGCACCCAGGGTGGATGGAATATGAGTTGCTTCGCTTCCACCTGCGGAGTTATAAATGACAAAAGGTTCTCAAACTAAGACAGCTGCAAGCTTTAAACACTAGTAACATCCTCTAAAGGGTATCTGTCTCAGTCATTTCCTCGTTCATACGGATCCAGCTTAAGTGAGAGCATGTCTCAAAGCCAAACTCCTTTTTTGCGTTTTGATACTTTGTTCAACTATCTTTAGCATAGCTTTTCGGCTTAGCTGTGACGTGGGAGCTTTAACGAGGAGGTCCAGAAGTTGTTTGAGCTTGACATTCGTATCTCGAATTGTAGGTCAATTTCAAAACGAGATAAATATCAGGGAACAGTACAGATGTAACCAAGGTGAGTAACTGGAAAATTGCACACCTCCTTTTTGATGGCGGCCTCCATGTTGCGATAGCCCTTCTTTTCGAGGTGCATGCCGGGAAAGAGATCATCGATGAGAGACATAAAAAGAGGCTCATCCTCATCCACCAACTTGCTCACGTTCATATCGCGTAGCACGCGCATCACGCAAGTCGGCTCTGATTGATCCTTATTGGCCCGCTTGAAGGCACCCAAGGTGCGCAGCACCGAGAGGATATTGCGCAGGCCAAAGTCATAGTGCACCTACAAGGCTAGACAACTTGCCGAGCCTATCCCGCAGCAAAGATTAGAAAAAAACTCAACTGCTCCACTCTATTCTCATAATTAATGAAAGGTTTGGTTCTGCCTGCAACATCGCAATAGCTTGAAGCAACAGTGATCTTATTGAACATTTTGTTTGACTACTAACGTCTAGTATCTAGTCCTGAATGCCTCGCTTTGTACAAGCAAACCTTATTGAACTCCACACTCCATCTGGCCTCACCTGTTTTGAAAGCTGCTCCTCGCAGAGTTTGTACAAAGTGTAGAATTTGGCGGCTAATTCAACGTTTTTTAGAAAACCGCAAGCTGCTAATTTGACACGAATTATTATCTGCCTGTCTGGTACCATCATCGATACAGTACGAAAGTTTATTTTTAAATTTTCCGGCAACTCCTGACGTCCAGCATAGCCAGGGTTCTGAAGAGGAAAAGAGGATTTACTTCTTTTTACATTAGCAATAGGGGTCACAGGACCGTTTGGGATAGGAATGATTGCAAAATAAAATTCTACTGGACATCTCGTATGAGGTTTCAAGTAGGAACAAATCAAACGCCCTACCATAGTGAGGAAAATGCCAAACTCCGGGTTCATGTCGACAACATCACCATCACTGAAGACGAATTGATGTTTGCGCTCCTTCTTGCAGGCTAACACAATGGCGATCTGCTGTGCAGCCACCGAGAGGACAGGTAGTTCTATACGGTTGAACTCATCGAAGCAGCCCCAGGCGCCCGACTGCGCGAGCCCCTTGAAGATGCGGCCTAAACCGCGGTAGTCCATCTGATCGGAGCAGTTGAAGACCACAACGTACTTCCCAAGGCATCGCCCCATATCTTTCACTGTCTCCGTCTTCCCTGTGCCTGCAGGACCTGCTGGGGCTCCGCCTAGTGACATCCCAAGGGCTTGGGCCAGAGTGATGTAGCATCTGTGAGATGAGAAACTCGTTGTTGATAAGTAAGATTCGGCAAGCTGGCTGTGTTCAGGACGGTTAATCACGATCAGAAGACACACATGTTGAAAGACCATCCTCGATATGACTGATCAACACGAGTGTCAAAGATGAATCCCCAAGAACGTCAGGGTGGTAGAATAGAGACGTTTAACTCACCGATCCGTGAGAGGGGTGATAACAAGTCTATCTGTGCAGCCCAAAAATTCGTTCTGGTAGATAAAGTTGACGTCGGTGATGCTCACAATAAACTGCTCCCTCTCCTCATTGTAGTACGAGCGGGATTGTTTCAGCCACTCCAAGTCCGTTGGAGATTTGACCCGCATTTTTACCTTAAAGATATTTTTTTGAAAAACATTTGTTACATCAGGATGCTTTATTCTCCATGTCAGTGGGCCTACTCATATGGTAGAAGAATGAAGAAATTTTGTAGAATGCATTTACTACCCGCTAAGTAAAGAAGTTTTGGCATTTTTGATAGCAAATTCCCCCTTGCTTACCAGATCATCAAAAATGTCCTTCTGATGGACGTGGATTGTAATGAGAGTTTCATACTTAGTTCGCTCTAGCGGAGTTAACTCCCTGGTAGTGACCTCGATTAACTGATTGAGGATCTTGAGGAACCGCGAGCTGGCCTCTCGCATCACCGTCGGGTTGGTGCGTGCGTTGCTAAGCGCGTCCTCGGCATTGCGCGTCCACAATAACTGAAGCCCAAGGAGGCCCACCTGGGCGATGAAAGAGTCTTCGAATTTTAGCAAATCGAAATTCTCCTCGTCGTCGATAATACTGTAGGCGTTGTGGATGATCTGACGCAGTGACTCTTGGGACATTTTCAACAGATCACCCAACCACACCTCAACATGACCCTAAGAATAAACAAATTGTGATCTGAAAGTGAGGAAACTGTTCCTATCATGTCACCTTTGATATTGCGCTACCACTGAATGGAAGAAAGAAAAATCCAGGAGGGAAGTTGCTTATCCCAGTCTTTCTGGCTTCACTTTCATTGAAACTGTAAGAACCAGAGTTTACAGGAGTTTGTTAATTATCCAATTTTAGGAGCCAACCTGAGCCATAACCGGTGCCTCAAGCTCAATGCTTTCATTGGTTGAATTAACGGCGAGAATCCGATCATAGATGGTCTCATCGAAGGTGACAGATTTGATGCTGTCGAAGACGGAGAGAAGGTGTGCCTGAATGGTGTGAGAATCAGACGCTTGCCCAAGAATCTCCAACAGTGCCGGATCGGAGACGAAGAAGAAACGGGGGAAGACGAGACGTTTGGACTCCAAGTAGCCGGAGAGGGACTTTTGGCACACCTCCAGTTGTTCCAGCAGGTAGGGTAGAACCTGGGTCAGCGTATCATCGGTAGAGCAGCAAGCGACCATGTTGGTGTTCTCGTGGGCACGTTGAACCACACGTTGCCAGGACTTGTCTATGGTGGCAAAGCGCTTCGCCTCCTGGCAAATAAATATCACCTTAGCCAGCCAAATGTGCCACTTTTTTCTAAACAACGGCCAGTCCAATGGGGGAAATAATTCGCTTATTTTCGATATCTTTGACACAATCAAATGAGATGCAACTTTTAGTTGGAAAGTATTTCCGGGAGCATTAGTAATTGCTTGGATTGAAAATATTTAGCGCCTTTGATTTCAGATCGTCAGTGCTATCACCTGACCTATCAACCGAGTATCGGGTCACGCACGGAATATCGCTAACAGTGGTCAGTTGACTTTCAGTGTTGGTACCTGTTAGAGGTTGGCAAAGCAAAACCACCTTTTGAAGTTTATATGCCTTGTAAATAGCACTTTAAACATTTTTTCGTCCACTCACATTGACAGTTCATCGAGTGATTTTTACCAACTTATGCAGCTACAGCAAGTGAGTTTAAAATAAAGGCAAGTTGTTTGTGAGAAAAACAAATTTTGTTTCCTTCAAAGCACCACCAAGCGAGGAAAAAGTGTCCACCCATTTTCTGACAAACAAAAAGAAATATAAGCATTTTGAAACAATTTTAAAATCGTATAAGTCGGAATTCGACTATATGAATTCCTTTTGATCGAAGTAATTGCAATTTTACGGTTGCAGTAGAAACTGACTGCTCAATACCTGCCACAACTACTTCCATCCGCCTTCTCTCATCTACTTTTTTTCCAGCTGATGCATTAGGGTTCACTGTCTGACGAATGCAGGAGCTACGTCTGAGGAGTCCTTCGGCAAGAGCAGATTTCGTGACATGCAGTACAGTACACTACTTCCTTCCCACCAATCAGCTGACGCAATAATTCTGTGGATTGTAACTACTTGTGAGAAAGAAGGTGCGCTTGTACACATACCAGTTAAATCGTGCTAGATTGAGTAGCCGGATTTCAGGCCTTCAGCCAGTAGGCGGAGTGCAAGGCGAACGAACACATGTCCCAAGGAAGACCAATTGTGGAATTTTGCGCCTCCCAATTCGTTTTTTTTTGAGGGACAGAGTGGTTGTATCCCCTATCTGTATACCTATCTGTCGATGCATGGCATGAGGATGGTATCCACAAGGTCAATATTCCATTGAAAAAGGTAAAATCAATAGCTATTGATTGGAGTCACTGCACTAGTATGAGGAAATCTTCTCACCTGCGGTAGCTGTTTTGCAATATCGCCACCCACGAAGACAGCTTCGAGGTAAATCCACAGGTTCTGCACCTTGAAGAGATTCTCGATGACTTCGTTGGTTGTGGTGAGTTTGTGCACCCAATCTTGGATACGCGGTTTGAAGGGGGTGTTGTAGCGGTTGGAGAGCAGTGAACCTAATGCCATGAGGGAATCCTCTAGCAGAGCTATCGCTTCTATCGCCACATCACCTTTAAAGAGCAGTTCTCCACGATTTTTGAACACAGAGAACTGAAAGTCCTGTGCTGTCCATTCATTGATAATGGACTTCAATTTGGCTTCGATGTCACGCTCCTTTACCGATGCGGTACATATATCCTAAAAAGGTCACAATCATTATGTTGACTTTTATCTTGACTATCACCGTTTAGACGAAAAAAACTATATATACCATGGGTCTTGTAGGATAGCTCTCAGTAAACGTTGAATTGTCGCTCGAGGATTATATAAAACAAAAATGAATTCAGGCTGAGAAAACTCTACACTCATCCTTCTCTAGACCCATCCCCAACGGCAATAAGCTACCTACTCTTTGCACCAGAATATTTGATGCACCTGTTCAACATAAACATCAAAGGAAAATTCACAACTAAAAGTCATTCTAAAAAAATTTGATTAACTCACTTCAATGTCCTCCTTGTGTTCTAGTAGCGGAGCTCCCATTAAGTTTTTTAGCAGGAAACCATCGGCGTAGACGTTCAGTTGGCAACCTGTCACCGCCTCTATGCGTTTCCAATGTCGTGGCAGCATCGACTTATTTGCCATCATTTCCAGTAGGGGGCAGGTCTCGTTAAAGTCATCAATCTTCTTCTGTAACGCCTCATATGCCGGCCACTCCTTTAATCCCTTCGGCAACCGTCTACATCTAAAGATAACCCCAGTCACTTTAGCCTCATTCCACTGTAACATCTTCCCTTAGACCATTTTTCACAACCCATTTCTAACCTTGTCTGGAAGTCTATCAGCTGCTGATCAATCGCCTCAATGTCGATATCCACCCAAGGCGTATTGTAATATCCACCAATAGTATCAAGAACAGCATTGTAGAGTTGATACAATTTTTGAAGAAGAGTCAACTCCTTCCGGATGGTGTGTAGTTCAGGATATTCTTGAACTGGCAAACCAAATAATCGCTCACCCTCGGAATATGTCTCATACTTTGCCCACAGATCATCAAAGCGTGCATTAAAAAGGGTTAGACGATCGGAGGCTTCATGTGGATCGATGTTCTGTTCCATGGGACCTCTGAAACAGTATATTTGAGTTTCGTTAAATTATTTACCTCTTTCGGTAGTCTAAAGTGAATTGCTCATTCGCCTTCTGGAATTCTTCTACACCAGCCTCCAACTCCGCCTTGAAGATTGGCTGAATGGACAATAGATGATTGCTCGATGTATAAGCCTGCGTCTTCAGTTTTTGAAGAGTGTATGCCAGACTCTCGACTCTTTCAGCATTGCCATCAGTGAAGTATATGTCAAAGCTTGCCAGAAGGGCGTAGACCTCAGCCATGGGTTCAATAAAGAACATTTCAAGGTCAATTTCTGATTGGCGGAATTCATCTAGAGCTGCCATGTTTGCCCTTACGTCGTCTAGATCCTTCACTGGACGCTGAAGACGTTTCAGTAGATCTTCCATCCGCTCCAGAGTGGATGTCATTTCAACACTACATTTGGCATTCAAAGCACTACCAATTGCTAATCGCCAGGAACGACATTCAGCAATGAGACTATCTTTCAGTGCCTCTGTTTCAAGCAAGAGCGAACCCATTCGATAATGTGTTGAAAGTTTTAAAGACGCCTCCTCAAAAGCCTTTAAATAATCATAGATTGCCTTATTTTAAAGTGCGTTTTTTGGTGAAATGATAACTATCACAGAGATCGTACCTTGAACCGACGCAGCTCATCACCAACTTCCGAGATTGATGGATTCTTTTCAATAAAATCTTTGGCAGAACTTAATGGATCCTAAAAATTATGAAACCCATTGAAGCCCTGTTGCAAGGCAACTCAGCTTCAGCTATCAGGGTAACCTACAGCTGCCTTCCAAAGATAGGCGAATTCTGAGGAAAGTTCGTTAACAAGCCTGGTTATATCACCAGAGTAGTAGGTGATGGAGGAGTTCAAGTCAGTGATTGCTTTGATAATGTTCTTATTTTCTTGCACTACTTTTCGCAAAGGACGAAGGAGACACGAGGGAATAGACTGGAAGGAAATTGTCGAAGAGTCCTGACTGCTACTCAACAGGTCGTTCATACGAACACTTCGAGATTTCTCAAAGAAAGCAGCGAAAAAGGGAACGACTTGTGAAATCACCACGTATAAACTCCTGACAAATTAATCAACTTTAGAAATAAGTTTGATCCATTTGATTTGCCAAAGCAATCACCATGACATTTTGTTCCAGAATTAAAGGGAAGTAACATGTTATTTTTTACCGGATCCCTTTTTGCTTTGGTTCTACCCCCTTATCACAAAATAATTTATCCGTACAAAGTAGAATTTTGAGATGGTCCGTTTAACACAATTATCGTAGGTCCGAACTTAGAAAAGAATACCTTAAACAACCCTTGGCAGTGTTTGACATGTTCCCATGGTTGAATGCCGTCCGAAATGCGCAGAATCATATTAATGGCTTTGCTCAGACCTGCCTGCAGATCGGTTAGTGATGGTCGACAAACAATGTTGGGAATTTCCAGTATCAAATCCAGCAAGAAAAGAGCCTCGTCTTCCCCCGGTGTCTTCGATTCGGGGGCTATGGCATCGGGTTTTGAGACGTCCACTTGCAGACGTGATCTTAATTCCTCCAAGATGCCCAGTAAATCTAAAAATATTGTTTTACTTACAAAAAACTAAGCAGAGAAGCTTTCTGGGTGTAATAAATAGAGTTTAAACATAAAACTATTTAACAAGTCGAGCGCAAATTAAGCACGTTTCCACTACTTTCTTAAAATTCTCAGATAGTCAGGAAGTTGGTGCAAAAAGGAGCACCTACATGAGATTACTGCCTCAATGTTTTGTTGGCTGAATTGACTGAGCAGGTCAAAAAAGAGGCAGTTTAGACAACGAGTGCACTGATTGCCCTTCTTTGTGGGATTTAAACAAGCAAAGTGGGTTTCTTTTGATAAAATCTTTACATATTCTTCGTCGAGGTTGCTAATTAATGTGTCCACGAGGTCGTTAACTGCGCTTTCCACGAGTTTACTCTTCCTAAGTACAAAAAAGGAAAGTGGTAAACAAGTTGCACGGCGTTTTGAAGGAAATTTCCAACTAAAGTGCCGCAAATATCTTTGGAAATATTGAAGGCGCTATGGAGAATTGACCAGGGGGACACGCACACATTCAACTCCACAGTGGTCGAAGGCAAAATCGTTGAGAGATTTTGTAAAAAGGCCTCCACAGAAAGAGCTTTGCAATTGCTTAAATCCAGGGGCAGCATTGTTGACATCTCAGTCAGGAGAGCATTTATGCGACAATCCAGCAAGTCCTTGGTTTGTTTTACGACAAACTCAAATTTGTCTATGGCCAGTTCCACCTTCTTGATAACTGTAGATATAAAGGTGCGCATTTATCTTGAAATTCATAGTTCACGTATATTGCTAACAAGTAATCAGTGATAAGAAACTTCTTTCTTTCAAAATGTTAAAATATTACAGAGTAAATGATGAGCTCGCATTTGACATTAATCAAACGTAATAGGTGATTCAAATAGACACTCAAACTCAGAGTGCTTTACTAGTAGACGCGGACTCACAGCTCTCAAATTGCAGCGAATTCCATGTAAGGTCCACCACCCCGGGATACAGACTTTTCGCCACTGCTTTCAGAAACGGCTGGAATATCACCACCATTGGTTGAGGAATGCAAAGCTGCAGCTTTTTAAACCTGAAAAGCTGCTCCTTTAGTCTAAGGGAACAGAAAACAAATAGTTGGGGCGAAGAGAATGATATTTATTCTTGCTCAGTCCACCTCACCGGTCATTATGGTTTTTGAGCTGCTTCTCTTGAAGTAGAAGATCCATGGCCCCCTTGGGAACCTTGAAACCAAGTTTGCGGATCACCTGAGACTCCCTGATGATGGTCAAAGTTGTGAAGATGGAGTTTACAGTAAACTGGCCGCTCTCGGAGTCAAGCACCAAGAGAGGGGATTCAAGGAGTTTGCATGAGGTATCTTCGAGGCTGTGGCACCACTTATGGTAGTTCACTGCTTCGCATTTTACCAAAACAGTTGCCAGCTGGTTAAATCGTTTGACCTGCTTTTGACCTTCTGGTGTCTACAAACAACAAAGTTAGTTTTGCGACTTTGGTTTCAATTTTTTATCAGACCGAAAATTGAATTCCGCCTCGTAGTTCCTCCAAAGGAAAAGCAAGAGATCAACTAGGTCGATGACTAGGGAGAAAAGGTCGGACCCAACTTTCAAACAGCATTAATACGCGCCAACACCTGAATCAGAGCGAGCTCTACTTTACTTGAGAATCGATTGAATGCACTTGCAACGATAATCTTGAGAGAAGTGTTTTGGTAACTCTTGAAGGCTAATCATGCTAGGGCTTGAGTTGTCCAACCATTCTAAGTAATAAAAGTTTTCAACTTTCTAGCAGTTTAAGCGCTTCCGTCATTTGCTTCATTTCCTTCCCAGAATTGTCCTCTTTACTTCATATATGTAAAATATGGCAGAATCCACTCAGAAGCGAACAGCGAGGATTCTATTTCTAACAAATTGTTACACAGGTCAATTTTGTGGTATTTGACACACTGACTGGCCTTTCCTGGCTGTGTGCCAGGATCCAAGTGATCGAATTTGAATAGAAAGGCCGAACGAGTTAAACGACTATGGTGGCAATCCACTGTTTGGATGCCAAAACATGGGCACCCTCGAGATTCCGGCCCATGAATGAGCGTGTCTTTACCGCGGTTGTTGGCACGCTCTCGGCATTTCCAGGTCAATGAATCGGTTTTAAAGCTATCAAAGTTTACCTAATGCTTTCTACCTCCGAATCGAGATTTGCAGTCTATGGCGAGAGGAAGGAGGTCGTTTTACTTTATCTGACAGAAATTTGAATGATAAATGCGAGATGATTACAATCATGGACATTCAGGTAAGGTAGAATAATCTCTAGACCTTTCCATCCAGTCTCATCCAACTATTGTCTTCTTTTTAGCCCTATTTTATTTTATTTCGTGTCTTCAAGCCATCCTGTACTCCTTTTAATGATGTCGAGCGCGCATCCAATGATGTGGTGGATCCTCGCAACACTAATTCAACATTTTGGCCAATACCAAGATGCAGGATGTGTTTCAAGGTGGTTCGAGCCCCAATGAATCAAGCTTCTGCCTGCCTTTTACGATTGCATCTAATGGCAAGTATGTCTCCTTTTTATCCGATGAAAAAGTGTACCGGAACCCATGATGTTGACTCTCTTACCTCGAGCACACTCGGACAACGGCTTTGAATTTCGTCGAGAGGTTGACGTATTCTACAGAGCAGAGCTCTGGCCCATCTAATTCGTCCAGCTGTTGGGGTCATGTCCCGCTCTAGTGGAGGCGCTCGTTTCTCCGCTTCGTAGACATCTCGCACTTGATCCAGTTCATTACCATAAACACGTAGAATTTGTATATAGCGGGCAGCAAAATCGAGATATGGATCGGCAATCCGCGTCTCCCATAGGGAGAGAAAGTGAAGAAGGTGGCACGCCTTTATGGTATGATGAGAAAAATGTTTGAAAAAAAATCTATGAAAAAGTAGAGAGAAGAAATCAAAACGGAAGAAGGCTTACAGAAAGGCGTCGAGAAAGCCATTTGTCCAAAAGAGCGTTGATCTGGGTGAGTAGACGCCTGCGTGCAACTTGGAATGACTTCAAGTCCTCCGTAAACTAACAATAGAGAGTCAATTAACGTATTATCTGAATCCCTTTGTAGAAAATGGAGGACGAATTAGCTGTTTTGAGCATTTTTGATTTGTAGATAAGCGTCTCGAAAATCTTTCTCCAAGAACTTGCCACCAAAAGTAGCTTATTCGCTTCTGTCTTCTTCTATTCCATTATACCGAGACGTAAATTATCTTCATTGAAGATTAATTAAAATAATTTGTCTAACAAAAATCTTAGGTAAACATTCACATCAGACATATCCCCAAGAGGCGCCGTTGGCGATGTTGTCGGAGCAGGAGAGTTGCCACTTCCCCAGCTCCATCAGAACGCGCAGCTTTTGGTGAGGCTCTTAATCAAGCCGTACTAAGGAATGACGGTGTCAAAGATGAACACTTCCTTGTCTATTTGATCATCCTCATCAGCGCATCAGTTTTATGTCGCTAATGTATAGTGAATGGAACTCCAAGTAGCCTCTCATTATAAGGCGGGCTCCTTAAACGTACTCTAAGGTTAAAATATTGTGGCGACGTAGACCTTATACCATCTGCTGCAAACATTATGGCTGACTAGTTTTAAACTTTGTCGATGATCAGATGGACAAATGAATGCGATTGCGAATCCAAAATAGCTTTAAATAAAAGGACATGTGAGCTACCTGTTTATTTCTAGGATCGGTTGGATCGCCGGCCCATTGATGAATAGAATCGAGCATTTCCTGATATGCGCTAATCACTTCCATCGTGTCTTCGGCATGGAGAGTTAGAATCGGTCGCAAGTTATCCACAAGAATCAGCAAATCGCCAATCTCCGAGAGTCGACGACAAAAAGCATCAAATTTTCCAAAAACTTTGTTCTCGCTAAGAGCAACAAATACATGGAGGAGTTGGTTGATTAGACTATAGAAATCAGCTTGTACCTGCAAGTCAGCTGTCGTCCATTCGGATTGGCTGCCAACGCTGTCTTAACAGCGTGGAAATTTTGGCGGTATACGAGGTAGAGTTCCAAACACTCATTAATCCTTTCATGAACTTCTTTGCTAAATGGAGAAAGTGAATGTAGATGGGGTTTACAAAATTCAAGTTGGGTTAATTAGGCTTTTGACCAGAGCAGAGCAAAGTAATTTACATTACCGGTGGCATTTAAAGTCACGGTTCAACCTACCTTAACCCCACTCAACCTTAACTGTCAACTCGAGCATTATGAGAGAAAAAAGTGCCTGGGTAGGTATAGAAGGCAATGCAAACCTTGGGAGGTCCCAAATTTTGTCCACTCCGGAGTACAAAAATTGGCGACACGCACCGACAAGTTTGTTAGTCACTTTCACAAAGAGTGACGTTATCCGCTCGTTGGTGTTGAAGTACTCAGACACCTCGAAGATCACCTTGATGGAATCCACCAAGGCTGGGACCTCATCTTTCAACTTTTTCTGACCAAATGTCGTTAGTTGGGTGGGGCAACATTAACTTACCGGGTTGTCGTGGAACACCGATCCGAAGTATTTCTCAAAGCTGGTGAGAAATTTAACGTTGCTTCGTGCTTCTATTGCGTACTTGGATACCAAATTGACCTAAAAATTTAAAAGACTCAAAAATTAGCAACATGGGCAATCTTTCAACTTATTTTAAAGTTGCTCTTGTGACCATTACCTTCCATTATGAATTTGTAAGAAAAGTTTTAAGATATCAAGTCAAGGAAAACTGATGTTTTTCAATTTTTTTCCTGTGATTTTTGCTATTTAAGCCCAATTTTCAAACTTCCGTGAAATGCCATGAAGTGGAGAGCTGAAGGATTAGTTGAAAAGAAAAATTAAAAATGCCATCTAACCAAATCCTTCCACAAGTCAACTGAAGCCATTTTGACACCTTCAAGGGCCTTCGTGACGATGACTGCCTCCCGACTCGACATGCGTTCCATGAGTCTAGAAGCAAGCAATGCCATCCAAATCGGAGGCCAGCAATAGAACAGTCAAGCGTGCCACTTTGCCTTGTGGTAAAGTGGCAGAGAAAACACGTCTGCCTTTGCAAGACCAGGCACTAATTTTCCCGTGAATTGCAGCATGTGGACGTATGATGAAGGTGTTGGAAGCTACGCCTATTGAACTACAAGAATTTCTCATCCTTTTTCCCATTTGCCATTTTAGTCTGTGGTATGACATCAGACTCATGTCTCCTTCCACCCAACTCTTTCCAAATGAAGTATAATGGAACATTATAGTCTGAGATAAATCCCCTTCAACTACTTGGATCTGTCTGTGGCACGTAAGAGTTCAGTCCCTAATTTCCAGAGGAGTCTTTGATGAGCTCCTCAAAACTTATTAAGCGTCTGGGAACTGCGGTTCAACCAAGATTGCCGTATTAGCGTAGAGGCAGACACCAATTGGCGCTGAGGCCGTTCTCGTTCAGTGGTGGGCCAGCAGCCACACCATGAACCCTCTGGTCACATTGAAGCCTTCGTTGTCTGAGTTTGCCTGCTGAGTTACCAAATGTCCCGAAATGCATCTAATTAAAGCTGCAAACCCAACGTTAAACAACAACTTCAATTCAAATAGGTGGAATGCTTCTTCAAACTCTTAACTTTAGTTTCATTTTACCGCTAGAATTTGTTTCGTCTCAGCGGCCAACCGGGTTAAAGGAAATGAAATGGAGTTCACCTGTTAAGGGTGTCCCATCGAGTGCGCCAGTAAGCCAACTCATCGGATGGTCCAGCGTCATCGGCCTCCTTGATGATGAGGTTCAACTCATTCACCACTAATCGCACTTGCTTGTTCCATGAGGAGAGCACATCATCCAGTCGTCGCAATTCACCTTTGTTAAGGCCTAAGTGTTCGAACAAAACCTACTTTACCTCAACTCTGTATCTCTGCCTCAAGAACTGGGAAAAGTTGACAATTGGAGATCAAATTAAATATCTAATTGTCCATGACTTTTGCATAACTAATTTAATCCTATCCATTGAAAGGAAAAGCAGCATCCGAGGTGCTTTGTTTCCCTCGCCTTTGCAAGTCATTGCAGTGATCGGGATATTTTTGGTCCTACACAAACATTATCAAAGCCCAGATCGAACACAAAAGCCACCATTTAATGGAAACGCATATCGACCCAGAGTGAGACGACAATCGCTTCATTTCATGGGCAAAGGTCCTTCAAGTGCAATTATATGAGCATGAAATGTTGAATGGAATGGAAAAGTCAACTAGCATTTTCACGTTGCACCGAAGGTCTGATAGTAAGCAAAATGGATGCCCACATGCGCTGAAAAGATATTAAACTGGGAGGCATTAAAAATTTCCCAATCAACAGGTGAAAGGGTTAATTAAAAGTTAAATTTTAATTTAAATTTGGACTCCATCGGAGTTTTAAATGTGGCCACTTTCTGACGCCAAGAAGACAGTGAGAGCCAAGGAGGAATCTCCAAGGCGCTTATTTATTTAGTTATTCGCCAACAGCCTTCGCCTTGGGAAGGAAAAAATGCAGCTCTTGCAGTCTGTGTTTTTGACTCAGTTTTATTCTCACCGTCTTTGGCCATGAGACTTGCATTGTTGTAAGTTAATAGGGAGCCAATGCGCTCCTCTGATTTAACCTCCTGTGAAGAGGAACTCGGATCAGCAGCCCTGCGACATGCTCAATGAACTTCAGCCTCTTCCGCCTGAGTTTTGGTGAGGAGAGTGCAAATTACAGTGGGGACATTTGGCGAAGCATGAGTTGAGTTGTGTGATATCATGATTTGCTCCCTTCCTTAAAATTCGTTTGTTTCTCATCACAGGCTTGCTTTTTTAACGAGTCTATCTACGATGGCGTCTGACAGAGCATTGAGTCCTTCTTACGCATAAGTCATCCTATTTCTAGCACGGATTATCAGTACAGACATCCCCTCAAGGTGTGTTTGTCGACTCTCGTCTACTCACACCTTTGCCTCGACTGTCACATTATTCGTCAGTTGTTATGAAGGGGTGGTTGTGCTGAAGTTGACGCATATAAGATTGAGCAACCTTAATCATCAGAAACACCTCTAAGTGGTGCATTCTGCTGCCTCACACATTATCCTTCCAAAAACTGAACCAGAATTTCAATGAAAAGTTGCTACACTCTGGAAATCGAATAAACTAGACTAGTATAGTAGATAATATTAAGTCGTATTCATCGGAAATCCAAACATCATTGAATGACGAAGGGATGGACATAAGGTAGAGGTTATACTGAGAATCACCTTGGCAGCGAGTTGCCATGCCTTTGCACTGCGGAATGTGAGCAGATCTGCATCATCTGAAACGTTCCTTCGAGTTACATCATGTCACCATGGGGTAAGGCGTGACAAGAAATCGTACAAAAATTTAAACCATTACTTAGTTTGCGAAATCAGCTTTGTGATGCCGGCATTCACCCCTCAAAACACTATTATTGAGAATGTTTGTAGGCTCTGGATTGATCGATTTACATGCATATTTAAGACCTTCTAAAGAATTTTGGAAGGTGTGTCCCTTCCTACTTCCTATCCGATAGCCCAATGTGCTCTGCAAGATCAGGACCATTTAAAAGATGGAAGTAGGTGGAATTACCATCCACTAAGGTAGATGCGCGCACACCCTCCCCACTAAGGCCATTTGAAATGGTGACCTGTCTTGGGTGGCGCTAAAAACTATGAATGACTTAAAATAATTTTCAAATGCCTTTGAAGTCTTCGTCATCCTTGAGTGAGACGATAAGAGCCTCATCCTCATTCGAGGGAACAGCGAGAAAGTGAAGACCAGAGCCCTCTTGAACCTGCTTTAGTATTCGAAGGTATCGCCACGTTGTGTCCACAAATTCATTCAAAAGCTGTGTTTTCAGCTCTGGAGACCGTTCTAAGCATCCCCAATTCTGAAAGTCATTTTCAAATAACTCTAATTAAAGCAAGACTATCATCGACTACAAGCAATGCAATAAATAACACCTAATGTAGGAAATGGAAGCTAAGTGAGAGGTTGAGCACCATTTGTGAGGTCGTGTGGAAGAGGTGTAGCTCTTAGAATTCCTCGAAAAATGCTTTTTTTCGTAATAGCAGCGCACAAATGAAAGCACACTTTCGGGCCTATCTAAAGGGGGACAATTTCTGTTTATGAGCCCCTGAGTTGGTACGAAACCGACAACCAGATTCGTACACTCAATCATACAATCACTGATTTCATTCTATTGTTTGCAAGAACTGCGAATTGCTGTGAAACAGCTACTGTAGGCCTTCTTGCAGATGCCTTAACCTTCGTGCTGCAAACGGACGTGTGAATGTACCTGATCAGTCTGAAATGCAGACAGATAGACGTCCTGAAGAAGGCGCTGAGTTGTTTCAATGAAGTCGCCTTTCTGAGAATCATAAAAGTGAAGTGTCACCTCTTCCACGATGTTTGCTGGAGTGATATCACGATCCGATGCGCGTAGAAAGAAGAAGGCGCTGCCACTAAGTTGCTAAGATAAAAAAATGAAGAGTAAGCGGCTAAGAGGGAACCCAGCTTACCTTAGCAGTGCCATTTGCAATGAAGAATTGAGATTCAGATGTCTTTTTGCAGCGAGTAGACTGAATCTGGAAAAGATTTTCATCTGTCCATCATTACCGTTTACGTCATCAATTTGGATAACTGATATACTGATATACTTTTAAGTAGTACCTTTCAGTGCTCAAACTGAATAATAATCTACCTAAAATTAACCCTTACGACAGAATTTTGCCAATGAACTCATTGTATAAATGAGACGGTAAATAGAAACTTTACCTCTTGGAAGTAGAAACTAAGGCAGTCGATTTTTCCAACGGATTTGAAGAACTTGTCAAACAATGGCCACTGAAGCATGGATAAGTAGCGCATTTTTATCAACAGTTAAGTGTCTTTGATGTGTCTTTAAATGAGCTTAGCCTTTTACTAACTAACCTTATTGTCAACAAGAAGATCATTCTCAATTTTGCTGAGTGGTTGCTGCGAGGTTTTCGATATCTAAAAAGGGTGCATTCCCAAACTTCGGTCACTTTCTGAAGAGAAAATGCATTAAAAATCATTCGTCTTAACTAGAAACCCATCTTAGGCGAAACCTGAGTCGTACAAAGCATTACTACGAAGACTAAGAAAAGAAATGCTTCTGGCGTCAAATATTCCTCAACGTTGACAAGTCGTTAAAAGCAAAAGGTGAATCGAGTAACACATTCAAGGAGGAAAGTTACCAGGTCAAAAATGTAGCGATGTCGTTCATCAACCTAAAAGGAGCGCGAGAAAGAGTCACAATTTAAGGTGGCCGACTAAGCATAAGCAAATCATTCCACCTAAACATTGCCTCAAAAGAAGGCATGACGCATTCAGTAAGGGAGAGAAGAGGTAAGATCTGACCGTTTGAAGGTTGGTTTCACGCAGTATCAGAAGTTGACGCTGCTTCTCTCGCACAATCTCCGAGCTGGTGAGTGAACGCTTCCAAATCTACATTAAAAAATCCACAAAATGAAGAGCTGTTAAGTCCAGTGAGAATTCGATAGGTGGTCAACAATCACTACCCTCAAAGTTGTATCACTCAAGCCCATCCGTCTTATTCATCCTCAAAATTTGACTGTTATTTTAAAGCTGTACACACACATGTCAGCAAAGAGGTTTAGTGCACTTACCCCATTAGAGTTTACCACTGAATTGTCTGTAAAAGTAATTGAAGGGACTTTAATTTCGAGCAGAAAATGGAAATGGCATTAAATATGAACATTTTTCTGCTTCAAAACGATAAATTTAAGTCAGTAAAAATTAAATGGCGCACAGTGAACGAGAGAGGTGTTTCGGCGACTATATGCAATCTCAAACATTGGGTAGCTTTGCTCACCCAACTTCACAAGTATTGTTACTTATGTCGAGAGCACAAACTATTACGTTTCCTTACGCACCCTTTAGGCTATTTCCAGAACGGACTGTGGAAAATTCTAAGGCATCTCCTTGAATCATGGCGAGTGATGTGTAGGCCGTTGATTGGTTGAATGGCAAGCCGATGACAAAAATGAGTAAGTTTATGCAGTGCGTTATTTATGTTAACACTTGTACATCTGGTTGTTACTTTGATATTCTCCTTGCTCTTGTGCGCATCAGTTGGCCTTCGGGCCCAAACTGATGCCTTCGTCGACTTAGTGGGAAGTCTCAGGACGCTACAGCTTGAGCTTGCGTTTGCACAAAATAATTAAGCGAATTAACCTCTCAAGTGATTAACGACCTTTTCCAATCAATCAGTTGAAACCAGTGAATGGAGCAATTGGTCAGTTGATGCCGAACCAAGTTACGCAAGTTCACAAACTTCATATCAGAAAAGTTAGATTTAGCAAAAAAACGGCTTTGACCGAACAAATGACTCACGATCTACAGATGTAGCCGCTTTGGACTCCATTGACCAAGGAAGTACAAAAATGAACGCCCTTCTGTTTCACCTCGTCCAGTTCGTCAGCTAAGGAAAAAATCCGCCTGAGTGTTAACCGCAATTACTTCAGCACCTGGAAATAACCGAAGGCGAGTTAAACTATGAGAGAGCAAGTCTGTCTGCCTCGTAACCGCAACTTGGGGAGCGCTTAGTGTATGTACTGCGGTCTTGGTAATTAGGAATTCACAGGACAGGCCGTTTTCTGTTGTTGCGTCGTTGCCATGCCCGAGGTTAACTACACCAATGAAGCTCGAGCCTGTACAACTCCTCCACCCATCTTCACTTTGGCTGTAGTTACAGGGCTTGCAGATGTCCTGCTGCTTTCTTCTCCGATGATTTGTGAATTTCGCTCTTTAATTTATGGATCGCAGTGAACTATCAAAGAAAACAATGGGAACATTCTATGAGTCCCAAAGGAAGTGAGCAATCTGAAATTCTTCTTCATACAAATAGAACCTTCAAGCAAAAAAAAACTATAATGCAGCCCATGGGAACGTTTGCATTAGCACAGTCGTCGAATTAATGATCGAAGTCTCTTCGTTAGGACTCTCCATCTTTTACTACTTAAATAATTGTATGTTGTGTCTGATATTTTTGGCTAGTGCTTGCCCGTTTTACAGAATTAAGCTGTGTCTAGAGAGGCCTCTTGTTCCTCTCACGGCGTGGCACCTGATGGAGGTGTAACAGGATAGAAGTTTGTGCTATCCAGTGATGATTTTCTTTCAATAAACAAGACACCGTGCTGTAGTTCAGCTTCACAATCCACTACTGATTGACCTGCTCAACAAACAAGTGGTCACGCTGTTCCAGGTAAAAGAAGACACAAACCGTCATCAAGAAGACAGCCTTCACTTTGTGTACTGGTGGTCAATCATAGGTGGAAGTATTTACTACTTGGTGAAAATATGAAATATGGAATATGTCCTCCTCATAAAGCATGAATAAACTTAAAGAAGACAAAAAGGTGAAAGGAAAGCTGCGCTCACATTCTAACGGCCATACAACAAGATGGTGCTTCACACTAACCCAGGAGTGTGCATGGTGTCAACCTCACACGCCCATTTCCCTTCCTCTCATTTTTTCAGGGAAAATTCGATAATGTAACATAAACAGCAATGAAGGCGATTAAAGCTAGTTGAATTTTCTTCCTGATTTGAAAGAAATAAAGGCCTTATAAAAGCAAGCCATACAGTATAGTGTCTCACTATAATAGCAATACTTTGGCAAATATAAATGGCGAAAATTCTGGACTATTTTAGAAGTTACGGCAAAAGCTCATACCTTTAATCGCTTAACGCTGAGTTCCTTAAAACCACCGGCTTCTAGCCAACTTTGAATTATGAATTTTGGCTCAACTCGAGAGTCTTGCTTGATTGGAGTCCATCATCCAATCTCGTTGCCTCAACAGCATCAACGAAGTGGGTTCGATAGGGACCGGGGAAATAGAAGCACCAAATGAACGATCTGCTTGCGAGGCATCACTCTGCTGATATATTTAGGCTGAGATCGGTTAGTTTTGGACACCTCACCTAAGGCCACCTAATCCTTAAAGCCAAAGCTTTCTCAACGCCTTATGAAGGCGATAAATTACATCCCCATATCTTGCGCCCGATTCAGAGAGTTGTTAATTACGCACATTCGCTGTGCCCAACCCCATTACCTCACCATTGCTGCACAACTCAAGTGGGTACTCGTCAAGTCACTACTTTTAGAACCACTCTGTTGGAATTCTGTAAGGATTTAGCCATTTAGAAAAGCGCTGAAAATGGAATTTTTCCCACACCAACCAAACATTCCCATAGGCATGGACGCTACCTTAAACTAGCGAATGTGAAAACATTCACCTCACCTTTCATCTCAATCATCCGCGCAATTGAGGTTATCATGGAGTATTTGTTTTTGTCAATATATTAACCCGTATTTGCTGACACGGGCATACATACAAAGGATTTGATGAGCATCAACAAAGCAGTGCTAAGCATACACCCTTGCCAACCAAATTTTACAGAATTATACGATAATGGGCTAAGCAAGTCTCAAAAAGATCAGGATGAACTCAAAATGACCAAAAGTCAAGTTTCTGCTAAAATCACACCTCAAACCTATAACAAAATAATTCAGGCGGAAAAGAAGAAAGGACAAGAACAGGGTACCACATTATTACTGCCGCCAGCTCAATGAATTCAAAAGAGCCTGCCAAAAGGATTCACGTGGTGGCATAGGCTGTTCCGCATGGGAAATCTCCTTGACACGAGTGATGAAACGGGGATCGAGAACAATAGATAAATGGTTAACACCCGGTATGACCAGAGTTTCAACTTGGTCAACGCCTTCACTACCATTCGCCCAACTCTGGCAAACACTCAGCGACCGCATGTTCACCGTCCCATCACCATCAGCCTCGTAGACCACGTTTGGCTGAGCATCAGGAAAGGCAGAGGGGTAGATAAGAGTGCCGGGTGTCCGCACCGCCGAGCTGTAGATGCAGTACACCTTTTCTACGCCTGTGGGGGGTATTAAGCCATCCACGGTCAGCTTGGTGTCTTCATACATCTGAAAACCTATAAGGAGAGTTACAGTAACACCAGCTACGAATGAGAGTACCACCAATTAAATAAACTAAGGAAATAGGAGACCTCGTGAATAGGAGTTCAAACTAGTAGAAAGCAAATATACGCAAAGCTGAACTTTTAGGTAGTAAATTCGAGGAAAGCAAAACAAGTGCCTTCAAACCAAGGAAATTCATTCAAGACCCACGTAAGGGAAAGTACCTTCTTCTACCTACTTCTACCTTCCCTTCAACGCTTCTAGCAAAACAGTTTCGTTCATTTAATAGACCATTCGAAAACAATACAGCTTAAAAAATTTATCGTTTCAAAATAAATGCAAAATAGAGAAATCCGGATATAACTAAGGTGTAATTTCATAAGAGCGGTAACATGCTTGTTTTCCACTAACATATTAAGCTTGGAAACACTGCAGTAAAGATTTCTGTAATAGAAAAGAAGAAAGCCGAAACATCGGTCTACTAAGTTATGGGAGCTAAGAAAATACGAAAATCGAGGTGTGCAGATTGATTGAATAGTGGGTTAGAATTCAGCAATGAAGACTCCATGAATAACTTAATTCCGATCAAACGATGTTAAAAAAGAAGCAGCTTAAAGGTCTTGTTTAAAACTTCAAGTTTAGTCTTCTAAGACGAAGACAGATAAAACACGATACCTTCGGGGAAGCCGATGTCAGAGAAGAACTCCTTGTAGTCGTGAACAGTGTAATTTTTGGCTGCGGTGTAAATAACCACTTCGTCTTTAGGCCAGAGTCGCGGATCGGGGAGAAGGAAGGCCAACGAAGGCATCGAACGCTGCACCTCACGATACCACAGTGGATTACCAAAATAGATGCCAAAGTTGTCGCCTTTAAAAGAAGGAAAAATAGCATCTTCAACGCCTGTTACTGCCAAAATATGATATAAAACAGATCACAACCTAAACTAGCTCCCTTTGAGATGAGCTTAGTAAGGCTTTTAATTACTTTTAAAGAACAAACCGCCGATTCTAATACCGAAGTTGAGCAAAAGTCGCATGTTAGGTCAATAGAGTAATCATCGGTGATGTGACTGCGAGAATCCTTGTGGCATGATAAAAGAGGTAAACACAAGAGGGCGGCTACTTGGCCTTTGACTAATCGGAAATAACACAAAAGGCGTTAGTTCAGTTGTCCTTATTGACGCAGCCAATTAGGCAAACGTGCAAGCTCAAACATTCAAGGTGGAAGACGAGAGAATCTGAGTTCAATAAGAAGTCTTCAATGAAATAGGATGCGTTTTGGGTGAATGATGGGTTAAAACCAGCTAGGATGCGATTGTTCTCGGTCAAATCAGTAGCCTAGAGCCACGGGTAAGAGATAATTTATCAATCCACTGTGATCGCCCACCCGACAAGTAACCATTCACAACCACGGTGCAACCAAGATTTTCATAAACAGTTGTATCATTGGTGACGATGCAACAGGCCACTCGATTTTAATGGCCTCACATTCAGTGGACTAAAAATGAGCAGCTGTAGGGTCGAAAAATACATTCACTTGCATTCCTTTTGTGTATGTGTATGTCCGCCGAAAACAGAGCCACAACAATCAGCCGATTCCAATCAAACTGTGAGGTTACATACGCCAGTACTGCCTAAGCAGTGGATTCCTTCGACCAAAGACAAAGAATTTGGAGACATAAAAAGGGTGGAAGATCTACAGCGAATGCATTGTTATCCATTTCCTCAGCCATCCAAGCATAAGAGATGCAGCTGATCAGCAAGGCTGAAAACTGGTAGTGCCACATTTTGGAGGTACAATATAACAAAGAATGAATTGATTTAATCAGGAGACAAGATCGAACACCCATCAACAGTTCGCAACTGAGTTGAGCGGCGAAAGACTAGCCTTTAGCGTTGGTGTACCTACATAACGCTTTTGGATTTCGCAGAGCCTCTCCAAAAGGCTCCTAATGGCTTAAGCTTTGTGCCTGGAATCCAGCTGTTCAATTAGTGGCGTCAATAAGTGAAATTTTCGACTGAACAAATTGATCGACAACAGCTCTGAAAAGGATCCCGTACTACAGATCAAAGAGCGGTAGGCAGACCCAACAACTAGTAAAGATGAAGGTTGACAAAACACCAGAGACGTTGTCAAAATGCAAAAGCATTAGTAGCCAAAAGATGTAATTACGTGCCAGCATTCCTAGCACCAACGCAGCCCTTACAGAATTCAACGTATGAAATAAATGAACAAACACCTTGAAGGAAATAAATTTTGAATACGCTAGCTTAGCTTCATTCAGATATTATCAAAAATCAAGCCCATCAAAGATGTGAAGATAATACAATGTCGCGACTATGGCTTTAATAAATGGAGATACATTGCTAGGGGTATGAAACTGTCCGTTAAACGATTTGACCGGCCGTAAGTCGATCAGCACTATGAACATCAAACGAAGCTATTATTAGCAAGCAATCAGCAACTAAATTGAAAAAGAACCCCGATAAACAAACTCACCACTAGCTTCAATTTTTAATGCTTTTATGGATCCTCCAAAAGGTGCACTGACGGCCACAAACGCCTTGATATACTGACGCTTCCAGATATCGCTCTGATTTTTCAGAAAGCTCAATGCGTACAGCGCACCCATGCTGTGACCCAGCAAAACAACACGCTGATCCTTCCCATTGTGAAACGTATCTTCCACCAAACGTTTCAACTTGGGATTGAAATCCTCATTCTCGTCTATTTTCGTACACAAAAACCTTAATTTCGGAGAGTTATAAATGAAAAATACAGTCTTCAACCAAGAACATACTAGGCGCCCTGCGAAAATCGAAAGGAGCTCCGCGAATAGTAGAATTGGGAACATAATAGGGGTTTTGAGTAAAGGCTGCGGTCAAGTCTTGAAAGTACCTAGTCACCGAATGTGGGTGGGAATCAAGGTTGTCCACTGGCCATGTCTCCCCCCAACCCGGAAAAGTGATTATCGCCTTATCATTTTCCTCCGTTCGCCTCGTCGCATTGTTATACTTGAGCCTGGGAATCCAAAACAAGAAAAGACATATCTAATCAGTAGCATCAATGCAAAGAGGGTGATAACTTACTTGAAGTAATCACTAAACGTTCTGGGTGAAATGAGGTACCGCAAATCAATCCAAATTTGAAAGGGGTCAGATTCATGATCCTTGAACTGAGCATAAGCTTGTGAACCACCGTCACCTGGTACCAGTATGAGAGGATGAGGAAGTCTGCCTGCAATCCACGATTTCAGGGCAGCCATGGAGAGCAGATGAGAATGAGAAGTGCTTGATGCCAAGACCAGTAAAAGCAAAACTTCTGAAAAGAACAGTTTGTACGATGGAAAAAACATTTGACACTAAAACAGAGGACGGAACAGGCTGAATATGTCTTCCAGGTTTCTAACGAAAAGGTCCTCATGCATAACCTTCGCCTATGTTTGCAAAACTAAGCAGCCTTAAAAAGACCACAGTCCCATATGCTAAATCCCCACACAGATCAGACAAAAGGACGATCAAAATGCCCGCCTTAACCAGTAAGGCCTTTTGTTGGTATATTTAGAAAGCCAAGATACGGTTTATTCATAAAAGTTACCTGCGGCATTTTAATGTCAATTGACTTTATGCGTGCGTTTACTTTTCGAATGAAAAAAATAAGGAGATGTAATTTATATGACAGCTCTCAACTGTTGTGTTTATGGAGTTGTAGCCCAGCTAAGAAAAATTTCGTAATTGTCTTATAGAAAAATACTATGCACCTATTATTGTGCCTTATTTATGCGAATATATGATGTCTAGTGGTTGGTACTGTAATACACACTAGTTTGCTTAAGTGAACTTTTATGGGTGAGAGCCGGGGACGAATCGTGAACGTGGGTCATGTGCGTGAACTCGGCGAGGAGCTCCCCTCCGACTGATACCTCCAACTCTTCTCACCTGTATCCCATTACCATCCTCCCTAGTAGCTATGCCTAATAAAGCCTCTGCAACCAACAACTTCTCGAAATCTGAGGACCAAGAATCAGATGGAAGACATGCCGTTACTGCACTGGTGGCAGCGTTCGTCGACATCCCTTCCTTCAAAGAAGGCACTGATTTCGATGACTGGCTTTTCTAAAGAACTCTACAAGCCTGCTCGGCGAGTGCCATTACAACTTTGAGCCTTGCTCTATGACCTACGTCGGGAAGCAATGGATGCGGGTGTCTCGCTTTCCTCAGATATGGAAGACTGCTGTAAGGTCCTTGTCAAATTGGCAGGAAGTGATGAAGACTTTGCGGGAAATCTGCAGGCATTAGCCAAACAGGATTTCAAGGATTGCTGTCCCCTGCGGGTTGCCTCGTGGATAGCGGCCCAGTTCAAAAGGTGTGTACGTCCACCTGCTTTGGCAGAACAATTGGTGCAGATGAAGACTAGCAGATTGAGCCGCCTAATCGATGCGGCACTAGCTAGGAGCCAAGAGTTACAACTCTCAACCGAGTACAAGGCACGCATTCGCCCGTGGACTCCAAACGACCTACTGGCAAGCAAAGGCTTGCGCTCCGAAGCGACTCCTCGACGCAAAGCAAGACACAATTTTCTTTGTTTTGCCAAACTCCCTTACGATGTTCTACCTTTATGCATGTATGAGGCAATCTAGAAGGTCATACATGCTTGTTTCTTTTGGACTCGGGGGCAGCCCGCCCCTATTAGATCCACAGGCTTTCCCCGTGATATGCACCAAGGCCAAAATTGCCCCACGGGCTACTAGACTACGCTCTGCAGAAGGACAAGAAATTTAAGAGTTTTAATCGATAATGACAGCTGGGGGGTAATTTTCGTGCTATGCTCGGAACTAGCCTGGGACGTAATGTTAGGTACCGACTTTTTACGCCAGTGCTGAGCGGTTATGAACTTCGATACGGGCATGCTCAAAACTCACCGATGGTCCAAGAAGAAGTGTTTGGTCCCTAAACCAAGGAAAGACGCCGATGAAGTATGCAAATCCCTTTTCGTTGCCCTTGCCATTCCCGGGACAAATCTAAACGACCTCTGCGCTCAACTAAAACGGGTTACTGAAGCTGAGAGGAAGGAACTGCACTCGCCCTCGAAGACTTACTCACAGATGTTCTCATGGGAGGGAGCGAAACTCGGACGAACGAACATAGTCAAGCACAGAATCGATACGGGCGAGGCCAAACCAGTCTGGCAGCTCCTGCGACGCATACCTCCACTCCTCCAAGACGAAGTACATCGGTTGATTGACGAGAAGCTGCGCGATAACGTTATCAGGCCTTCCCAGTCACCCTGGGCCTCCCCCATCGCATTAGTTAAAAAGTGACGGTAGCCTACGTCTATGCGTCGATTATAGGAGGCTCAATGCAGTAACAAAGAAGGATGGAAACGGGATACAGGTGAGAAGAGTTGGAGATATCAATCAGAGGAGGCTCCTCGCCGAGTTCACGAACGTGATTCACGTTCACGATTCCTTCCCGACTCCCACCTATAAAAGTCCACTTAAACAAATTAGTATATATTACAAGTACAGCGTCTCATGACTTCCTCACACGGAAAGGAAGGCATTAATTAGGGCTGAATATATGTATTGCAGAGAGAGAGAGAGTGGATAAAACCTGAGCTTGGTCCGAAGGCCAGCTCAAACGTGCAAGGGTTGGATATTAGGTGACCACATAGGCAAAGGGTTACACTGTCCCCTCTTTTATTTTGAGCGACGCCCTTGGCGCTCCCCTTGGTACACCTCCCGCGCCAGCCATCACAACAAGCACCTAAGATACAACCCCACCAGTCGATAGATAGTATGAGAATGAGGAGCCGCAATTGGCCTTCTCGGTAGCTTTAACTGGATCTGGAGTCACATTCGGTCTGACAACCAAATTCAGGGCCCCACACGTCTGTTAACTATAAATTGCTTTCAGAACTAGACGGTGGAACTCTGGTCTAAAACATATGTTACAGGGAAAATGGGATGAGTCACTGTTCCGTACATAGGGAGAACCGTAGGGTTTATTTCTGAACCCATACACGAATGTGGGAAGGGAATACTCACCATGAAACTTTACCAGATGGTTCACGACAGTGTCGCTTTAGTTGTTGATAGCTTATCTGTGGAACACGGGGAAAAGGGGAGGCCAAACGCAGCTACCATTGTAAACGTTATTATTGTGAAGGATATTAAGAAATTATCCCACTCTTAATGTTAATACGCCTCCCCACACCACAGGTATGCTCCACAAACTGTAAATACTAGAGGTCTTTAAAAGAGTCGGGTTTGCTATCCGTTGCCGCCAGAGCTGCGTCGAAAGACTGGGTACGTGTATTCTAGGGAGAACATAGATTAAAGCTGAGCTTGGTCCGAATGTCAGCCCACACACACAAGTTCGGATAAATAATCAAAATAACCGCGAGACGTCAGGCTGTTACATAAACAATGCACTATAGTTACTTCAGCATTCGCCTAGGTCTTGTACACGTGGTCTTACCCTTGGATCAAGCCAAGGCTGAATCCATTTTCTCCACTTAGAATACATAGATACAGCTGAACTTAATGTCTTCTATCTGATAATGAGCAAAATGCAAGAGGCCACCTCAAGGACTATTAATTGCAGATTTTTTTATAGCCACTTGTGTGATCACGCGACCTTCAGGGCGTACCAAAATCCTTAAATTCCTATTAACTCCTAAGCCTACACACCCTCCAGGGAGGTCAATAGATGTCTTAGACCTCAAACCGTACTATCCAGAGGTACCTGCAATTTGCAGTGACCTTCCAATCGTAATTCGCAAATTACATTACTGTCAAGAAAGTCTGATGACTCGGTAGTTCTACGCAAGCACTTAATGGAGTAGGGTACCTAGTTGCCTAAGGGCAAAATTATTCCCTAACCACTCTCTGTGCAAACGAAGACATTACGCATACAGAAGGTTTTATTACCACAAGCACTGCACGTCTACAACCTCTGGTGCATCACAAGAGTTTCGGTAGTGCTCTCAAGTGCTCTAGATCGAGAACAGGTGCATCGAAATTTATGTTTTCCTCTGCCTCTCCAACCACCTGCTTATCGTCAAGACCAGTTGAAAAGACACGTGAACAGGGCAGGTAGCTTTCCCGAGTTCCACCTACTTCACTTCCCTCCATCACAGTGAATCTGGGAACATCGGAGACCTCAGTAGGGTAAATTCTCTTACGCCAGTCACATCCCCCATCTGGCAGCCGTACACCCTCACGTTCCTCTCCGGTCAGTAATTTACGCTCCTTCGAGTAACGCTGCGTTGACAGACTAAGGTCTGGGCCATTATAACTGACTTCAGGTGATATGACAGCGGTGGACGCTGTCGAGGGCGCCAGCTGTGCGATTAGGGAAGGTGGGAGGTACTTACGCGCCAGACCCATCAGAATAGCACTCTCATCAGTGGATTTGGGAATACGGCGACCGTATCTTCGTGGAGGTGGTGGTGGGGAATGGGGAGGCAGATCTGAAGTGAAGGTGAAACTGTTGCAGGAAATGGGAAAACTGGCCTCCGATTGGCCTGGTTGGGGAGTGCTTTTTTCCCTAAAAGAGAATTCGTAATTTTTTATGCGGCTCTTGTTACTCGGTTAGGTATTAGTACAGTAGCCTTCTCCTCCAAACGAAGAAGTGAATATGGAAAATCGGAATAGCTATCTGCATGTTGAAAAGAAGGCAGGTAATGGCACTTAATGTGAACGTTTCACACCAACAAAATCGATTAAAATTAGAAGTTCATAACTCGAAGACTTTGATTTTTGCACGATTTTAGTTATTGGTCAATATAGCCGTGACTAAGCAAATTTATTGGCTGTTCCACAAACTGCGAGACTCAATTTCAACTATCCAAAAAGGTACGGAATCTCTCGATAAAACTCACGGCCCTCCACGAGACGCCATATTAGTTTCAAGGGGCAGGAGAGAATGTGAGAAGTTGAGCTTCGCAGCCACCTCCTCCTCACAGCGTCGCTGATGTCGCGCCACGTCTGCCTCGGCATCGGCGTCTGTTTGACTTGGCCACTCCGTGTCTGGAGCAGCAGAGGTGGAAGACAAACGCGGAGGTGACGCCACTGCAACCAGAGACAACTCGTTCGGCACCGAGAATGTCTTGCGCATGTGTGGCGCCGACCTGAGTACTTGTTGGATGCCCGCCTTTTAAAAATACATAGACAAAGAGGCAGTAGAAGAGGTACTTTAGCACATTTTCTGCGCATCGTCAGGAGCTCTTAGCATGCTTTGTCGAAATGGGAAAAAGTTGGCAGCACTTGGTACCAAATAAGTGGAAGATTTTTTTTGTGGTGGTTGATTTTCGCAGAGTCAACGGTTAATAAGGCGAAAACCTGACGATAGTTGTGACCTTAAAGTGGAAGTTAGGTGAAATTATGCCTCTGCAGATAATGAGCCAGTGTTAAAACATGAAGTTAGGAACTTATTACACGATCAAAAGCCTAGTAAGTTAGTGGGCCATGGAAGAAAGCAAAAGACTAATATCAGAATAAGAGAAAATTTTAGATGTATTTCAAAATGAAATTTAAATACCCTGGTTCCCCAGAGTTATTTATGAAAGCCACAATGGTAAAGGAATTTAAGGAGGCTCCACTTTAGAGGAGTTTGAAAGGACTATAAAGGTTGTGCCACTACAATTTTGCTCCCACCCATCTCGCTCTCCCAAAACCTGGTACTAGGGCTCTGAGTGCCGAAAACTGCATTTAACAAAATCGCCCCATTTTGTGAGGTGAGCATTTGAAAGAATCAAGTTTATGCTCAATAAATATTCGAAAGAGGTTACTTAAATACCTTGAAAAGATCAGTGTGGTCCCGATGAGGTTCCCAAGTTATTTCATTAACCATTAATAGAGTATTCCAAGAAAATTATGTGATTTATTCAAATTCACACGAATATAAGAAAACTAGGAATCAGTGCTTGAAATTTTCATGATTGCGTGTGCAAGTTGTGGCAAAACAGCACAAAAGCAGATGACGACTTACCAGAAGTCGACTATATCCAGTATCACCAGCGCTGTTTTCTTTACAAGAGCTCTGAAGATTCCCCCAAAAAGGAAATTGTTAGAATCCTGAGTGTTGACTGGGGCAGCTGTAAAATAGCAGCCACTGTGATTCTTATTTTGACAACAGTTTACTACTATATCAGAGTAGTTGGCTATATAAGCAATGAAATCATTGTGGTATGCGCCTCCTTCTCATTCACTCATGCAATTTCCTTAAAGGGTTGTTAAAGTGGGGTATAGTGGGCAAAGTATCGAGGCACAAGTGGAGACTGCGCACACACTGAAGCCAAAAATTAACCTGTTGTGGCATGGTGCGCTTACCCTGGTTAGGCGCTAAAAGCAAGAGATACCTGAAGTGGAGGGACGTCCGACGGAGAAAGTCGTTTATTTGTAAGGCTAGTATCAAGAGAGAGGACAGATTCCGGTGACTGTTGAAGGATTGGAGGCTGTGGTATAGGTGACTGAGAGGATGGCAGAAACTCAGGTGATTCATGAAAGTGGTTCACATACGGACAGACGCCTTGAGGTTGCGACAGACAATTCTGAACTATGAAAATGTCAGTAAGAGAATACTCAATTGAGACAACTTAGATTTCAGCTCTTGATTGTAACAGTCTTGGTCAAATGTAGGATGAGAGACTATCATGTTTTCATCTAGGAGTAGACGGAAGAGTGATATGAATGGCAGTACTGTGTGGTCGTTAGTATATAACTTCAAGATGGAAATAAAAGTAACTAACAATGGTTAATATTTGAAGATTTTGCAGCCCATGAGAATTCAAAACAGTACACTAGTTGCCAAATAGCTTTACACCTCGCCCATAGCATCCAAGGCTTGTTTTCCTTATGACAGGAATAATCACTGACTTAAGCCGAACTCCAGTGAGAGATCACATAAGGCCAAACAAGGACCAAACGTAGAGATCCAAACAAAGCATGTTTGGCATTTGTTTAAATAAATTATCTTCCCAATTCAATGGGCCATAAGTTACATTAACATTTAGTAAGCGGACACAGTGTTATTGATAAATTATACGGATACTAGCTTTCCAAAATATTCCATGTACGGACGAATTTCGACATTTCACAATGAACTGCAGTGGAAGTTGTCAGCACCAAGTAACATCAAATGGGCTTCAATACCTAACCACCCTAATGAGACGATACTGAGCATGATAGGACAGAACATTCTACATAATATTTCAAACGGGGTTCACTGGACATCTTATAAAACAGAAAAGCAAGGTGGCAAGATATTTCCACTTTTGCCAACTTTGAGACCTTTGAAGTCTATGAACCGAAGTTCACAAAAAGCTATGATATGATTGATTAGTAGGAATGCATATTAAGCCATCTATAAGTAGTTCTCTTACGCGGTTCACTTTGAACCCCCACTGATTCTACCGTTTGTTGGGGAGTTTGCAGTGATGGCAGTGCCAAGGGCTCATGTCCGTTGTCAGCGGCTGAGGGCCAGACCTCGCTGGTATTAACAGCCACATTGCACACTTCGCGTTGTGTTGGTGTGTTGGTTCCAACTGTCACCTGCTCAATATTTGCTGTCGTTTGCTTCTGAAGGGGCTGTTGTGCAGCAAGCAAACGCTCTACTAGCGCCTCCAACCTCGATATTTCTTCGTGAGCTGCTGGTGGTGCATTGATGTTGCTGTTTGACCAAAGATGACAGCAAGCAGGAGACACTTGTGAATGGCAGCACTGAGGGAGTGGTGGAGGTGCTAGTGGAGGTAAAGGAGGGGAAGGCGATGGGAAGTAGCGGTATGGACTGTAAGCAGGTGCGGTGGCAGTGACGACGCCCTCCTCCAGCAGCATTGAGGCCTCTGGCACCTCGAAACCTGTCACCGCGGATGGATAGGAAAATGGAGGCGAAGCGATGTCGTTGGGTTTGGGTAGGTGAAATTTGACGGAACGCTTCCTACAAGAAGCATCGGTATAGACAAAGCTTGGGTTATACATAAAAATGTCTGTATTGTGATGTGATGTTGTTATTAGTGTTCTAACAAAGTTCTGAAAGGTCTTGCAAACCACAACGAACTGATTCCCACAAACTACATTCATTTTGACTCCATTCATTTCTCAAGACCATGACCGGTGAGGAAAACATCACACAGTACGAAGATTTGAGAGAATATATTGAGTAAATGGTAGAAGCAGAACTTCAACCAATAACAGTTGTCGACGTTGCTTCTCAATGCGATTCTTGTAACACCGTATTCGTTTCTAGTCTTGTAAGCATGATTCATCAGAAGTAATAAGGGTTTAGGAGTCATTTGCGTTTTCAGAAGACTTGAGTAAAATGTTGGGAGGAGAACGGAGACTCCATTTAATTTTTACAAGAACTCTTCGAGAGGAACCAATACTTGGTGGATTGGTAGCCGTGAAAAGGAACAAATGCTACCGACTACTTTTGCAATGGTTTTGAGATTCGCACTTTTCAAAACAATGTTTGCCCCTATCCCCTCAGTCGAAGATGATAACATAAGCCAAAGAGGCTTTATAAGCGAAGAAGGGTAGTGTGTTTACATGTGCTGAATGTCGTTGGCAAAAGGTACTGAAAGCACACATTTGCCTTCTACTTCAATCACGTTTAGTGCAAGGGTTGTTATCTCGCATAGCTATACAGGCCGAGTGGAATAAAGTTTCAGTTGTTGGCATTTCTGCTATGACATTCGAAGGTTAGTTTGGGATTCAATTCAGTTATTGTTACAATCACAAAAGAAAAAAAGGATGTAAACTAGCTGTGTGAACGTGTTGAGTAAACCTGCAATATCATCACTTATGATAGCTGACCAGAAGTTGAGATCGAGTGATAATACTTTGCGAAAGATAACAAAGAGCCAACTATTACTGCCTGAAAACTGACAATCTGCCAGAAAATAAAGTGCTGAAGGATTCTTGTGAGTGACGATCTAACCTCAACTTAATAATGAAACATACTCGACACCTTTTAAGCCAAAACGTTGGAGTCCTCATGAATCTCAAACTGTCCAATTGAATAAAGCTAATCTCCCGATTTAACTAGTAAAAAAAAACACACAAACCTGCCATTCTGCTTTGATTGAGTAAAGGACGACTTTCTACTAGATGAAGTGATCCTCAGTGCTGGAGAGGGCCCTCTTATCACCAGACAGTCTAGGTTAGTGGACAGGCGAACCACAGCCTCAAGCATTTTATTGTAGTCTGCAAGAGCCATCTCATTAGGGAGGTCTACTGGACTGAGACTGGTTAGATGCACGACAATGCGCTGCGAGGGGACTCGTGAAGAGCGAGATTTGACGTCCTCGGAAGCGGTGAACATGTGGAAATTAAGCTACATGAATAGGGAAAGGAGACGGAATTACGAAGTGCAGAGAAACGAAAAGTTAATGGGACCTCAATGATGTATGAGACGAAGAGATTTTGGGTCCCTTCTCAAAACGGCAAATTTGTTTTAGGATCCAACCTAACTTGCCGGCAATGAGGTAGTGAATTTCCAATACCTCATCTCGCAAGGTTGTGACCAAAAAATCTAGCGAAAATGTTTAAATATTCTGGTATACAAACATAAATAATACAAAAAATAAATTTGGTCAAGTTTTGATGCACCAACCACAGGGACAAGTTGTGGCTCCTGCGATAATATCCGAATCGAAATTTTTCGAAAAGTACTTGATTAAGTAGAGCATGGTTCCCCATTTTCATATACATTTCGCTTACTATGCCCGGACGAAACAAGTGACACGTTTGTTAAATGACTGAGAAAAGAGTATAGAGCACTTATCTGGGCAACTGTGATCGTAGAAGAGATTTTACTTAGGGACTTATATCTGCAGGCACTATATTTATATTTCAGCTGGACATCAAAATCGAATTACATTTGTGGCTCCACTCTTGAAATATTGTGGAAAGGACAACTGTTTTCACAAATATGGACACCAAACGGGGTTTTATGGTAAATCTACTATAAACGGAAAAATAAAGCATTTACAAAAGTCTAGAATCTGAACGATAAAATCAGTGGATCTACCCGTTTGGGAGCAGATCAAGACCATCTATATGCAATGATGTTAAAGAATAGCATATGAGTAAAAAACAGATTCATCTGACTTAGTTTCAAAAGACAAAAAGATCTTTCCTTCGCAAAATGTGAATAAAATGTAGAAAACGATCGCCTACAAAATACGCAGTTTCCGTCTGCTTGCAAGAACAGCGGCGAAAAGGTATCCGAACTCTCGAAAGAAACGCATTCAACAAAGAACAAATACGTTGGTAGCATTTGAGTCAGAGAGACATCGTAAAAACAACTGTGCATTTTGATAGCAACAAAAAGGTGGCAAGAAAACAAGAGGACATTACATTTCAGCCGGCAAAGAGTTCAAACCAACGCACCCTGTTGACATAGACGTAGTTCGTCGAAACAGAAGTAGGTGGTGTGAATTCAAGGCAGGGAGAGCGTGATATCGCGTTGTTATCGTAGCAAATAGAGTAGAAAGAGATAGTGTTACTAAAAGCACTGTGCACAGCCAACACAGGCGAGGTGCAGAAAACACGCTGGCCCCTAGGTACAAACGCATAACGAAGAACAGACAACCAAGTATGGAAGGTGGTAGGTGCAGTGGTTGCGCCCTGCTCTTCTTCCAGTACACCTGTACACCACCTAGAGAGAAGGCAAAATACGTAAAATCTTAATAATTCTGCACGATATTAAGTGCCACACGCATCATCACATACACGCCAGCAGGTGGAGTGCTTTGAATAATCCTGTCTCCATCTGAATGAGGCACGAGGCATCCAGAGGGATCCATCATAAAGAACCTGAAGCATATAATGGCAAACGTACCCCTTTTCTGCCTTTCAAAAAACCAAGTTTCCTTAATGCATACTCACCCAAAGCGAAATTCCTGATGTACACTACCGGAAACAAGACGTTGAAAGTGATTAAACTTTGACCTAGTAGAATTCGTTTGCAGACAATGGCGGAAGCAATCACTGTCGAAGGGATAACTCTTGATCTTCTGCAATCCGAGCGATATATTGGGTATGATTGCATTAAAAGTAATCCAGGCAAATTCCATTTTTTTGCCGCTTTCGGAATGAAAGCTAGCAATTGACCAAAGAAAAATAAAGTCCGAGAAACGAAATGGAGAGCCACTTTGATAAGAAATGCCATTCCACAACTCTGTGATGCGTCGTGAAAAAGTTTCGATTGAAAGTATGCTCGTCTGGGGCCCACGAAGTAGCTAACATTTTAAAAATATACCAATAAAGAAATTTCGACCATATAACCAACGCACACATCATGCTCGTCAGCTTACAAAAAGCGGTATGATAATTTCCGAGGGTTCAAGAGGTGGTCGCCCGACAGGTTCCGCAGATTCAAATATGTCGATAAAAATCTCGATTCTATTATCCGAAAATACTTTGAATTTTCCAACAAAAAATGCTTCGATGATTTCCAGGGAGCAATTTGTAAAAAAGGAGTTGGCGTCAGTCAGAGATCTCCGCGACATTACGATGGAAATTTTGCTTAGTTCAGGGATTGAGTAATAACCGATGACGTACCAGCCGAGAATTCCATCATTAAGATGAATCCCTTTGTTTCCAGTGGTTGTACTAATCCGTGCCATTTTATCATCGCATGATTCAAACCCGATATACCTACAAAAGTAGAGTGAGTCCACTACAACACACCCATTTGCAAAGACTACATGCTTTGAGAGTATGCAAATGTGCCGAAAAATGCATAAGTATTTTTAAAAAAATCGCAAAAAATTACCAAAAGTTACCAGTGTTTATGGAGTGTGCAAACTCAAAATCACAACGGCCAGTTGAATCAACATTAGGGCATTCAAATTACTGCACTTTCTATGTACACAAATGTGAACGATAATAACAATTTTACCTGAATTCACCATTCGTGACTCCGTAAATTTTACTGCTTATTATGTATATCAACTGTCAATATTCGGAATATTATTTATTGCTCTAGTGCTGTTAATCAATGCCTGTGAATATGAAAGTTGCCACTGTAGTGTCCCGAGACTTCCTGGCCGGTATGAGAAGTCAGTAAGTGCAGCTGGATACATGTATTATGAAGAGGACAGGACAAATGCGCCTGGGCATGTCCAGAAGGCCAATCCACATGTATAAGGGCCGGGAAAATCCCAGTCACCGCCGAACCTCAGCTAGTCACATAAAAAAGCATTATACTGCCCCTCTTCTTTTAACCGACGTTCTCGGCGCTCCCCTTTAATACACCTTCCGCGCCAGCCATCATACTGTATTCGGTACTACAAGAATTCATCCATGAGCTAATTGCGTCAGTCGACAGATAGCATGAGAATGAGGAATCGTACTTGATCTCCTCGGCAGCTTCAACAAGTTCTGGAGTTATATTCGGTCTGACAACACATTTGGGACCGCATACATATATTAACCACCAATTGCTTCCAGGACTAGACGGTGGAACTCTGGTTCAAAACATACAGGTTACTGGAGAAACGGGGTGTATGGGGAACCGTGGTGTCACTTCCGAGACCTAAACACGAATTCTTTATGGGAAATTCCGATACGAAACTTTACCAATTAGTTCACGGTGGTGTAGCTTCAGTTGTTAATAGCTTGTCTGTGGAACAGGGAATAAGGAAAATCCAAATGTAGACGTCAGTTCAAATCCTTTCTTTGCGAATGATTCAGAGATTCTCCGTCACCGAGGTAAACGCGTCTCCTTTAATTCTCGTTCTGTTTTCGCCTGTATCTTTATCTATTGCTCTTCGATAGAGTCAGACTTCCCTCTACGCATGCATAGTTCATGATTGCCGGTGCACAACACCAAAATGCGCTTCTTAATCTTGGATTCCTCCATCAAGATGTAGAATTCCTTTGAAGTCTCGTCTGCTGGTTGGATTATAAACCGCTTATCGTGAAAAGAAAAGTATCGACATTCAGGCCAAGAGAACCCGATTTTGGGATATCTGCGTGTATTGAACCAGTGCATCATTCGATCGAACCGTTGCTCGTCGGCTGGTTCGTGCTATGCATTTCTGGAAATCACTCGATTAATTGACAGTTTAGCAACACAAACGTAGGATGTCTGTAAGACAGCGGTGTCTGTTGGGTAACAGATTTTGCAGCACACTGTGTCGCTTTCAAAAGCACCTTACACCTAAAAGTCGTTAAAAATATCGGATTCGCTTTCCACTGCCACCAGTGTAGGAACTGCCTGCATAACCTCATGCCCTTAAACCACGGACTTCAAGAGAGCGTTAGTTGCTCACGATTTATTTGGCATTAGATACAGGAAAAATGGGAACTGGAGTAAAGATGAGCCGAATAGAAGATATTAACCGGAGAGAGATTCCTCACAATCCTTGCGCACGTGATTCGCGTTCCAATTCATTTCCTGCCCCTCTCCTATAAAGGTCAACATAAATGCTCTAGTATATATTACAGCTCTTTCAGGCTCAGTTTTGAGCTTCCCTGTTGGAGAAGCACAAAAATGTGCTCCCTCTAAGAAGTCCATAAAATAAGTTGTCTTTTGAAGCCTTCTGGATGGAAAATATTTCATTATCACGACCTATTATGACGCCGTAAGAACTCTCAGTTGATAAAAGAATAGCCGCAAGTGGAGCTGAAACTTGTATTAAGAGAGAAGGGGAGACTTTCGACCCTCGTTATGGCCTAAGGACCAGCCCACACCATCGCCAATAATTCGTGACGTCGAAAAAACAAAGCATTATATCCCTCACCCTTTCCCACTTCTTTTTTGGTGCTCCGTATTGAGCATTCCATGTCCAAAAAGGGGACAATTCCGTGTGATGGTCGGGTCAAACTTTATTATTTCTTCTCACTCCTATCTGCTCTGAATAGTTGGCCTGCCTACCCGCTATTTTGTTTAGGTTTAAATCTCTCCAATGCCTCACAAGGTGCTTTGAAACAAGTATTATGCATAACTCTTTTAGCCCCGCATGGCTCCCCAATATGTAAATGAAGGCATTAAGGAGGAGAGAATAGGTCCGACTTGGGCATAAGGGAAGCTCACTTATACAGGAGCAGGGTAGTTACCAAAACAGCCCCTAGTCATATAAGCGGTCACATACACACACACGGTCACGAATACACCCTCGTGCTTGGATTAGTGCAACCCACTTCCAGGTCTCAAGTTAACAGTTTGAGGTGAGACGGTTGTAAAGGCCCTTTCAGCTCCCGTTCAAGTGAACAATTCTATATTTAGGTCTTGGTCTTGATGAAGCCCTGGATTATGCTAATAGTCTTACGAATTGTGGATGCTAAATATGTACATGGTCCATTCAAATGTTGCACCGCCTTGGTCTTCAGAGAACTCTTCAGGATCCACGCATCCTTACTGCGTAGCACAAATTTTAGCTCTGAAGCTTATGCAGTCAGATTGCCTTCTACTCCACAAAAGTGCACATGTCACGGTCACAATGATTTACTATCCTCTGCTGCTTGAGTTGATTTTTCGAAGGTCTCAGCTTTCCATTTATCATTTAGATACACATTTGGAGGCGCAAGCGTTAGAAAGTAGAATACTAGAAGTAGAAATATGGAATGCAAGTGATCCTCGATTTGGCACGCATTACTCCGCGTTATGCATCTCGTTCTAACCGAGATACAAGGAAGATGATCACGCATCTACTGAAAGCCCCATAAGATCATGAGTCTTGACCCTAGTTCTACATCTTACTGTCTTCAGTTTGATCACCTACTCATATACCCCACCACTTTCCTACCACAAAATGTCAAGGGAACATGATCAAAATTGTCCAAAGATTCATGGAATCCAGGCCAGCACATTAACATGGTAATGGTTAACGACATTCGATTATCACTTTCTTCGTAATGACCTACTATAACTTTTTTTCTTCTCCTTCCTATGCTGATACTTTCAACACCTTCCAATCAGGACGGTAAAAACACTAGATAAGCATATTTAGCTATGAAAGAAATGTCACCATCATCATTAAAATAAACAGCGTCACGATGACAAGATCTGTTCAGGTGATTCTGAGGATCGACTAGATGGGGAACACGTTGGTGAGAGCCGGTTAGGATTCTGAAGAAGCAGCAGACTTCCACCTTCTACACCACCACCCTCGCCATCGTCTCCTCCACTGCTTGTGCCCACAGAATGCAAATGCTGCTGATCCTGAGTTTGTGGCTGGTGTTTTCCTAGAAGTCCCGAAGCCATCACCACGGTCTCGGAGGAAAGAGACATCCACCCAGAAGAGTGGTGCGGTCGTATCATTATTGGTGGGGACGTGAGAAACACCGAAGGCGAGATAGAGCCTTCAGTGAGGCGGCGCACACGCCGACGGCGAATCATGGCGGCACGACGTATCAAGCGACACGGCGATTGGCTCGCCGGTGAAGGACTGCCTTCCACTTTTTCTAGGTTCAACGACTTTTTATCAATTTCCGCTTCTTCATCAGTGGAGTTGGTAGAGTCGCTGACCAAGCAAGAGACGCTAACGGAGAGAAAGTGACGATGAGGCTGTTTTACATGGCGGTTGAGCGGGCCGGATTTACCATGGCAACTCAACAGTGGCTCGGTGTCAGGCGGCGTCTGCTGCAATCCCGAAGACGAGGGGACATTTAGACTTGAAGAGCATCGGTGGATTGTCTATAACATGGAAGAACCCATTATTATGGGACCAAATAAGGTTGATAACAGGATGGTCAACCCTGCTGAAATTATTATGCTTATCCTTCGCCTGGTTAAGGATCAGAAACTTTGGACATCGAGCACAAAAATCTTATTCAAACTCACCACTGGTTGCCTACGTGATGAATTCTCTCCTCCTGAAGTATGCGCCCTCGGTGGCTCCAACAACCTCGAATCCACTACTACCACCTTCTGCTCAGATTCTGTCGCATTTCCCGGTGGCACAGGTAGGTAGCCCGGATAAAACCCACCAATAGGTGAAGTCCACAGACAAGCTGACTGACCTATCGCTGCTAAACCAAGCATATTCATCCACCGGGTGCGAGCAACTTCACTATCTGCGGCAAAAACAAACCGGGTCCATTCGTTGTACACTCGGAACGGATACCTTCCTGATCGTCCACCCTCGGTTGATACCGGTGAGATTGTGAATCCATGGAGAAGTATGAGACCCTCCGCATTCTCTTCTTCCTGGTTGCGGTAATAATAGAGAGTATTGTGTTTAAACACACACCATCGCTTGACGTAGCGATTTCCAAAAGAGGTAGAAGTGCGTTTTTTAAGCCACAGCCAACCCTGACAATTGTTTTTAGCTTTGGTGAGACTCAAACTAGAAGGCGGTGTAGAAGATGCGGAGGCGGCAGCACCGCACCCGGCAGAGAAATCGTCTAGTGAACCGAGGGTAATTGGACGGCGTCTGCACGTATGTGACGGTGTACCAGTAATATCAAACGGAGATGTGGGGGGCGCATGAAGCTCAGACTCGTTCGGTGATGGTGGCGGTGGCTCGGAAGTCTCGATGTGATCATGGGCTGAAACAGAGGAGAGGAGAGCAGACGGTTGGAGAGCTTGAGAGTAACGCTCCTGGCGGGGGCGATTATGCGATTTTGAGGAGACAGGAGTCTTGAGATAGTCCTCCGTAGCTGTTGATTTCAGTCCAGCTTTTGCCGACACCAGCGCTACTTCTTCTTCCTTCTCCTCTTCGAGGGAGATGTTCGCAGTGGTGGTGACGATAGCAGTAGCAGGGGTATTTGATGAGTTTGATAGTGGTTGCGTCCGTCGTTTGGGTGTACGATTACGCAGAAAGTCTGAACGTCTGTGAGCAAAAGAGATAGTCGCAATAAATGCGATAGAAGCAGAAAAGGGTTACATGGATGATATCTACATCCTTTTACAAGCACAATTTTTCTTAGGAGAGCAAGTCAGCTCAAAATTGATCCAATAACGTCCTCAATCGAACCAACCAATGAAAACTACGTTAATGAGTTCTTACTAACGTCATGTTCCAAGGGAATTAGCTACACGCGGGTAACTAATTTCTTGTGGCGTCTGCGTCCCTTAACTTCACGAATGAGCTTGAATTTGATGTTTGCAAAAACAAGCATAAAAAATGGTCAAGACTTAAATCTGGTAAAATCAAGATAAACCCACCTGGAATGCTGAGGTTCGGCAGTGAAGGGTCGCAGCGCCTTGGTCATAAGCTGCATGCGCTGGCGCCGCGAGTTGACCGAGAAGTAGTCAGTGCAGTGTGCGGGTCGCTTGCGGACCCTCAGTTCTAGGCGACGAGTGCTCTGCTGAATTAACCGCGCCACAGCACCATGTTCCCAACCCAGCTGCATGTAGACGGGAGAAGGGGGACTGGAGGTAAATCAATGACGTAATAAAGTGGTTAAATTTGCATCTCGATCAATGTGATGACATTACTCGTAACCACACCATATAAAATGAGTAAAAGTTGAGGCTGCGATGGGCGACTAAATAACGTGACTACAAGTTTGAAATCCAAACAGTGCAAGAGAATTTGCGTGTTTGTTCACACTCCTGCATGAAACTTTCATACTATTATTTCAGAAGTATGAAACGATAAAATTAGAGAACAACCCCCCGTTCAAAGGGCCAGACTATACTTGTGTGGTTAAGTTTTATCGAAAAGTGATAAATTTATTCATGATAGGCCGGTACCCAACCATGTAAAGACATTATATCGAACTGCCAAGGGGAAATGAACGCCATGGAAGATTAAAAGGATTCGAAAAGTCATTGGAAACATGTTTAACACAATTGATATTCGACAGCTGGTATTAATCCCCAATTCAAAGGAGTAATAAAAAAGAATACGCTTACTACGAGCTGGTGATTAACCTCGACTATCTCATCGTCCTTCGCAAGTCGTCCACAGGAAAAAGCCGGTGCTTGGAGCTATGAGGAAAAATAACCCCAAAAAGATTCCCAGACAGTTTTAAATCGTAGGCAAAATAAAACTCACATCCGAATCCAATGACTGGATTATGTGAACGTTGCAATCATTAGTGCAGAATGTAAATCCCTAAACCAAAACGACATAAGACCAAAATAATGCCTACATAACTTTCGCGTTCGCCTTTTCGCAGAGAGACATGTTCAACTGTACAGGGCGTTAGCAAAAGTGAGTCATCGCACTCGTGAATCACCACCTCCAACTGATCTCTCAGCCCTCTCGTCAGCTCCAGCATCGCATTTATGTAAGTTAAAATACTGGAATTCTTTAACGCTGATTGAAGGACGGTGTTCAGATCTACCGTGTGCTGTAACATGACCCCGCGAAGGGCAGCTAGCCTCGATATGAGCGAAAATGGACTCCGTTCGAGCCAGGAAGCAGCCTTCTTTACCACAAAGCCAAGGCGAAAAAGGCACTTTACCAGCTGGTGTACTAATTCGTCTGCTGGTTGAGTAAAGGATTCTTGGAAGCGAGCGCGCTTCAGAAGAGCAGCAAGTTGACCGGCGACAAAGACAACGCTAAAGAGAAGACTCTGCATATTTTCTACTTCCAAAGCAGCGTAGTCCTCTATCAGGCGAGATACTGTGTTTCGAATGCTTCGAAGATCACCAACTTTGGTGATACCGAGGGATTGAAGGTCGGAGTCAGAGAGACAGGAGAGCCACTGTCCACGCACATTAGAAGCACGAAGGGCGGCGAGATAGGGCTGAAAGGCAGGACCTGCACCTTCAGCCCAGGCAATGACCTGAGAATTGGACCATGTGACATAAGAGGGTGGAAGATTGTCCTTAGCCGTCATTATTTTCTTTGATGATTGGGTGAGACAGACGAGGATTCACCATCTAAAAGTGTAACCGCCCGTGAAAGTTGTTGGTTAAAGATGGTGGAAAAGTCAACTGCATAAAAGACAACTTAATTCGAGGAAAACTGCGGGTTGTCTCATTAAAGGTATACGAGGAAATCAAAGCAATGTATGTATGCAATTTTGAGGTCCCAGTTACAATAATAACGATAATAAAACATTACATGTGCCAATGTTAACGAAACCAAAGGACCCCAACACCCGAACAAATGGAGCGCAGAAATCAACTGCACTTGCCACGCAAAGACATAATTGGCAGTTGAGTGATACAAACAGTTTTAAGGCAAATAGAGACCTGTTGTAACTGCATTAATAGATAAAAATTATATTAAAAAGAATGTTAAAGACAAAATTTGCATTAGTATGCGTTACTTAACTTTCACATAATTGCAGGAAATGATGTAACTTTTCCCAGAATTTGTTGATAAAAGCACTTACGCTCATCGAAGTGCTAAAAGCAGCTTATTATTCTATCTTTTGAAAAAAACGGTGCGATACCTTATTAACGCAGAACATTCATTAAAAATTTATATTGAGCTGTCAATCAGACAATTCCTTTTTTAGGTGGCCACCTGATGTCCAGCGGTTTCTTTGTAATTCGTTTTGGCTGGACCACAGGTCGAACCAAGACTCAATTCCTCCTTCTTACAGAATGCATACATTCAGTCCAACATTATGTCTTCTTCCACCTAGAAGAAAATCTTGAGACGTACACAAAAAAACCTAAGGCTATTTGCAGCATCTCGAGACTTCACACCGTCGTTTCAACCTCACCATCTCTAAAGTCCTCCTTTAACGTTTCTTTGGGGGGCGGTCTACGTATATGTTTTGTTTAGCATCGCAAGAAGGTAGGAGCAACATAATAAGGTCGGGGAACCTCCTGCCTCCTAACTACAAGTTCGATAATAACAACAGATTTTGTGTATTATACCCACTATGTAAGAGAATGAATTAAGCCGGCTTAAATATACGTACTATAGGAGGAAAAAGAGCTTTGGCTTGGGTCAGAGGCTATCGTACTCGCACAAGAGCAAAACAAAAACCAAAGCAACGGCCAGCCAGAGAGGTGGCCTCATAAACGAAGTATTGAACCATAAACCAAAGGTCATCCTCCTCTGTTCCCCTTACAGGGCGTGGGATACTCTATGAGAGTTTACTGAACACACTTAGAGGTTAGCTAGCTAAATCGAGGAAACATATGCCAATGAAAAGACCCACAGCGACTCGTGGAATTTGCTATCGCATCCCTTAGGCATGGCGCTACAACTGAGATCCACACATGTGGGCGTCGAATTCCTATCCCTTTCAGGCTATGTTTGGGGGCGATGTCTTAAAATCCCTTAGGTAATTGGACAGTATGGACAAATATGAAAATTCGAGTCTTGTGTCAGGATTTAGCAAATAAACTGCACATAATGTGTGTCATATTTGAAGCAGTAGTTGGTTTAGGGAAGGGTGCGAGAAGAAAGAATCTTTCATTCGGATACCCTAAAACGAAGCTGTCTAATTTAAGTCTCGACCAGTGCCATTTTTGTTAATAATCACTAAACCGTAGAGCTAACAATCGTAATTTTTGCAGGGGATAAATTTGTGTCATTTTCTGCTTGGCAACAAAATCGATATTCATGTTGTTGCGGTTTACTGGCGCCGCGCATAGTCCATACGATGCATCAAATACACAATTGACGAACAGTGCCTGCTTACAGTAAGAGCGAATCCTGCCCTAAACTGCCTAAGAAAGTACAACTTCCACGGTTTCCTTAGCATGATCCCACAATGCAAGACAGTTTTGAATATCATATTTCCTACTGTAGTGCCCCGAAAATTCCCACCGGATGGAAGAGGGCCTTAAGTGCAGTAGAATGCATGCATTCCAGGGGAAGCGAAGGGGTCTGATCTGAGCTTGGCTCGAAGGATTGCCCACCAGACAAATATTAAAGTACTCGCCAGACACTAGGTGGTAACCTGAACAAAGTATTACACCTGGCACTATTTTCGATTGGTGCGTCATTGGCTAGCCTAGGGTGCAGTATTTTCAACTTTTATCTCGTTTATTTGGTTCAACAAACATTAGATGCAGTTACAGCTGATAAGAGGGATGGATGATATTTAGATCAGTTCCCTTCAGCTAATCAAAGAGGGACTAATAACTTGACCGGCTGTGGTAGCTGAAGGGCGGACATTGATGGGAGAGCTCTGAGGTTACCTATCAAAGGAAAGGGTGACTTCAGTAGCACTGTTTTGATGATTAATATCAGCAGTGGGCAGTTGAGAGGGTATCTTACCTCTGCTGAGTAAAATGGACTGAGTCAACCATAACTCCATCGGCTGTGTACCATCCCTAGACTTCCCACTAGGAAGAAGAAGGTATTAAATAGAAGTGAATTCGTGTGTTAGGAAGAAGAAGCAGAGGTATGGCCTTGGATTGGATCGAAGAATATTCCACGCGTACCAAGGCGACCGCTAGTCAAACAAGTGATCGCATGAATAAAGTATTACAGCCGTAGTATTTGCCTAATATGTGTATACTTCACCCACTGAAATATCCCCTAACAACTGCGGAGGAATCTCAAAAATGTCAAACGTAGCTACATGCTGATCAACAATGTTTTTTCGCTTAAGATCTACAAGCCTGTGCATTGAAATTAATAATTATCTCATTTGAGTCCATGTCGCCTAATTTATGCGTCCACCTGACATTCGACGGTGACTTTGGGATTTGTTTGGCACTTGCACGTATGGGCTGGCCTTCGGGTCATGTTCAGATCCAATCGCTTTGTCCTCTTTGAAATACATGTATCCAGCCCAGCTTGCTGCCTTCTTTCACCCGGAATAAGTTGAAGCCAAATGTAGATATCAGTCTGGACCCTTTCGTTATGAGGGATTCAGAGATTCTTCGTCACCGAGGCAGATGTGCCTACTGGACACCCTGCGTACATGCAACACTCGATAGGTGCAAGGATAAAAGTCGTTGAAAATGTAGAGTTCGCTTTCCACTGCAATCAGTGTTGCGTCCCAAGACTTCCCACGGGGTGGAAGAAGGCGGTAAGTAAGGCCCAAAGGCCAGCCTCGAGTTCAAGGGCCAGACAAATACGATCTGCTTAATACACTTTGATTAACTGTTTTTATAAGTAATCGTCACTTTTGCATCCATATAACCTTGAATGAGTGAGCTAGCCTTAAAGGTATGACGATATAGCATCTCCTGTCTTTCTGTTTGAGTATAAACAATGTTCTTTAGCAACCCCGAAGTACATTTGACGAAGAAGACTATTCTCGCATACTAATTATGCAATTAACGGGCAGAATTCCGAATTTGTATAATGGTTTTCTGGGTACATCATTCTGATATTTTTAATGAAGCTGAATTGTTTTCACGGTAGTTTTGAGGTAGCCAAAAGATGCTTTAGCGGTAGATACATTTTATGGTAAATTTAGGTGTCTGCAGTTTTGGTTGATTTTATACTCCAAAGCTTCATAAATTTACGAATTTGCAATTAGCATCCCCGGCAGGCATAATATACCATTGTGACCTTGTGAAGTTTGCGTGTGGGCGATTCTTACACAAGCGTAACGCCTGCCCTTTTGGCCGTGGCTTCTCGAGAGTTCGAGTTATTTATATTACTGGATGCAATTTTAGTTGGTAAGAGTGCGTATTATAATTGAGATATGCTTTATCTCGACATGTTCTGGGTCATGCATTTGTATGTTAGTGACTTCAAAACTATTATCACATAAACAGGAACGAGCGTCTGCATCATGCATGTGAAAGTGTTTTTTCATTCTGGATATATTTTGTGTAGTAACTTCTCATATGTAACTTTCTTCTTGATACCTTATATAGTTTTTGCTTAGCCAATTTCACCGCTACTTTTTAACTACATTCGTCTGTGTCCATTGCTACACCTAGACTGTCTTTGAAGTAAGTCCCTAATAGCATTGACTCAAAACCTTTTGCAACCATATGTTGCGTTCTTGGCGATCCGAGTTATGCCCTCTCCAATGTGTTGCATGGCTCAATTTACGCTGCATTTGAAGTTAGGGACTACCACCTTTTTAGATGAGAAGCCGCGCAAACAAAAAGTCTGGTGCCAAAAAGTCAGCAGACGTCAGCAAACCAACGATGGAACCATCTCCTCTCAATATCAATCCGTTAGTAAACACATTTTCGTTTTCAACTCTGTACAAATCGAGCTGTTTCGGTTCAAACGAAACAATTTTGTTGGGAACGAATACATGTATTTACATGCTTATTCACATTCCTTATGCACATTTTGCTTCATACACCAGACTGATGTCGCCCTTGCTACACTCAATATCAACAACGCTCATCCCAAAAAAAATCAACCTTTCGCCTGAATCGTTCCCAGGCGATGATGCTCGAATTCGTCCGATTTTTTTCCCCTTCCGTGTCGTTTTCTTCAGTCCTCTTAGTTGTCTTGCATTTTCTTGCTTTCATTCTATCTCTAAAAAAGGATTTACATCAACCTCCATTACCGGTTTACAAACCTTTTATTTAGGCATTAATGTAATTTTTAGTCACTCTGTTTTCTGTACACTTGTCCTTTTTCCCCTAACAGTGAACCACAAAACCAAGAAAATCGGAAGATGTCTTTCTTAACTCCAGAAGAGTTCGTCCGTGCCCACCATGGGCAGCGATGCATCAAGCGGGTGTGTTTTATTCTTTTCAGTTTATTGTGGAATTCACGAGCCGTATCAACTCACTTTCCTATTTTCTTCTTCTTGACATTAAGTAGCTTTCTTTTTAGATTTGTGACCAATATTTTTAAGTGGATTTGTAGATGTTCTATTCAGTAGTGCAATGGACAGGGGAATCTCAATCTTACTGTTAACGTTCGCTTATATGGTAATCATAGTTTAAAGAATTACTGATTACTGATTTTGCTCATGTACGTGTCATGACTTTCACGATTTTCACTCAGGCGCTCATGTTATTTCTCTTAATTCATACGATTCCATACTAGTTCTAGAGCTCCGTGTTGTCAGTGAGCATTTTGTTGCAAAATCTTCCAAGAACATTGGTTCAACGTAGACGAGAGAGTCCTATTGTGTGTTTGCGGTCTGTGATTGCGTTATCACTTTGTTGTGTGCGCGGAAGTAGGAAGTTACCATCCTCTTAATGCTTCTCCCATGTATTCGCCTAAGCATTTCTCTTTTGAGTCGCAGTTGATGATGTTCATGTCTTGATCTCGGTTTTACCCTTAGCCCTCACTTCCTGGTTGTTTTAAATCAATTGTACAGGCGAACCAGGATTTTTTGGACTTCCCTTACCTCAACCTCATCTGTTCTCAAAATACATCATTATTGTCCCAAACGTTTGCATTGGTTCCCTCTCCCTCTCCCCACATTTGTTGTATTTTGACCACCGAAAGCTGATTTTGTGAGCACTTAGCCAAATGGCATGGTGTGGTGCGGTGTTTTCCCCTGTAGTCATGCTCATATTACTTTACGTGGAACCTACAAAATAGGATGACCACAATTGAACACCTTTTCGTCGAACTCCTTCCTTGCGCTATCATGGTACCGAAGAGATTGTGGTTTATTTTGGAATAAAATTGATTTTTTATCATGCACCTGTTCTCTTAATCATTTACCTCGTCTTCTGTTATTCTAGCTGTAAACTATCAAGGGCTCACAGGTTTAGGCGGACTTTTTCGTGGATTTCTTGAAGTATAGCAGCTTTTATTTGCGCTGTACCTGAATCAGTATGTATCATAAAACGGAATTCAGTAACTCTTTTTCCCCCCAGTTGAAAATTTGGTTCTATTTCCGATGCTTTTTCTGGTTATTTGCGTTTCAACTCATTTTTCATGACTGCGCATTGTTCACGGGCGATCGTCCCGGTTCACTATCGGATTTCCTCACTTTAGAATGGTAATGGCTGACTTAAATAGTCTTACATTAGATGTGGTTCACTTCATTGTGTTTTGCCCTGCAACTCATGCCACTTGAGTAGAGCTTCAAAATTGTAGTGTGATTATCGCAAATTTTCAGCCACATGATGCATGAAACTGTGGACTGCAGAGTGCTTGGTTGTTTCCTTATGCAATTCTGGCGTAAGAATCTGCATTTACCAATTATAACTAAAGTTTTTTACTGTAGAACAGAAATGGGGTTACTTTGGCGGTTGGAATGCTGCTTTGTGGAATTTGGGTTTGGGGCATTGGATTATTGCAAAATGTATCAAATTGGATGTTTCCATGTTTCATGCTCATTTAACTACATTTCTCAAGTAGCCAACGATCCTTTCAAGTCTGTTGAAATTCCCATGTGTTTCTTGCAAACGACTCTCGATCAACCTTCGATTGATTATAAGCCAAGGGATGACCGTAAAATGTTAGCGTAATCTAGACTACCCAGATTTTCTTTTTTTAATTTAATTTCTCAAGGCAACTTCACTTTTGTATTAGAGCTCCTTTCATTCTTTCCGCGTTGAGCTCGTTTCTTTTTTTCCTACCATCTTGTTTTTTCTACTGAATTGTTTGTTTTTAGCTACTGGAATCTTTTTTTCCCGGTATAGAATCGTTTCTGTGTAATTTATTAGGTGGAAATTGTGCCATACGGTTCTTCTGATTGTAATCAAATCATAATGACTTGAACTTTGAGGTTGTAACTTCAATCGTGGTTACTTGCTTTCAATTTCGATGGAATAAGGCAATGTGTGTATGGACGAAATTGTCTGCTTACGTCTGTGTTCCTCGACCTGGAGGATATTTGCTAGTAGTCAGTATTTGTTAAAAGGGACAAACTTAGTGGCCTTATCATTACCTCTGTAAATCCTATGAACTCCACGATTTTGCAAGAGGTAGAGGACTGGTAGGAGGGCTCTTCAGTACTGAATAGTATGTGACTGAACTCGGTAATTAATCAGATACACTTAGCTTTGTAAAAATGTTCGACAGTTGTGTGTAATTCACTTGCCCTAACAGATCCTAGTAGCAAACAATGGTATTGCCGCAGTGAAGTGCATGCGCTCGATTCGCAGCTGGGCCTATATGACCTTCCGCAATGCGGAGGCCTTCTTCTTCGTCTGCATGGCGTCACCCGAAGATGTCCACGCTAGCGCGGAGTATATCAAGATGGCCAATAAGATGGTCATGGTACCCGGTGGATCAAATGTCAACAACTACGCCAACGTTGAACTCATCCTCCAGACCGCTGTCTCTAATCATGTCGATGTGAGTCCACCTCCTTTTTTGAGAAGATTTCGAAGGGGCAAAGGAATTGCGAATTCATTCCCGTTGAAGAGAATTTCAACATGTTTCCAAAAACCTAGTTAGCAGTGCGAACTTAAAGATAGCTATCGGTTTGGTGAGCAGATTATGCAAACTGCAAAGATATGTGTTTATGAACTTGGTACTCTTCTGCTTTACAGCTTTTATCTTCGACGTTCTTCTGGAATTTTTAGTATGCCCTCCTTTGCTGCCATCATTACAACTCTCAATTAACTTTAGCCGCTAAATATGAAAAGTTGACTTGATTAATTTGCACTACTGCTCCTCGATGCCATTGGAACAAACCTTATGCTGCCTTGACACCACCACCTTTTTATTAGAATTTTGTCAATGGTTCATCTAGGAAGCATGGCCTAAGACTGAACTGGATTTCACGACAACAATTTCCTATGTCAGCCGCTTTTGTGCAGCATGAGAGGGGTTGGTTCTCTGGGCGTAATTAAAAGTCATTGTTTGCACTAATCTTTCAAGCCTGATTAATTTTGCAGAGATCGGGACTGGGATAATCTAAAAAGTCAACGCAGTTCTGTTGAGTTTCTTGTTATAAGCTCTCATGGACTCGGCCATCAACTTTGGTGTACCGTCTGTCCAATAAGGACCGAAGGTTTGCTTCATTTGCGACACGGGGAGGGGTATCTGAACTATTCGTATGTTACTGTTGCCATCGCCCTGGCAATCACATCGTAGGAACCTGTAGGGACTGTCCACATCATCATCGTTAAGCCATTAGTCGTTTGCTTTCAGGCTGTCTGGGCCGGCTGGGGGCACGCTTCGGAGAACCCTCAACTCCCTGAAGTCCTTGCTAAGCACAACATCGCCTTCTTAGGTAAGAATTTTGTCATTTTCTCCCGTTTTGTTTGTATCGATTTACCTCTGTCCCTCTAGACAATCCTTCACAAATTCCCACATCCGTCCACCCTTACTTCATGGTTTTTTCTTCTTGCGACATCCACATACTTTATTATCGGTTGTAACATTTGGACCAGTTTAGTTTTCTCTGTAGTGAATTCGCTATTTTATGTCCCAAGGGATATTTTTCCACTGAATTCTAGGTATTTTTATTCCGCTAGTGTCAGTGGTACTTGAAATATTGAAATAGCTTGTTAACAGAGATTCAAGCTGGTTGTTGCTTTAAGCTTAATAAATTCATCGGTCACACAAAATCAACTACAATCCAGCGTCTCAATCTGACGAGGTGTGAACTTTGACGAGAAATTCGGGACGTTACGTATCTCTCATGTCGGTAGAGAAGGCGCTAAAGCGTGTTATTTTTGAGCCCTCAAATCTCTGAAAGTACAAATATTTTACGCATGAAACTCCCAACCATGGCGCTACAGATTTGTTAGCAAATGCCTTTTAGAAAAACTTCATTTTTGCTGTGTTCTTGTACCCACCATACCGGTTAAATGAAAAATTATCATTATGTTGCACCGTCCTGAACAGGCCCTAGTTTGCTCTGGAATGCAAGTGCATATGAAGCTGATTTAGGAGTATTAAGCCGAACATTCATCAGGGTTGGGTTTAATTAATTTCTCTCAGCACGGAATTGCTTCCACCGGTTCCTTGAGTAGCACTTACCTCTGTGTGCACTTGTCGAAGCATGTGCTACTGTCATCTGCAACTAAATTGTTTGCTTGACGGCATCGGCGAGGTGGAAAGTAGTAGAGCAAACGAGCCTGTACGCTCTTCTGTGGAAGAGAGGCAGTTTGCAACAATCGGAAGTAAAGAAAGGCGAGAGGAATGCAAAACCAAGAACCTATTTTAGCTTCGAGAATTTCGGTGTAGGGCAAACGACTCAATGAAATGCGTTTAGCATTTGAGGGTCTATTGAGACCGAAAATAGCTTACCTACCATTCTGCCACGGATGTGTGGCGCCTCACCTTTATTCTGAGTTCGCATCTAACAAGTCTGGCATGTGTTAATGCGGTCTCATGGGTGCAGTAGGACGCTCATGTTTGGAAATCTTCCCTCGCATTTTTTTTATCAAGTGATCGAGTGGTAATGTTAGTACTGATGCAACTACAGCCTTCCCTGACGCGAATGCCACAGGTGTCTAAAGTGCATAACTTGTAGCGCTGACAGATTTACTACTACTCAAGTAGCATCACACTCTTCTCATTCCGTCCATTGTTGCTGCTTGATAGGACTAGCAGGTCCATTTGAATTGCGTTAGTTAGGCGATAGTATGATTCCGTACTTACGCGATTGGGAACTTGTATCCGTTCTGTCGTCCTTTCTCTCCTAGGTCCTTCGCACGAAGCTATGTGGGCGCTTGGTGACAAGGTCGCTTCGACCATCCTTGCTCAAAGTGCCGGCATTCCAACCGTTCCATGGAGTGGCTCTCGTAAGTCTCCTTTCATTTAGTAGATAGCAGTGGAACTTGTGTGTATTCGAGTGATCAGCCAAATTCATCTCAAAAGGGCGAAATGCTGCAAAGAGCTCGGAGGGTTGATGTTCAAATGCGCAGGAATTTCGCAAGTGCAGGCTGAGTTTCGGCCTTTGTTTGGGTGTCTTTTATGTTTACTTCCTTGCGAGAGGAAGGGAGGATGTCTTACTCCTCCTGCCTGCTGTATCTTCTACATTCTTCGTTACTGAGTGATAGCTTAGACCTCAAGGGCTCAAGTGATGCTGAAGCCTTATTGTCCACAATCGGATGCATTTTACTCTTTTTGAGAAGTCGTCGTGTTTCTCTCCCGTGATTTCGCGGATATCAGTCCAATTAGACATGACTTTCCAACTACGTCATTTTGAACCCATTTTTTGCGTCTTACCATGTCTTTCCGAGTACCAATGGCTGCCGTATTTCAAACACTCATGTTATGCTACTCTTAGGAGACTCTGGTTTGCTGCCCTTGGGTAATTGTTTTTCCCGTTTTTTCGTTTCTTATGTTTGTCACATCACTAATTACACATCGGTGGTCAATGCTATGGTTGCAGTCAACACATGTTACAATGCATTCCTTGGTTCCATCCATTTAATCCCCAAAGTTCAGAACCCCATAGAGCGACCATTATTGCAGAAGAGCATCATCGCGAAGTCTTCACCGAACTTCCTAGTATGTTCGTTTGGTAGGCAACTTCCAGAATCTCGATTTATCGCTCCAAGCTAACGACAACACTATATTTTCTCCACCCACCACAGACATCACTGTGAATATCGAAAACCTGGAGAAGTCAGCTTTAACAGAGTCAACGATGACGATAGGATCACCCGTTCTGTCGTTGCTCTCACAGGTTATTTCGGCGGATGACTTTGAGAATGCCTGCGTGAAGACAGCGGAAGAGTGTCAAACGGTGGCTGATCGCATCGGCTACCCAGTGATGATCAAGGCTTCAGAGGGTGGTGGCGGGAAGGGGATTCGACGTGTCGGCTGCGCCGACGATGTTGCTACACTCTTCAATCAGGTGCTCCTCTTTAAGTCTCATTGATTCTGTTTTTTTCCTAGATTTGACTAAGTATCTTTATCCGAATTTGTTGTTTGACTTAGCGATTTCGTAGGTGTTCCTTTTTGCGAAACCAATCATAATTTCGCACCGATGTTGCTTTTCTTTGCGCGCAGATGTAATTGGAAAAAATTGATGCGAATTTCTGACTTTAGATGTGAGGACTTGCATTAGATACAGTTTGGGATTTTTAAATCAGGATTGTTGAACGACTTCCTTTCGATAGTATATTTTTTTCATTCATACCATCTCAATGGATTTACGTGAACTCGCTGAACTATCATCATCGATCATTGGAGTTGAAAGACTAAGGCAGAAGAGTTTTGGTGCTAGTAAGTCATGTCTTTTTGAACAATTCCTTCCAACCTCCAAAGAATATGCTTTCTGAGTTTCCGTGAATCATGCCAAAGGTAGCAGCATAATTAACCACCTCTCACTTGCGATTGCATTCAAGACATGTTCTTGGGTTCCCTCTGTTCCGTTCTACCCAGTTAAAAAACGTGAGTTTGGGGGTTGGGTTTTTTTCCTCACTGTGTCAGCGGCTTTGCGCATTGACACGCGAAAAATTTCGGTGGTTGCAATTGGCTTTTCATGTTATTGTCGACAAATATAGTGTTAAGAAGCCCGATTTTACCGTAGGATTTGAAACATTTTCCCCTCATCTGCACATGCTGCAGAGAAATAGCTTTCAATGTATTTGGTATTCAGCTAGGGGTAACTCATGACGATAGCATTCGAGGAGTGGAATCCCTTGTTGAATTTCTTGGTGCAAGCGATTTCCATGAACATCTTAGTGTACTCCAACAAATTAATTCTGCAACTTCCAACTTTGTTGGGTTATATGTCATTGTGTTTGGCATTCATTGACCTCAGGGGGGGTAGGCAAACTAGGAAGCATTAATGGCATATAAGCCTTTGAGCCCCTCCTGAAGGCCGAGAAGTGTGCATTGTCGACGCACAGAATGACCTGGAATCCTCTGGCTTCATCGGCAAGCCAGCCCGTCTGGCGGAAACTGAGAGCTAAACGACCATTTAAAGCATTTCAATTCCATCACCAGCGTCCATCCCATCTTCAAACGTGAATTTTTAAATGCGATTGGCTTGGGAAAATTGCGGTATTTCAATGCCTAACGATAACATGAAGTTGGTTTTTCGTCTTAACCCTTATCTCATACGACATAGGAATTGCATCAGATGCTAAGCATTTGCTTTTGTATTTAACCGCTGAAACAAGTGGTCATAGCTGTCAAAAGCACCACTTTGGTATCGCTTTTCTTTTTGCTTATTGCCTCTGAACACTGTTTTTTTGCCGTTCATCGATGCAATTTTTCATGATCGATGTCCAACTTTTCTTTTACTCCAAGTTTCCACAAGATCATTTGGAAATACAAGTTCACTTCGTCGCGTGGAAGTGATTGGGACATGGGTCGTTTTGGCGTCGGGCTAGTGGAGAAAGTCCCCTAATCTACATCAGTTATTTTATCTCATTTTCTCTCACGCAAACTGATTTTTTGCAATCTGCCGAAAAAAGCGTTGCTAAAGCTGTTTTTGATGCTTGAAATAAAGTTTTTTTTGCTTTGCTGTGAGCGGAGCAGGGTTCCTTCGGTTAGATTTTCTGTTACTTATTCCAAGGTTACTGCTGTTAATAGTTATTTGCTTCTATTATCGGAGCATGGTATCATGTAGTGTCCTAAGTGGATTTAATCTTAAATCTAAATATACATGCATCCGTAGCATCTTGTACTCTTGTATTGGTCTTTCAATAAACCCTTTTCATTGTGTTAGGGTAAAAGATAGGTTTCGAAACTTGTGTTATGTTCAGACCACAGTTGTAAGGCGATTATATTTGTCGAATTTTACATTTTCCGCCATACTGCATGTTTAATTCGAAGTGCTGTTGTTGTTGCCTCTTGTGTTTTGTAACTCTTTTCCTCATGGTTTAATGTTAATCGTTCTCCCTAACCATAGCCCACTCCTAGCTTTCCAAACTTGTGGATCTCTGGAATCTTCCAAATGGGAGCCATTCAGGGCTTTCCAAGTTTCTTTATCATACTCGTTGGCAGACGCTTACATTTCCGACCGAATCGCATAAATCTATTCTCCCCCCTTTTCTTACTTGCTTTCTTTTGCCTGTAAATCCATTCTTTCCTTTCTGCCTGGCTGTCTTGTTCTTTTCTCATTGTTTCCTTTGTTTCATTCCGGCCTAGTTGGGAAGTTGATAGCGAATTCTTATTGGCTCTTATTTCTAATTTCCGTCTTTTAATGCCTCTTTCCTTCTTCTCATCGCAACTCCTACTATCGTTCACGTTTTCTCATCGAATTCGCTTTGGATGAGAGGACGATGAGGTGATATCTTTGGTCAGCGTGATTCACCTCAAGAAGTACTGATAGTGTTGCCTTGCTGAGATATTTAAAATGATAGCTTGTTTTCTGCGGGTCACCACTCGTCTCCTTCGTAGCGCTCGTCCATTCGGGTGGAATACTTTATTCCGTTATTCGGCTTACATACCCAGGAGCCTGGTGAATTGGGCCTCATTTTTAATACTTTGGCTTCCGTGTTCTTTTGCTAGTTACGCTTGTTTTGGACACTTGGTAGCTTCACCAAAGTCAATTTGCTACCTTTCAGGGCTTAAGTAGGGCTTGGGCAAATGGCTAATTCCCTCATTTAGCAGTTCATAGTGTTTTTTCGTTACTCCGGTATCCATTGGCATAAATAATTACATTATTCAGCTTTAAAAAACAGCGGAACAATTAAGATTGCACTGTGTGTGCGCGTTTCTACTACTCTCAATTATTCGTCCTAGTAGGCAAATTAGCAACTGGTGCGCTACTAGTAGCTAGCATCCACCTTATTGGTAGCGCATGATGGCTTCGAAAGGGACGATTGGAGAGGTGGTTGTATTGACCTGATCTGCATTGAACTGAGGTTTACAACATTCAAACATTTTACTCCTCAAGATTCTACTATGCATAATTCACGACCTCCTCCTGGGTTCCATTTCGCAGTTCATTTACTCCTAGTTTGCTTTCCAATCCCATTCAGGTGGGAAGCGAGGTTCCAGAGTCACCGATCTTCGTGATGAAGTGTGTAGAACAGGTGCGTCATCTGGAGGTCCAACTGCTGGCTGACCAATACGGTGAAGCTATAAGTCTTTACGGCCGCGACTGCTCCGTCCAAAGGCGGCACCAGAAAATTCTTGAGGAGGCGCCGTGTGTAGTCGCACCAAAGGCCGTTTTTGATGCCATGGAGAGGGTAAGTCATTCTTCCTTCTAAACAAAAGTAATGGGTATGGAGATTGTTTAGACATCATGGTAATTACGCAATGGACAAATCACTTATTTCCACCTTCAAGTTTGTATGGTGGTTTCAATTCTACGCCTTAAGTGTAGAAAGGTGGTCCAAAAGCATCGTTCATCGCGTTCAAGGATGCTAAAGGGACTGTTAGCGTAAATGCGACAAACGTGCTCATAACCACATGCATGATGAAGACAAATGCAGACTGTTGTTTCGCTATTTTAGGTAATTTTTTAGCTTTTCGTGCAAATGAACTATATGAACCCCTTACTACCGACATGGATGGAGATTTGCAATCTTACTGTCAGAGGTAGTTTAAATTAAGGACTTTTCCTTTAGGACGCCATTCGTCTAGCGAAACTGGTGGGCTATAGTAGTGCTGGCACAGTGGAGTATCTCTACGATCCAAAAACTCAGGAGTACTTCTTCCTGGAACTGAATCCCCGTCTTCAGGTAGAACATCCTTGTACAGAGGTGATCTCCGGGGTCAACTTGCCCGCTTGTCAGCTTCAAGTGCGTTGCCTTTGGGAACCAGAATTTAAGGGTTCATTTCAACCGGCGCCTGACGCAACACGTCCTACGAGCGTGATTATCCGTTATTTTTTCCGTAGATCGCGATGGGCCTACCATTAATTCGAATCAAGTACATCCGCCAGTTATTTGGCCTCTCTCAGTCTTCCGATTACTCAATGTCGCTTAGTAACAACCTTCATCTTCGTAATCCACCATCCTCGCATGTCATCGCGGTGCGTATTACCAGTGAGGATCCTGACGAGGGCTTTAAGCCGCACTCGGGCGATGTCTTTGAGCTCAACTTTAAGAGCAGTCGCTCCGTGTGGGGTTACTTTAGTGTCGGTACTGTGGGCGGTATCCATGAATTTGCCGACTCGCAATTTGGACATTGCTTCTCCGCCGAGGCCTCACGAGAGGAGGCTCGAGAGTAAGTCTTCTTTATGCTACTTTCTTCTATTAAAAGTATTTTATTTAAGTTCTTTCATTTCTAATCGCTAATTCCCATAATGATCTCAATTTTGTTTCCAAAGGCGGGGCTTTTATATTCTTATTTCGACTTAACCATGTCTGAACTTAGTAATTTCGAGTTTGCATGCCTTTTATATGCCCTGCTTATTAGCTATCCCTAGATGCTGTTAAAGCTCTCTGCAAAGAGTTCTGGTCGATTAGCACAATTAAAGCGAATGTAATTCTAGGTTGTCAACATTTGGTGGATGGGGGTTTTACAGATGTTGAGGGAGTCGTATAGTTAAGCCTGAAACTTAAAAGGCGTTCGCACGTACTCGAGTCTCAAATGTTTTAAGTTGGTTGTTGACTTACTCTGGATCCAGGAATGCCTCTGCAGCACTTCAATATGCTTCGAGAACGAAGGGATTTTTAGCCACCTTTATTCCAGCTAAAAGGATGCTGACGATGCTTATTGGGCATCATAGCAATTAATATTGTATGCTTATAAAAGTCTGTGAGATTTTATCATTTCTTAGCTAAGCTCTTTTGCGCTCAACTTGAGCGCACCTGGATGTGGTATCGAGAAGACCTGTTGACCTCCCTAAACCCAGGTTTCATTACTCCCTTTTACTGGCAACACCTTTTCCACAACACGCCTGCGGAAGATATCCGCTGATTGCACTTTCTGCCTTAATTGCCTGAGATCACCTTAAATGATCCGCCGGAGTAATTGATCGTGCTTTGGCGCCATGTTTCTGGTCTTGGAATGACCAAGCTATCCTTCTGATCTCACTAATCAGTTCAACGTTTCTTGCCTCAAGTGGCTATAATTGTGAATCATGTAAGCAGCTGCTAGTTCTGAGGGTTTTGTAATTGTCACACCATTATAGCCAAGTTCAAAGTATTTCTACTCATGGAAGACAATTCGAAGAATGTGCCTTACTCGGTATGGACACAGATGGAAGAAATGCACATTGTTTTCCTTTCGCAGTATTTGGTGTGAAAGATGTATTTTGTGCACAATTTTCAGCTACTTTTGTCTCATTATGCCAACTGTCTCTGCAGACGGTGTGAGCGTTTGGAGCTTTAGGCAGAAATAGTCACATGACGCTGAAGTAACACTACACCTCTCGTCTTAATTGCTTCAATTGCGACGTAAAATTGTGTAACATTTTAGTAATCCTAGTACTTGGCATAACGTCGCTAAAAATCGCTGTGTGCTCACTTCCCTTCACTTTTCCACCGTGGAAAGTCGTTTGAGTGTTCTGTTAAAGTCGGTGGAATGGGTTCAATGTATGGTTTAGATCGTTTGAGTTATTATTGACCTTTTCCAGAGAATGCACTCATTTACTTGTACTGCATTTGCGTTCCCAAGCTTTGATTCTTCTCGTCCAGGAACATGGTGCTGGCATTGCGAGAGCTTCTGATTCGTGGTGATTTTCGAACTACAGTGGAGTATCTCATCAAAATCCTCGAATCGGACGCCTACACTCGCAATGAAATCGATACTGCATGGCTTGACCGTCTGATTGCTCAAAAGGACCGAGTATGCTTCTCAGTTTGAATTAGACGCAACGATTGCGATCCGAAAGGGCGTGATAATGTTTATCATCCATCACTCCTTGTTTCTAGCCTGACAAACCGGATGTCCTACTGGGAGTGATGTGTACCGCCCTTCACATTGGCTACAATGCTTTTGAAAAGGCGAATAAGACGTTTCACGCTCGAGTTGAGAGGTGATTACTCTAATTTTTCCATCATTCATGACTTGGTGTCCCTATTGTCAATTTTTTTTGTGTGGCCAATTTCAGGGGTCAGTTCATCCCCACTAACGAGTTAAACAACATTGTGGATGTTACCCTGATCGCAGACGGTATCAAATATGTTTTGCAGGTGAGAATTTTGATAGTTTGTTTAATGAAATCTTAAATGCAAAATCTTGACTATCTGAATAGGTCTCGGAGACCAACCCATCGTAACTGTTATTCTAATTACCGAAATTTTGTCCCTTCTGTCTATGAAGGTGTAGCCATGCTTGGTATGTCGTCAGCTTTTTGGACGCAATACTGATCCGACGTTTAAGGCTATCTGTTACTCATTGGTTGACCGAGTGAGTCAGGCATACACCAACAAATATGATTTATATGAGCATTCCTTTCTATCACAGCATTTCAACTATCTTCTCTGGGACCCTGAATTCTGCATTTTCAAGCTGTCAGGTGGATAATATTATCTTGATCCGCTTTGCCTGTCGAATTAGTCTCGCATTCTTTTAGGTAGAATGAGTAAAGATTTATTTGTTTTCCTAATTTCTTTTGTTTGCTCGCAACTATTTGAAGCGAACTTACGTTAGGTTAAGCGTGTGTTCCATCACAAGTAAGAGTACAATGTTATGGGACTTCAAAGCACCTACCAACTATTTCGCTGATAAGCCGCAAATTTGTACCCACTGTTAGGTTTGGATGGTTGCCTAGCAATATCGAGACGATTGCGATTGGGTCATGCTAGGTTAATAGTGCAATCAAGTTATCAGGCTTTCATCTTTTCGTTTTTGTATAGCAAAGCTGAGATTCATCTTCACGAATGCTTTGATTTCATTATAAGCGAGATTGTTGCTGCATGCATCTGATAAAGCATTGCCAACTTTCTGGAGGTTTTTTTGCGAGTTTTGCATCCGTTTGAAGATTAAGAAATTGGACGTGGTATCATTTTATATAACGGAGCGGTCATTTTTGCCATTTTCTTCGCAAACCTCGGTTGTCCTTAGCGTTTGATGTAGAAGTTTTCGTTCCTCGAGTGCAGAGCTTTGAAACTGTGGTTCAGCGTTGCTCGAAAAGGTGCAAAAGGGCCACATTCCTATTCGTCAGCATGCTTAGCCATTAGAACTAAATTCTTTCTTACCGCCTTTGTAAGCATCAGACATTTGGAAACGACCGTTACTTTCTGGTGTGGTAGATTTGGGACATTCAAATGGGAGGTTCGTAGAACCTCGAGATTGAATGGAAAGAGGGAGAACAATAAATGCCGTGTTTGAGATGATTTTAAGAATCTGAGCATCTCTGCCTTACGTTCAGCATTCCTTGTTTCCTGTTGAAAACCAAATTGCTTAATATAGCAGCCTTCATGCGCGAAATTGTTACTCCCATGTAATTTTTTTACTTATTTGTATTTTAACATGTAAGATATTGGTTTAATTACCTCATATTCGAGCCTAGTTGGCTGTGTGTGATTTGAGACTTGGCATGGTTATCTCTGTTATTAATTGTTCCGGTGCTTCCTCAACTGACAAACCTGCACCCTTTCATAACTAAAATGGTCAAGTCGGACTAATCATTAGATTCCGCAGATAATAAGATCACTGCTTTTTGAGCACGATATCGTTTCTTTTCTCTTAGGTCATTCGCACGGGTAAGACATCCTTTCACCTAATAACCAATGGTGGTCTCCAATCGGTCGAGGTGCTTCGAATGTCTGGTGACGGTCTGCTAATTAATCACGAGTCCTCCTCCTACATGACCTATTGCCAAGAGGATACACAGGGCTATCGCACCGTTATTGACAACCGTACTGTGGCTTTCTTAAAAGAATATGATCCATCCATCCTGAGGTGAGGTGTTTCATCTGTTCTGAGGCGGGAACGGAGCAGTTGTGTAAATCTTAGCGCTTTCTCCAGATCTATTGAGGCTCCACTACTCCTATGGGATTTGTAAGGGATAGGTCTGCAGACCTAAGCGTGCTGACATTCCATCGTATCAAGATTTTGGGTTCTCTAGTGTAGTTTTGATGCAACTTGTCTGTCACGTCTACTTCGCACACTGTTTTTGAACGATTTGCTTAACATTATTTACACCAAATAATTTTTTTGCAATGAACGAAGTTCCATGTACTGTCCATAGAGTTAAATTCTTAATGATAATCCGATGACTGGTGTCAGCGATCTCCATTCACTCGTTCACCGTAGATAAAATCTTGTTCTGACCCATTGACTTTGTGATTGCAATTGTTTGTGTCCAGTTGGTCGAAGCTGGAGAATATCGCGATTTCGTTTTTTAGCCCGAGTTTTTTACCTCACCATCGGCCTGGATAACAGTTTGATACACTTTACTGTGTACAGCCATTAACTGCTTACATCGTATTTTTGAGCAATAAGAGAGCTGTTCTGGACATTTATTGTCGATTCTACCTCTTGAAATCTCATAGTCTTAATCTAGAACTTCATCATTAGTCAACACTTCCTGCAAAGCGCAATGCATTGGTTCCACATGTCTGTCTTTTTGATACCTCGGTTGAAAACACGTACTCATAGTGCCAATAAAATGTTGTAGACCATGATGGCACGTCATCATGGCAACCATCGTTAAAAATGTTTGTGATGAGTCGGTTTGGGATTCCTTACACTCCAGTGAGTACTTGACGAACCGAGACACTTCACTTATGTTGACATTTACTGTCGCGCCCCAAGTACCAAACACCAATGAATCTTTGGTGCTGTGGCAATGCTCATTCTCGCCCTCTCCCTTCCCCTCCCTGGTGCTGGCTCAAACGAGCTGAGTTGTCAATCGTCATGGGAACCATTCATTGAAATGTTTTTGGTTTTCTGCTGGTTAGTTGAAATAAATAACTTCCCACTATAATGCGAGGGGTTTTACTGGAGTAGCTTCCTTGCTCTCGGTTTTGGGCATTGCCGCCGAAAGTTGAGTTGTAAGCTGCAGTATCAGTCTTAGTGTCCGAAAAAATGTATGTGGGTATGTTTGGTTTGCATTGAATTGATGCCATTCCCTTTGGTGGCGCTCTAAACTCCTAAACGTAGAACATGAACTCTGTTTTGGCTAAAGGAGTGTTAAATCTTGGGTTGAAAACAAGTCAAGTTATAATATTAAATCTGTTAATCCAGGGTATTCGATGTTGAATTTGGACCAATTATGGTTTTGAAGGCTGCATTTCAAAGCGAATGATTCACTAGAGCAATGTTTGTTTCGAGAACGTGAAACTTAAAATTTTGGAATAAAAACTAAGCCCACGTTTGCGTTAGAGTTTCTTCTTTAGCGATCGAGAGCCCTTCGGCCCGTAAGCATTGACTCTCGGATCGTAGGGAAGACTTGCCCGTGTAAACCAATAAATGGGTAGGAATAGGAGCATGTGCCACTTCAATTTTTCCTTGTTCGTTGCCCTGCTAGATCACCGTCCACAGGAAAATTGGTGCAGTACGTGGTTGGCGACGGATGTCACATCTTCGAGAACGAGGTTTACGCCTTAATTGAGGTGATGAAGCTGGTGTTGGAACTGCGAGCTCCAGCACCTGGTGTTCTCTTTCACCTTCGTAGTGTTGGTGCCATTCTGGAGGCCGGAGTTCCCATTGGAAGGCTCCAGCTGGACGATCCAAAACAGTGTCAGAATCTTCAACTTTTCACGTAAATCCATCTCACTTGCTGTTTACAAACTTAAAGCGAACATATTCTTTAAAGGGGATAAAATCTGGAGTCAATTGAATCATAATGGAGAGGTTACGTTTGGAGATATCACTATGGGTGAATCGTTTTTCTCCAAGTTGCGAAAGTAGCTAAAGTACAGAAATCACGTTTGCTTTTCTTGATGCTTTGAAACTTTCCATTTTCCACTCACTTTCAATTTATTCCCGAATGCGCTGATTTTGCCAACTAGTGGTTCTCAGCGAACGGTTTTCAACACTATGAGCTTGCATTTTACAAGCTGAAAGGCTCTCTTCTGGTCTGTGTAATTCAGCTGAGCCGCCAGTGTTTAGTACAAAAAAAACTTGGGCCCGGTATGGTAGTAGTACTCTGGAACGTCACATTATTTACCTAGATTTGCAAGTGCTAAGAACATCTCTGTGTTGTGTGCAAATGTCTTTTTGTTATGCATATTCCTTAATGTAGGGCGTATTAAAAGAACTGCAATAGAATTAACATAGTTTTTCTCTCCCGATGAATCTTTGAATTCATTTAAGTGTCGATTCCCAGTTTCATGTAGAGGCAAAGAAATCTGTATTAATTACGCAGCATTTCGTCCTAATAGTTTGTTTCTTCTGCTCTAAAGTTTTTTTGGGTTCTCCTTCCTTCCTAATTGTCGCTTTGCTTTGTTCTTTTAATCACCATAGGCATGATTTTACGAGGTTTTGGCTTACTTAACTCAAGAGGAAGAAGCTTTTTGCCTTTAGTTTCAATGATCGTAACGTTTGGGCTGAACACTGGAAGTACGGCCATGAAATGCAAGCATGCATCGGCTGTGAGTATGAATCTTAGCAGTTTGGCTCTAGGACATTTGACTAGCATTAGTGAGTTATTGTAAACACAGATCCTGTGAACTCGCAAAAAGATTCGGGAGAAATTTGATTTGTCTTTCATCATTTATGCGCTCTCTATACTAGTCAACCTACCCCTCTGATCCTGTAAATTAAAACAGTTTCCCGTCTTCTTACGTCGAGAATTTGTTCATATACAACTGCCTCCTAGTGATTTGAAGGTTTACTTGTCGACCTCGTAAGATTTACCTCCTCATTTTATTGTCAAGGTACTACGTTCAAATAATTATGGGCGTGGCCTTAAGTAGTCCAGACCTACGAAATTATATTGATGTTTTATCACTGGTATCCGCTTTCTGTTTTTCTTCTTGAAGCGGTCATTTGATTCCAGTGCATACCACAGAGGGGGCGGCAGACACTTGCAGCTCATCGGACTTCATGGTGCCCTCGATAAGCTCGCTCTCCTACGGCCCCTTCAGTGATGAAGGCGTCTTCTCTGGCTTTGACGCCACCACTTCCCTCGTCTCTGTGTCCCTTCAGTCTTCTGGCTTTGTCGCTACCACTGGGTCCGCTGTTCATCGCATCTTCACTCGATGCCTCCGCGAACTGGAAGAGGCTCTCTTAGGTTACGTTCTCCCTGAACCCTTTTTCTCCGACTGGCTCAAGCCAAAATTGGATGAACTGTTTCAATGTCTCCGTGACCCTAATCTGCCCCTATTCGAGCTAGAGGTAAATCGAGTAAATATTAATTTATGGTGGTAAAAATTACTTTGCATTCTTAAATATTTTAGTCTTCGTGTACTTAAACATTCAGTTTGCTGAAATGTCCTCAAAATCATTGCCATGGTCTCCAAGTCACTTTCGTCGTCGAAAATACCCGCTTTTTTAAACCAAAGGAGTAGAGACACAGGTGCCATAGATAGGTGACATTGGCTACATGGTTGAAGTCTGATCTTGGTGAATGACGGGAGTTCATTTATGCTATCTATGATTCCAACAAATGGTGTCGGATATTTAAGCTGTGAACTCAGAACGTTGCCTTCTTTGATGAAATTCTAAGATCATAAACAATGCTCGCTAATTGTTGTCTCTGTTCTTGCGTTGTTGATGTCAACTTTCATTGCCGTGCCTATATACCTTGAAATTGTCAAACAGATAACGCAGAGCTGGTAGAAAGTTTTAAGTAATTTGTAGACGCGTTAATCTCTGCAAAAATTGTTTGGTCAAGAGTCATCCTTATCTTTGAATTGGTGAAATGTGAACAATTTTGGATGACTTTGCAGTGGAAGTAAGGGGAATTAGTCGTCCACAATTGCTGTCCGTTTTCCTTGTTGTGGGCTCCTTGCTGATTTATCTGCAATTCAAGAATTGTTCTTCTTCCGTGTTATCGCTTGTTACTCTCCGTTTACGGATTATACGAGTTTTTCTTAGAGTCGAACTTTCAAGTTTCTCCTGTACTTTTGCCTTTTTCTGCACTCTACCAATCAAGTCACATATCCATCCGCACTCTTAATAAGCACTGTATCATGCATTAATAATCATGCTAAAAGTGTTCTGTGGTGATTTCTTGTTCAGAAACTTTGGTTTTACGTGTTTTTTAATTTCTTTTCGCTCATTCGTCCTCTTTTTATTATGATGCATTTTTAATTTTCGTTTTCCAAATTCATTCAAACTCCTTTCGTCTTGCATTGGTAGGAGGCAGCATAGTTGTTTTTCCCCACAATCCAGCTTCTTATGATTCCATGAGTGGATTTGGGTTTTATTTTACCCCCGGTTTTTTATATGCTTTAGCATGCTGAGAGCTATTTGTTGTCTCTATGTTCAGGCAGAAGTTGTTGACATCCTCACTTCCAGCCAATTCGTTCAAAATATTGCTCGTCATCCTCCTCATTTTCCCGAAGATATGCGAGTTTCTGTGCTTAACTCTGTGTAACATAGTCTTCCAGCTTTCTTCTGAAATGTATTAGTCATACCGGGACCTAATACGGTTATGAGAGGTCTGGTATGGCAGGACTACAGCGTCTTTTACCTTCACTGGGCCGGTCGGGCGCAGGCATTGTTGGTGAGCTTTACTGTAAGGAAAGAGGCATAGTCCACGACTACTGAATAAAGGTCCACACATTTGTTTATCAGGACAAACACAAAATTTTTTCAATGCAATTAATACACGAGCTGTCTGTTACAATGGAGTCTTGGGATATTCATGCCGCATTTTCTTTTTTGTTTGCAGGATTTGGTTGCTCAGCTCTTGGGTCGCCTTCCTATTGCTGTGGAGCAATCGCTGCGCTCTATCGCCGCCTTCTACTCTAATCAGCTCACCTCAGTGCTCACTAATTTCCCATCTGAGCGCATACTTCGGGTAATCGAGGCAGGGGCACCGAAAAGCCCTGCTGGTACCGATGCTTCTGTCGTCGCCTACAAAGAACTCACCTCGCGTCTAGTCGATCTTGCGCGACGCTTTGAAGGTGGTGTCCGAGGCCACGCCTCACGTGTCCTTGTCAATCTTCTGGCCGCTTATGTGGCGGTGGAGCAGCACTATCAACATGGTGAGGCTTGTGCTGAAAATGGGTAACGTGATGACTTATTGGTGGGGGAAATGGGGGTGAAAATAAAGCCATTTCTGAAATTACTCTGATTTAATGTCCTTCAAAGAAATTTCCGTTAGTGCTTCATATGAGGCTTTCAAAATTCATTGTTGCACCATTAATGGAATATAATGTTGAATTACCCTCACTGATGCAAATAGTTCTAGTCTAACTTCATCGATAGGGGAGTTCGGAACACTCTCCTGCTCTACCCGACACTTAGTGCCTCCTAATTTGTTATTGTGCTGGCAAACCTCTAATTCAAACGGTACATTTTATAATTGAGGATAATGCCACTATCATGAACTATAACAGCTCATCACAGGTAATGGTACGGATCTGCCATTTTGAACTATTTCGATTTAATCTTTTTCTTCTTTGCCTTGCTTCGTTTATCAATTGTACTACTACCATCTAATACCAACCGTTATTTTCTTACTACCGACGTGAAGCCGAACCTGATCTGGAGCTCACCACCCACCTTTCTACCAAGACTTTGATTTGCATTGGTTCAATTTGTCTCAGAATGCAGAACTTTTTATGCAGTCAACTTAACAGGGTCTAGCGTTCTGCGTCGCTTTTGGGGCCAAATTTTTTTATACTTGGAAATTAAGGTCAATCTGAACTCTTGAGTGTGCCAAGGATTCAGAGTACTACAAAATCTTGAATACTCGGATTTTTTTGCTTATACTGCATTTCATATATTTCTGTAATGCGAACCAGCTTCATCGTATAGGGTTTGTCTTGGTAAGTCAAAGCATCATCATTTGTCGATGTTAATTGAATGTGGAACCTTTTAAGGCTTCTCCAGTCCTTTGTTATTTTCATGATTTTCTCGCAAAGACTTGACCCGAAGTTCTGCAAGCAAGATATACACAAGAACGCCATAGGTTATTATTCTCGTCTTTCAAGTTTTCCGCTAAGCGTAAAAGACCTTGTAATTCCCTCTTAATTTTGTAAAGGCCAATACGACCGCTGTGTGGCACTCTTATTCGCTCGCCAGAAAGAGTCTACAGGAAGTGGTTGTAGTAGTGCTGGTGGTGGAGGAAGCAGTGATATAGCCTCTGGTCCCGACCTGTTGACGTGCTTCTCGAGTCGTCCTCAACTGGCTGAATGGATTCAGCGTCTGGCGGATCCCACGTCAGTGGACGACGTGGTGGCGGTGCATTTCTCACACCACCAATTGGCTGCTAAAAACGCGCTTGTCTGTGGTCTTATTGAGCACAGCGCTCGCCTGCGTGAGGAGCTACTCCCCCGCCTTAGCAGCGACCTCTTTGATTCACTTACCGCTCTCACCCAACTTGGACAAGCGGAGAATGCCAAAGTTGCGCTTACAGCGCGAAAATTCCTCATTTCGGCGCAGTCGCCGCCCTATGAGGTTAGGCGAAATCAGGTAGGTGTGCAAGCGAGTTTAAGTTTTTTGCCTCATTTTTAGCTTAGTCACGCTTTGGGGTCCCTGTGAACAAGTACTGGAGCTTGTCCTTTTTAGTAATAATTTTCAGCTTGTGTATCGTTAGAGATATTCAAAGAAGTTTTCTTAAATGGATTTGGTTAATTTTATTCTACGACACATGTGGGTTGGATAGCGCAGGCAATAATTTTGTTTGTTTACTGGATTTATTCAACGCACTGTTTATGTTATCTTTCTTGCCTTTATTCCTCCATGCGTCTACTCCTACCTTGTCATAGTTACGCAAGCTTTTGTTGGTTACTTGAAAGCATACGTCTACTTGGGCTGTTATTTGGGGAATGAGTGCAATCTCAGACCGCAAGTAATTTAAAAGGGCACATCTGAGTTGAAGGCAATCCTGGTTCACCTCTGGCCCCAACAGCTACTCTGCCAACTGAGAGGCGTAACAAAATTTCACGAAATCGTGTTTTGTTGGTTGGTCGGGGATCGACTTTGAAGTTTTTGTGTGACTTGGTTCGTGTCGTTCTTTTGGACATTGGGCACTTTATTTAAGAGAATGAAAATCAGGGAGAATCGAAAATGTCAGCTACAATATCTTAAATGTTGGAACAAACAACCATTGCTCTGTGGGATTACTCTTGGGTGCTTATGATGGAGGTTTTTTAACTACATAAATGCTAACTGCTCAGAAGCCTCGTCTTAGAGTCAATTGAGGCTTTTAAATAAGAAGTAGCCTATTATTCGCAAAATGCATTAAACCGCCTTCCTTCCACTACGACCTGGTTTATCAGCTTTGCCGCTCATTGTCAATAAGGCTGGGGCTGGTTATGTCTCCGCCACTTTTATGTTTCTAGCGTACCTCTGTCTCCTAGGTTGAATCGATAATCCTCTCGGCGATCAGCTCCTTCGGTGACAGCAACTCCACGACAGAGACTCTACAGCGTCTCATCACCTCGGAGACATCGGTGTTTGACGTGTTGTTAGAATTCTTCTATCATCCGAAGCCCGCTGTTGTGATTGCGGCGTTGGAGGTATACGTGCGTCGGGCCTATATTACCTACGAGCTAACCGGCCTCCAGCACGTCCTCATCACTCCATTTACTGATAAGGCCGCCAGTGCTCATGCCATCTTTTTCCGTTTTCTTCTGCCTAATGCATCAATGCAAATGTAAGTCCTCTCTCCCGTTTGTTTATGCTTTTGGTTAGTTGTCAGGCTTATTACTCGAAACTACATTCTCACTGACTATCAGCAATGATGCTATTTCTCTTGCCTCTTTCATTTTACCTATTGTTCTCACTGTATCCCTCTATCCATTTCTTTATTTCATTTTTCTTCTCATTATGCTATTGGCTATTCTATATAGAGTTAAATCTTCCATTAATCTTATCATCTATGCTCAGCCGGTGTCTCTATACCAATGGCCATCCATTGGTGTTGTTTTTCTACTAGGGCCTTTAAAGTAATTTATGCTCCCATTATTGCTTATCGCTCTCCAAATAGCATGTTTTTATTTTACATGTGTTCTTTCTTTGGCATCCTCTCTCCATTTATGCCCTTATCTGGGTGAGTCGATTTTTTGTTAAATTTTCTTATAATTTTTCGTTTTATTTGCCTGCATGTCAATTTCTTTTCCTGCCATTTTTTTTATCTTTGCATACCAGTGCTACCTTGTGTTTTTCCTTTGATTAATTGTCGGACATTGAAGCGGGTTTGTGACTTTGCAATTATGAGCTTAGCATTAAGAAATTTTACTTAGTGCCATCTTCTTACGAGTTTCAGCCTTCAATACCTCATTCCAATTTCACACCTTACAAACAGTGTTTTAAATCTACAATTTTAAGTCTTAATTGGTTTGACATGAGTTTTACGTATGTGACTCTGATTTGTGATTAGTTGGTGGTCTAGAGCGTCCTACTACAAAACCTCTGAGGTTGGTAATTACCTGAAATTGCATTCCCTTTTCTATATAAATGCCTTGGTTTGACATAGACTCCGAATTTGATTACTGCTATCGCCTGTTGGAGGCTTGCCAGCGCATAAAAGGTTTAAATGTGATTTGTTTTATTTTGGCAAACCCTATCACATGATTTTTTCCGTCAACTCCTTTATAAACCTTTTCATAAGCACAGTTTCCTCCTCTCCTACAGTGGTCTTGTTAAATTGTTAAGGGCTTTTCCTTCTTGAGTCTATTCTCTGTTGTTTACTGGATTTTTACTTAATTATTGGGATGTAAACTAACATATGTGATGCATATGCAAATGCTCTGGTCACAACAAACACTCCAACATTTGAAGTTAATGCATCACTGCAAAGAGCACTACGGTGTATTGTTTCAAGATTCTTGGATTAAGGGGGAGAACTTCGCGTCCTGATTATCCTTGGTAGCTTTGCTTAATGGCTTGAATTTGAACCAGCACTCTTGGCCTAATCGTTTAAAGTGTGGGACAGCAAGAATAAATTGATTATGAGAAATGGTCAGTGCTATGCGTGAGGAACACCAGAAATGCATTTTCATTTTCGGGTACCGTTACTCTTCAGAAAAATTTGGAAACGTGCAATGAACGCTCAGAGTGCTCAGGTCCCTCTCCGCCATTCCATCGAGTCGACATCTCCTCCACACTACTTCCTTGACCCTGATGATGACATTGATCCTGACCAAGATCCCTTCGATCCCTCCGTCGACAGATTTGCTGAAAGTGATGCTCCCGCCACCGCCATTAAGCAATCCTCAGACACAAATCACTGGTTCATCCCCGAGGTTACCGCTCCCGACTGCGTTGGATTCCCCACAGAAGCTTCTGATACGACCTCTTCCGCATTTTCCAACGTAGTTCAGAGGACTTTTTCGGTGTCTGTAATTCCCTCTCAGATCGCCGCTGCGTCCAGTGAAGATATAAGAATGCAAGAGATCCAGAGGAGGGAACGACTTGGTGCCATTGTGGTATTCAACTCCCTCGAAGAACTGAAAACGTCAGTCTGTTAAAGTTATCTTTTGGTCAAAGCGTGGGTCGTTTCAATATTATAATTTCTTTGCTTATAGCTATTTCCCTGCCTTTCTCTTCCGCTTTGAGCAGAAGCAGAAGGCAATGTTGATGGAGAGAAGGGCTGGAGGTCGACGTCAAGGAAGTTTTCCTTCGAGTCTTTCCTGCAGAAACAGCGTTGTGTCTTTTCAGGATCCACCCTTCCAGACTGTAAGCATCATAAACCCCCATATTTCTGACTGGAACATTTTTAAATCAACTGTTTTGGATGGTTCGCATAATCAGAAAATTGCCCGCCTAAGTAATTTACGTTTCTGACAGATCTAAATTTTTTCACTTGAAGTCTCTTTTTCACCGCCTATGTACAGCTTATTTGAATCGGAGATTGGCATCCCCGCCTACGTATGCGCCGCATTCACTGATTGCTGTATGATATTCTACCAGCACTTTCTTATGATTGTTATGACCAGTTTTTAGTACCAATGATTACGTAAGATTGTCCAAATATCGGTTGAATTCGCCCTTAAATTTAAGGCTTCTCTTTCAATTCAAGCTTAAAATTACTAATGTGCCTATTTGAAGTGAATTGCATTGGTATACACGGACTATCACTCCCATATTTCCTCTTCACTTTTATGGTAAATACTCGTTGTTCACACAGATCTATTGTTATTCCTCTCAAAGCTCAACTTTTTTACTCGACCTTCGTATTAGTTCTTATCAAACGTAAGAGGTCGCTTGAAAACTCTTTTTCTTTGATTATGAAAACCACAACTGAAAGTATCATTAGCTCTTTGAACGGTTCATACGTGGCACTTAGCAAGTTCTGGAGGTTGATAAACTATTTCTTCCATTTCCCTTATCTTCTAGTCGAAAGATAACGAGGAACCTGTGAATGTGATTAATGTTGGCCTCCGTTGGCCATCAGAGGGCCAGGATAGCCTCGGTGAGGAGGCGACGGTGCGGATGTTGGAGGCATTCTGCCAGGAGCACTGCAACCGCCTCATATGTGTTGCTGTTCGCCGCATCACATTTATGCTCATCACTCCAGTAGGCTGAACTTTTGCTTTTTAGAATGCGAGAAAGAACTTTAAATATTCTGGTGTGAAACTAAGTATTCTTTCACAACTAGATAGTTTGATTTGGTTGAACTCCTTATGCGCATGTTTAACGTTGCTGATAAAAGTACAGCCTTTTAAACTTGAATGATTTAAGGCTTTGCTCTAGTACGTGGTGTAAGTTACACCTGATTGAATCATCTGGCTTCCGCAGCAACTTCGCCTTCTTTTGAACTCAGCTTGTGATGCTTTTTATATGGTAATGAATTTGCAATGATTTTCTAGCGTCAAAGTTGCATATCTCGCCGCGACTACCTGTTTTTTTTTTGGGATTGAACCGTGCCTCAAATAGGCTTAATATTGGTTTGATAAATCTTCCACTTTGGACAAATTCGAAGGCAGTAGAATTTCCTTCACGATATTGGTTGACTACAATCACTTGGTTTGCTCCTCTGTTCACAACTATTCTACACATGCTCTATCACATTAAATCCTGCCTCACTGTGTTGTATTGCGATCTAAAATCCACCCAAGGCGACTCATGTGCTTTGCAGTCCATGTTGTCTCACTTTATTGACGAAGTTATCCCTTATTTGCGTTGGGCAATAAAACAGTAGAATATCACTCATATTTCCTAGGTTTTCTTATAAAGAACCAGATATTTGTTAACTTTTATTGCATTGCTATTTTATAAATAGTTTTAAGGATAGCTTGGCTACTGCCGAGTCATTCAATACGAATAGACTGGTCCAGCTACCACTTAGAGCGTAGAGCGACATGCATAAAGTGACTCTAGAGGCGTGTTTCTTTAAGGGCAAATATCCTCTATTCTTCAATTTCCGCGCACGGGATAATTTCAAGGAGGACAGGGTATATCGAAACCTGGAACCTGCCCTAGCCTTCCAGATGGAAATTAATCGGTTGCAGAACTATGATCTCGAACCCATTCCAGTATTGAATCGGCGGATGCAAATGTACATAGGGAAGGCCAAGGTGAGGCGTTTACTGATGCCTTTATTTATTTGCTTTGAATGAGAAGTAGTTGTGACCAATTACCTGCTTGGTCACTCAGACAAACATGTCTGAAACTCAGGAGTTCGAGGATTATGAAAATTCCAGTAGACACCTTGAATGCATTCCATTCTTTTCATACGATCACATAGGGGCACAGTGCATATGATTTTCCCAGATTTTTCTTTATTTTAATCCGTCTATCATCTCTTTCGTTGCAGCCGTTCTGCTCTTGTCGTTTTGGGTTCTCTTTGCAAAGTACCTGACACTAGTCCTCTTGAAGTAGGTAGCACCTCTAGTATGGATCTAAAGATGCAGAAATTTGTGCTGCCGATTTTGGGCTTCCAAGTTCATCTGACTAAAAAAATTAAATGTTACTGAATACCGTTTCAACAATTTTTCACTGAGCAACTAAATAGTCATTGGTAGTTGAACAAAGTTAGTACGATGTAGTTTCAGTTTTTAACCACGGATGCGGTCGAAAGAAATCACATTTTAACGATTATTTTTTGTGACTCTTTTTAAAATCTTTTGATATGCATGTTGATTCGTTTAAACTCAATAGGCACTAATTTTTTTCACCCAAAAAGGGTATGCATACATATGTGGATGTGCTTTTGTGATGAGCAGATGTCTCAGGGCCAAGGCGCGGTGGACTACCGTTTCTTTGTGCGCAGCGTAATTCGTCACGCAGACCTCGTCTCCAAAGCTTCGTCGTTCGAGTACTTGCGGTCAGAGGCGGAGCGCACCCTATTAGAAGCTATGGATGCCCTTGAGATGGCCTTTTCTCATCCCAAGGCCAACCTCACCACAGGAAATCATATCTTCCTCAATTTTGCCCCGACCCTCCTGTTGGAGGACATTGCCCAATTGCAGAGCACTGTGAAGAGTACTATTCTGCGCTACGCTACGAGACTTATCAAGCTGCGGGTCAAACAAGTGAGCTCTCCAATTTCTTTGATATGCTAGTCACTTATTTGATTAGTTCTCTTGGGCCTATGGTAGAAATTAACCTTCGGAGTCATATAGGGAATCATGCCAAATAATACACCATTTTAGAACCTTGTTTGGATGCATTTCTTTCGAGCATGGAGACTTCTAAGTAGTCCTTGTTCCCCCAGCGTCCGTTGAGGACACTGAGGAACCGTCATTATGCATTTGTGTAAGTTCTGTATTCTCCTTATTTTTCAAACTGCTGCGTTGATAATACTCGCAGATCTGCTTGACTAACTGCTGCAAAAGATCACTGAGGATTGGGAAACCCTCATAACTGGTTCAAACGTTTTTACAAATAGGAAAGCTTTCTGGGATCATTCACAGGGCGTTTAGTGGTGGAAATTTGGCTTTGTCGTTCAAGTAAATCATTTAAACGCCCTTTTAGAGTAAATTTTTCCCAGGTTGTTGTAAGGCGTTGGATCTTGACGTCAATACTTTGTAGGCACTTCTGGGACGGTAGTCAATTGCAGTCAAAATGGTCTCCAAACTGAGGGAAGTCGAGTTTGTCATCAGGTGTCCTCCTACTCATTTTACTGGTCTCGACTACTCATTCAGAGGGATAAAAATGTAATTGTAATTTCCAAGCATTAATTAAGGGAGCTGGTGAGATCAAATTCCTGCATAATCATTGTGGGAATATCGGGATTCATTTTATTTTATTTTGTAGCCTGAGTAAGAGTTGTGGATTTTGGTGTGTGAACCAAACAGTTGATCTCGTAAATGGCTCGCCAAAATTTATCAATTCTTTCTTCCAACCTCCCTACATAGGCTGAGTTGAAGCTGCTGATCCGTCGTAGCAAGAATGGGCCTCGTATTCCCATCCGTCTGATCATCTCTAACGAGCAAGGCTACAGCTTGGTGTTTGAGCTTTACCACGAGGTGCCCAATCCATGCACCGGTGCCATACATCTCGTCTCCTTTGGTCCTCGCATCGGCTCGCTCCATGGCTGCCTTGCTAATGCTCCACATCCGACCAAAGACTTTCTTCAGATCAAACGATTTCAGGTATTCCCTCTTCTTTCTATGTTGGATAGATAATGTAAGGGCTGTCAACTGTTGAAATTTCATAGGCACAGTCGAATCCTTCTCCAGCTGGTTGCTCGAAGTGTACTCGTGCTTCGAGTTTTTTCGATTGCATTGACGAATTTGATGGTCTTCAGATCATTTGCATATAAATCACTCCTGCTAATTCAGGAAATGGTAGTTTACCGCAGCATGTATTTTGGTTATTATTTGAACCCCTCCAGCGCTCAAGCTGCCTGGGACAAATCGGTCTACAGCGGTGGACAACAGAGAACTCGCTCACACAAACATTATAGGGCACACTAAATTAGAAATTGACGTACCGTCAGCATTTACACTGCGCCACTGCATATTAATGAAACGGGCACTTTGGGTTTTGTCATTCAAAGTGGATCCATTTCGGCCCTTTTTGTCGGCGGAACCATTATGCTTCCAAATTTCTCTTACACCCACCCCTTCAGTATAATGTCACCAACTGATGTATTGTAGCATTTCCAAGTTCTATATGGTCATCTAGCTTTTCTCTGGAGGTGGTAGTAATCTTTTGAGCGCATTTATCCAAATGCTGATTTGCAGAACGGTTAAGGTGATAGCAGGATTTCATACCACGGACTCTAGAATCGACTTTAAAGCATTCGCTCGCTACCGTTTTCTTAAACTATTGGCGTTGAATTTACAAAACTTTGAAATCAGAAAGCGATTTGGTCATCATTTTAGCGAAGAACAAACTCCTAGCAACTTAATGTAACTTCTCTCTTAAAAGCATTCTATAGCGATCCCTGCGACTTCAGGAAGCATTCCCTTCTAGTCTGATGGCTTATCTCCAAACCCTGTGTGCTTTTACCGAATTGGTCAACATTATTGTCTGCAATCTTCATTATCCAGTCGGTTTTCGCCCCTTCTTTCATCCCCTGTCGTGTCCTATAGGCACAGAAGTACAGTTCTACATATGTCTACGACTACCCAGTGGTGTTTCGTCAGGTTCTGGACGAAGTGTGGAACTCCATTGGTGGCTATCATCCAGCTACTGCTACGGCCAAAGGCAGGCCTGGCGAATCGAATAAGTCTAGCCGTGATCCTGACGATGGAAGTCATTTGTTGGAGTGCAAGGAGCTCTGCCTTAATTCAGCCGGTGAACTTGTCCACGTGGACCGACCACCCTGCCTTAATAAGGTGAATTGAGAGGCGATCGCCATCACTTGTCAGACATAATTCATCTGGGGACTTTTTCTATGATAAATTTGGAGAATGTAGCCTACAAAATGAAGTGAATGCATTAATTTGGTAGCATTTTAATTATTGATAAATAGGTAGAGTCCGAGGATCAGTGTTAGAAAACATAAGTTGAGAATGTTTAGAAAATGTGGGAGCCTGGTGAATATGGCATTGTCAAGTGTACTAGTAAGGTGATTGTCATACTTTGTAAGCTTTTGTTTTTGGCGCTGTTTGTGATGCTCTCAATGACTAGCCTTCTGCGTTGTCACTCAGGAAATGGGAGCAAAGATTGCACTCTCATTAATTAATAATTTTTGCTTTTATTCTCGTTTAAAACTATATTGAGAACTGCCGGATTTTTTTCAAGTGACAAAAGACTTGAGACACAATGCTTCTGTTGCCATCATAGGTCTGCGACTTTGAAAGAAGTTTTGTGTGGGTTAGAACTGGGACGGTAGTATCAAATCTTGCGTCACTGAAATAGGGACGATCTCGTAAGCTTGAATTTGACGTGCGTAATTATGTATGGTAGTTGAGGCATTTTCAGCGAACGCTATTCAGCAACTATCATCTCAAATTAATTCACTCATTCAACATATTTTTCTCCACTGGACACATCACCTGGCATTCATTTGCCTTTTTGTTGCTATAATCTTGTTGCAATCCCAAACTAGCCTAAATTCATACCCCAAAGAGCGTCAAAACACAGTCTTGAACTTGACGCCGTCCCAGGGAACGCAGAACACATAGCCAAACGAGGGCATTCCAAGGGAGTGCAGCAGAGGTAGTGGGAGCGCGTACGAGTTATTACAGTGATCATGTAACGTTAGCTGCCCTGTCAGTTCATCATCATTGATTTCCTGGGCCTTATAGTTGCCACAACAATTTGTAATTTACTGACTGTGTCTTTGCTGGTCGGCTTACCTATATTTTGCTGTAGTTAACCTGTTGTTGTCACAGTATTATCTGGAAAAGATGGCTTATCAGCTTCTCTAGTTGTCCCTTTCAAGAGCATTGTGTTCATCCAGCGCCTTTTTAATTTGAGCTCCTATTCCACCTTTTTTAGATCGGCATGGTGGTATGGTACATTTTGATGCGCACTCCAGAATACCCTGAAGGTCGACCCATAATTGTCATTGCCAACGATGCGACGCATAACGCAGGCTCCTTCGGACCCTGTGAAGATCTTATCTTCTATCGAGCTAGTGCGTTGGCACGAAGTCTGGGCATTCCACGCATTTTCCTCGCCGCCAATACTGGCGCTCGCATTCGTCTTGCTGAAGAGGTTAAGGCTGTCTTCAGGATTGCATGGACCGATGAAAAGCATCCTCAAATGGTGCGTAGTGAGGGTTTCGTGATGATGGGATCTTTGACAAAGGAGGTCATTTTTCCGCATTTTAGTAAATCTTTGGTCTCCTGATGAATGACTTGGCAAAAAGGGGTATTTGTACTTGGTCAAACACTTTGTTTTGGTTCGTCCACCTAAGTAGACTTGTGACTTGCTAACTATTTTCACTAGGAGGAACGTATTGAATGTTATCCATTACTTGATCTACTTTTCAATTCCACCTTCTGAATGCGATCTGAGTGAAGGTTGAACTCGTTTTTTCTCCTAATATGTTGGACCAGAGGTCCACATCTACAATGCCTTCCCATACGCTCGTCATCCGTCAAGCACATAAATAAAAAGCAGAAAATCCGTGGTTCTGGTATTTCAAGTGCTTCTTTAATCAGCCTACTTAATGCTTGTTCTTTGTGTTTAAAGCGTTCGTAGTCTCTGAACCGCAAGAAAGCCTACCACGGAGGAACACATGCCCTCCCCTTTTAACAATGGTATTAGAACGCTGAGCTGTTTTGACGCACTTAAATCACTCAAATTTTCTTATTTAGCAAGTTTTACGAGAATTAATTTTTAGAATTAAACAATATTAAGTGCTTTTCTTGACTTTTCTCATGGACCAAATGCGATTGGACTTCACATTGTTGCATCTCGATAAGATTGTTGTTACTATTTGTAATGCTGAAGCGCCTTTGACACGGGTGTAGTAGGGATTCCATCATCGATTTGTTTAACTCAGGCTTCCTTGGTCTATTGTCATCTACCAGGGCTTTGACTACCTCTACTTGACTCCGGAGGACTACGGGAAGCTGAAAAAGATGAATTCTGTCAACTGCGAGAAGATAGTGGAGAACGGAGAGGAGCGCTACAAAATAGTTGACATAATAGGTAAAGATTTTGATATCTCTGTGGAGAATTTGCGCGGCTCCGCCTTGGTAGCGGAGGAAACAGCGCAAGCCTACGAGGAGTGTTTCACCCTCAGTGTCGTCACTAGTCGCACAATTGGTATTGGCGCCTATCTCGTGCGTCTGGGTCAGCGGGTTATTCAGGTGGGCATTTGTTGAAGTCTTGTTTTTCCCTCTCCCTAGGTAAGTACCGATTGATTTCTTTTGCATTCAGATTGAAAATTCGCATATTATCCTCACGGGTGCAATGGCACTCAATAAACTGCTAGGCCGACAGGTCTATACTGGCAACGGACAGTTGGGCGGTGTGCAGGTGATGGCCAACAATGGTGTGTGCCATCTCGTGGTGCCGGATGAATACTCCGCCCTTCAACAGGTGGTCCATTGGCTATCCTTCGTGCCCATCAGCCGAGGAGCTCGACTACCGATATTTCGCCGTCCCCCACCTGACCCCATCGATCGACCGGTGGAGTATGTGCCCTCTCGTGAGAGAACTAATGATGATCCTCGATGGATGTTCACTGGGGTCATGAGTGCGTTCATTTCCACATTTATATTTGTGCTTCAGGGATAAATTTCTCACTTTTTGAACATGTATGGTCTCATAAGCTAAATTTCATTCTGGCCATCGGTTCGTAGCCATTTTTCCAATGACTCGCATAGATAGTATTCATTGGAGCGGGAACCTATTACAAAGCACAAGATTGTACCTTTTGACAGACGGAATGTTTCCTTTTCATAATGTTTGGTGTGTTTGATGGTTTGACTCTGAGCCAGTGAGCTGATTTGGCATTTCCTTGTTCTTCATTTTATAATACTCGTGAACTTGAAGTCTCTGTCACCACGAATATTATTAGAAAGGTTTTTTTCCTTTTCACTATGCTTTGATTTGCCTAGCGGAAACCGGGACCTTTTTTGTCCTTCGCTACGGCGGTTTGCATCCGACTCAAATCTCACATTAATTCGCGGTGGAAATAGACCTTTAGTAAGACTTTGAAGATTCATACTACGTAAAGGTATTGCCTTCAAGTAATTGGAGTGTTTTGTACTTATAAGAAGGCTACTATTATTAACATTTTCCTTGATTTTTGGAAACTCCATTTGCTTGTTGTGCAATGCGAAGTACTTAGCTTTTGCATTTTAGAGGGATCTCTTTGCACCTTTGAAAATCAAGTGCTTCCGATGAAACTGTCGATTGTAGCGCCTTAGTCCTTCCTGAAGCTCCCTAGAGTCAGTATTGGCATAGAAACTGTCACTATGCTAGCTTATCAAGAAGCGGAGAAGCTCTGGGCATTCGCAGAACATAGTGATGCCTAAGGTGAAACTGAAGTCACGTCTCGACAGTTCCACTAGCTTAGTAGAGAGGCAGTGGATAGGGCTGAATACTTTTGTTCAGAGAGAAGAGGAAGAGGTCGGACCTCGGCTTGGCCATCAAGTCAACCCACTCAGTCAATAGCAAACTGAATATTCAAGTTATCGCCAATCATGCAGGTAGTCGACTGAACAAGACATTATTCCTACTGTATGAACGCATGAGATCCTTTGCTTCAGTTCAACATAAATCCAGCCATGATAAGTTTGCATGCTTGCCTCGAATCACGTGGTATTATTGACATTTCTCTCGATTGCTATTCACGCCTTTGTCTGATCAAAACCTTTTCCGCTAGTTTTTTGTGGCAAGAATAATTGGACGTTTTGAAAACAATTTGTCATATAGTGTGAATCTATTACTAAAATTGGCGGTGAGTCTTCCGTTGTACGGTAAAGATCTACATAGCCACTTCAAAGAACTGCTGATTTTCTGCTTTACTGTATGGTTGACCTTGTTGTTAGGCGACTATTTTCACGTGTTCGCATCGACATTGACATGGTTTTTAAATTTCAGTATTGGATTAACTTATAAATCTTGGAACTGCAGAAGAGTGCTGTTTCTGGCACGTGTGAGATGCAAATTAAGATATTTTAAGGGTTGGTTTTGGTTACATTCTGTTCCTTTCATAGATATCAAGACACTTACCTATGTACTTACTTTCCATCTCCTTATTTTGTACCATACGAGCACTTCGAATGTCATTTCATGTAGTTGCATTCCCGAGTTTTAATTATTAAACACATTTCTATAATTTTAGGTGGTCAACTGCAATCACCTTCCGCGTCAAAGTCGGCGAAAACAGAATCGCCTGATTCAGCTGTATCACCAGTCAAGCGAGTAGACCAAATCTGGCTTTCGGGCTTCTTCGACGGCGGCACATGGCAAGAGGCGTTGGGTGCGTGGGCGCCGGGAGTGATTGTGGGACGTGCGCGCCTAGGCGGCATTCCCTGTGGGGTGGTGACTCCAGAGACTCGCGTCTCCGTGTGCAGGGTGCCCGCAGACCCGGCTAATCCCGCCTCGGAGGTGCAGACCATCAATCAGGCCGGACAGGTTTGGTATCCAGATTCCTCCTACAAAACTGCGCAAGCGATTGCGGACTTTGCACGTGAGGAACTACCCCTCTTCATATTCGCCAACTGGCGTGGATTCTCTGGAGGACTGAGGGACATGTATGATCAGGTAAAATTACCCTTTGAATCGCTCGACTACCCATCCTTTTCAACCAACCTTGTATTGCTATGAAAGAGTAAATTCCTTGTTCCTACGAATATGAGAAGCTTTTTTATCGTAGAGCTTTTGCGATCCTTCCATTGACTGAAGGTGGATTTAAAATCTTGCGCGCTTTGTTGATCCTTCCCAAAGCCTGAAGTTAACTTCTATTTTAAAGTCTGAAAAATTTATTCTTGTCTATTTTTTTTCTGGAATTGGTCAACTAACCTGCATCATATAGTATACGTCTTTGAATTAAAAAGCTTAAGCATTAATCTGTAGTTTGGGACTTCCAATTACTACTACTTTCTACTTTTTGGTTTGAAGTAGGTTCCATTAATCGGTTGATGTGTCAGTAGGTAGCCTATTAAGATAACACTTATTTTCGGGTGAAATGGGCTTCGCCTATCAATTGATACATTACTCTGAAGTTTGCGAAATCTCAGCGTCATTGATAAGGCAGGAAACACTTGTCTTCCACTGTGGGCATATAGTTTCAGTGGGATGTTTCTTCTGACTGGTTAATCTCGGTTCTCTGGTTACAGGTGCTGAAATTCGGTGCTATGATAGTGGAATCCCTCCGCACCTACCCTTCTCCCGTCTTTGTCTATCTGCCACCACATGCGGAATTGCGTGGTGGTGCCTGGGTGGTCATTGATTCTGCCATTAATCCCGATCACATGGAGTTCTTTTGCACACCGCGCACCTGTCGTGGGGGTGTGATCGAACCAGAGGGCACTGTAGAAATCAAGTACCGTTCTGCAGACCTCATTGCTACCATGAACCGTCTTGATGAGCTATGTGCAAATCTCACTGCTCAGGTGGCTGCTGCCAAGGCCGCATCGCCGCAGTCATTTGCGGTTGTGAAGGAATTGCAAGACCGTTTGAAACAGCGTCAGGAGTACCTCATGCCCATCTATCAACAAGTAAGGGAATGACTTATCCTAACCGTGTTGTCTCCTGTTAATCTCTGTCCTTTGACTAATTGTCGAGATATTCTTGTGTCACGGTTAAACTGATATGCGAAGTGGGTGGGATGACCCTCGGGGAAGTGAATGGGTGACGAAAGGACGTTATTTGGTAAAGAGATGTTTTAGTAGAAGGACAGAAAGAATGAACATGTAGAAATACAGAGAAGGTCTGGTATTAGGTCTCGAAATCAAACTCCTTTCCCCTATTTCAGGTCGCTCATCACTTTGCAGATCTGCACGATACACCAGGTCGATTGGTGGCACGGGGACTGGTGCATGGGAGCGTGGAGTGGGGATCTAGTCGCGCCTTCTTTTTTGCTCGCCTTGCCCGGCGTGTGCTGGAGCAGGAAGCAGTGGGCCGGTTCTGGCGCGCACACAACCCTACCGTCTCCAGTCGGTCGACGGCAGGCTTTTCGCAAGGTCTTTTCAAGTCTTCTCAACAATCTGAGGATCTATTAAACAGTGGTAAGGTGCCCATTGATGTGGAACTATTTAGTTACATGAGCATTTAGTCTTTTTTCTCATTTCTTCACTAGAAGTTTCAAAAGAAATTGCATTGTTTTGAAAAACGCTTTGATTATGCATCAGCTCTGTCATGTTGTGGAATTATGAGAAGTGGATTGAGGGTATGCGCCTTTAGATAGGGCGAATTCAGGATGGTCGTACAAGGCCATGACAAATGTTCTTGTGCGCTTACTGGTCAGGATCAGTATTACTAGGTGCATCACAAGGCGGCACAATTGGATGCCCATTCAGGCGATTTTTCTCTTCTCTGTTGCATTTTAAAAATGTTAATGGGTTCGTATCTCTATCTTGTGCTGTGTGCATGTTTTTTTGTGAAACTTTTTCTTGTCTGTGCTAACGGAATCCGAAGTTCGTCCACAAAATGAATCCAAATGTAGGCTTTATTTTTAATCGTGTACGTGTGTAGTCTAACTTAACTTTTATGCTATTAATTATTTGGTTTTTTTAAGTAGCGCAACGACCTCGGTTCTCCCTGCCAACGGTGTACGAAAAGCCCAGTAGCACGCCTTTTGTTGGTGTTTCTCCTGCAGACAACGGCGGCTCGAGCGTGGTACGGGATGAAACGGAGCCGCTCCTTACCACGGCAGAACGCGCTTGTCAGCTGATTGCCCAGATTGGTGTGTTTTTCTTTCGTTTTTGAACATTTAGCCTTTCTTTGGTAGTGCAAATTATTTGCTTAGCACTTTAATGTCTAATTAAGTCATTAATCGTACTGATTTTAAAACAATTTATAGGCGCTCGGCGAGGCGTCTCCATTCAGCGAGCACTGACTCGCCTTCGACAGTGGTTTTTGGAAGACATGCGATGGGGATCGAAGGAGACCGGTGCTATTAAGGGGAAGAATGAGAAAACAGAAGAGGAAGCAGCGAATGAGGCCGAGTTGATGTGGGAACGGTGCGACGTCACGGTAGCTCGTTGGCTAGCAGGCCAGATGGGTGATACGCGTATGGCGGAGGCGTTGCAGGGTCTCCATGACCTCTACTTCGATCCATCAACGTCAGTTTGGAGCATGACAAAGCAGATGATGGCGGAAGGAGTGACAGGGGCTCCCACTAATGCTACCTCTTCATCTTCATCCTTTTTGCCGCGACTAGAGGATATAGCGAAGGAGCAGCTTATTAGTCATATTACTCGGTGAGTCCCAGCTTTTGCTGCCTTTCAAAGGATTTATTATCATTCTAATCGGTGAGTCAGAGAAATTGTCAGACATTGCCCTGCTTGTTTGGATCATTTTAACTCGGTGAGAGAAGTCAACTGCATTGAGCGCCCTTCAATATTGCTATAGGATAACACAAAGGTTTCTCTCTTACATTTTGGGAATGAAAGTACCTCAGTTTGTAGTGCTGAAAGTGGCATGCAATGATTTGCTGGAGTTTAAAATCCTTTGATCAGCTGTGAAGCTGATGTTTGTACTTGAAATGCACCGCATTTGATATCTACGTGCTGTTTGCATTGGGCACTAAGCGGAATCTTTTTTTATTTTATTCAACAAAGTCTCAAGCTGTTGTTAAATTGAATTTGTACTTTCTCCCACAATCAACATGCTATTTAAGGGAAAGTTTTCTGAGAAGGCCTCTCTGGTAATCACGAATGAAACTCTTGTTAATGAAAACTAGCGCAGTCCTCCTAGCTTTCCATCCTAGGGTGTAGGTGCGTTTAGGTTTAGGAATGGGAACTCCACGATTTTAAATTCACTCTACACACTCAAATACGGGTTTACTTGAAGATTGAATGCCTTAGTGGTGCTCATTTTTTTTTTCAGGTTGCTGGATCAACACCCTGAATGCTTAGCCGAAACATTGGATTGCATCCAGACTCTTCAAAATGTTCACCAAACCTCACCTCTGAGTGTTGCAGGCGCTCAGATCTCATCCTCCAACACCTCTACTACCACCACCACTACTGCTGAAGGTGATAGTCGGCCCTAGCTCAAGGTTGCTTCTCCGTGTCCTATTTTTAGTCGCTCTCCGCGCATATTTGCTTTTAGCGGTGCTGATTTTCTAACCAGCTGGTCTGCTTTCTTCTGTTACTTCTCAAATCCGGATTAAAAAGGCTATAATTTCATCCGACTTCGTTTCTTATACCTCCCACTGCTTGTGGATCTACCCTTTCTTTCCTTTTTTTGTGGTTTCGCGGGGACGGTGTCGTCTCGGTCTCTTCCCTCTCCCTTCTTCCTGTCTTTGACTTTAGCTTAAGATTAATGGTCCATCCTCTCTCCTCCCTCCTTTTTACTAGAACTGTTGTCCTCAATGTTAATGATCTATTTAAACCTTTTGAATCTTTTATGGTGGTTTTTTGTACTTATTTACTTGTAGTTACTGAAGTGGATTTGTCAGTAGTCAATTTGGGATTGACTTGTTGCTTGATGAACAGTACTTTGTGATTACCCAAAATGTGGCATCTAACACTTTACCGGTATAAGTAATCACATTTTATTTTTCTTTCACTTTCTTGAGGAGCCTTCAAAGTTTTTGTGGTACAGCCCCTGAGCAAAGCGGATGAAAGAGTGGGAAGCCTGCAATAAGTAACACCAGAATAAATTGAGTGTCATGGTGCACCTAATTTTAACCTTATCTTGGTCATCAGTGAAGAGTTTGCTTCTCAGTTATCTCCCTCCAGGGTGTGTTAGTCGGCCACTTAAAACCCCATTTTAGGAGGTGTAGAAATGCTGACATATTGCTTATGTTAAAACAAGTTGAAACAATTTTTTTTCGGAATTGGTTTCGAAATCACCTAGTTGTACAAGAGGAGGCAACAATTCATGGTGGGATTCTGGAGGAATCATTTCTTGCACCCTCGGAAATATAATAAGGAAGTCTCTGAGTAACCGCTTTGTCACTTGAGCAATTTGTTCCCTTCTCAGTTAGGCATCACAACTGAAGAAAGTGGATTCGTTCGGACACTTTCCTCGTAATTATTACCACTAATGTTGTGAGGTTTCATCTCTTCCAACAAACGTTTTCTTGTTTCACCCATTTGCTTTAAGAATCAACAGCAAACAAGCTTAGTCACTTGTTCACTCACTTTATCGTCTTCTCCCTGCGTAGTTCATTTACTCGTCCATCTCGCCAGCCTCGAAGGCGTTGACTTCCATTTGGAGGGAGGCAATAAATCCTCGTCCACTAAGCAATAATGACTATGATCGCGTGTCTGGCTCCCTTCGGGGACCCGTTGTTGCGAGTTTATGACACTTGGCCGGCGGGCAATAAAATAATCGCCTGTAGTAGTCTGTCTGGCCAATGTGCGCAGAAGACCTTTCGCAAGTGTGATGACGATTTTTCGAAAACACAAGCACCCCCAATGGCCTTGGTGTTGAGTTCCTTCGTGTAATCTTCAGGTGATTGAGGCAATGTGTAGTAAGGAAGGCGAGCTTTCTTAGCATACTTTAACTAACAAACTCTCCGTTGGGACTTTGTGTTCGCCCAATGACCATTTTTACATCTAATCCCCGAAAGATAAAGGCAATGCATTGTATTGGGTTTGAAATAGTTTGCAGTGCAATCGAGAATGCGGTGATCAACTTTTTACCCTTACTAAATTTATTTTCACCATTCATCTCTCGCTAAACTTACCAACCTTTGATCTCTTCACAAAGTCTACGGCGGCCATAATACTACGCCGGTTTGTTTTGTTGGACACTCAGAAGGAATGGCTAATCAGTAGCAAGGCTTGAAAGCTCAGAGTCTGGCAGATCTGTACAGCTACAAAGTTGAGTTGGACAAATTATCGAAGTAATACACATTTCCACTCTTCCTTTGGACGTCATCCTTTGTGCTCCTCTTGGCTATCCCCTCGAGCCGACTGACACGTGATATTTAAAGTGGCAAGGAAAGAATTGCCGTTTGATACAGCTACGAAGGTATTTGAACGCACAAAAACTGGTTCTTTTGGAAATTTAACTCCATTCAGGTTTATTTTTTAGTGTTAAAGGTGCATTGAGGGCGAGCGGAAGGTACGTCCATTGGCAGACAATGGAATTAAAAATTGTTTGCGCTGCTGATACTTGTCCGTCGGAATTCGTGGGTTAAAATTATGTCATTCAGGTGGCTCACCGCTGGCTTCGGATGGACTCCATGCCTCCTAGTAGCCCTACTGAATACGGGAATGGCATTTAAGTGTGCTGTAAAATGTTTTGGAGGCTAAATCTATTAGTGCGATTTGCATTGGGTGGTTGAAAGCAACATCCAAGTTGCATAATGCGGTTAAAAGCTGGTTAAAGCTCATCCAGCCTAGTTGGCAATGTAAAAGTTGTCAGACCTTCACTTGTCCTACGCATCTTATCATTCCATGTGGCTTTGCTTTGGAATCGCTTTCAGTTGCATTCAATGTGGCATTCAGAATACTTATTGAAGTAAAAAGAAGCCATATTATTAATTGGGACAACGTATTTCCGTGGGGTAGAAGAGTCGCTTCCTTTGCATTCCAGTGTAAGCCAAATTTCGAAATCTTAAGGCGTCATTGTTAGTGACTACTCTGCCTCGAGGCCTCTGATCAAGTCACTCAAACAGTGAGACACGATCGGAACATCTTGTGCAGCACGTATTTGTATCAGTGCGCCTTTTTATTTGCAAGTGAAGTGACTGGACAAATTGCGTCACCGTGAGGGCATCTTTCATCCCACGGCAATAAAACTTCCTCCGCTTTACAAGAAATGCTAGTCACTTGTTAATTTCACACTGCCACGATGCATCACAGCCGCTTTCAAATGTTTCAGCTTTTGGTAGAGGCGAAGCAGTAGATGACAACTTTCACTCGCTCTTCACACAAATAAATTCCTCATTCTAGAAGTAGGGCCAATGATCAGAAGAGGATTACAGTAAGTTTCGATTATAAAATAATAAATTCTTACATTTATCCCCATGAGGAGATGTGGAAGTTACGTTGAACTTCACAGCACTAATGTTTCAAAAAAGTAAGCCCAACTGAGCATTTGGATGTTCTGCCATCCTCCAGCCTCAGTCTTTCAGTCAGCTGAAGTAGGTGGTTCGAAGAAGACGTCAGAAGTCGCTGCAATCTCTTTCTTAAGTAGTATATTCTCGCCTATTTATTGAGACAGACTTTTAAAATCTGCTTTCACAGAAAGTTATGTTTAGAGTCGACTTTATCAGCCAAACTCTCTCCTACTCACCGGACACTTGTGTTTATGACAACTGAATGTTGCCATTCTCACAAACGTCCATCAAGAACCGTCGCTCTGAAACAACGAATAACGTCTAACTGCTAATCATCTCCATTCCCAAATAAAGTACAACAGACAGTGAACTGTCCATCAACGCAAGGCGGGATCAACTTTCTTTCAGGGTTTTTAACCACAGATACCAAGTAAAGTAGTAAAAAAAGTGATTGAGAGTCTTGATAAACAGGCAACTCAACTCCATTTAAAGTTATTATAAGTGGTTCAAAGCCTATCATTGTTGTTGTCAAGACGATGTGGGGAGGACAGACCCTAGAGCTATTATTTAGGGGATGCTGCACACTTTGAGACCACTGACTACGATGCGGAGTCCATGCAAATGGAGTGAAGAGTGTGAGGAGCCTCGTGATGGTCCGCTATTTTGATGGATAACAAATCAGTCTCGTGGAGTATTGCAGCTTTGCTTCCTTAAGCTAAATGTGTCCCCATACGGTGGCATTCTATAACACAGTTGTGAGGCTATTCTTGCGCCGCTCACTCTGCTAGTCTCCTGCCTCTTCTGAGCACGTGTGCTTTAGGCAAGATAACTATTTTTGTGACCCAGTTGCCGTTGCTATGAGAAGTCACCAAAACGCAGATTATATCTTAGAAAGTTACCAAGCTTTGTCAGGGAATGTGATACTTAGGAGACACAGATGACATTATGGTGAAGACTGACAGAAAAAAGCGATACAATGAATTCTTGTTTTCACGTTAATTTATCACATCACTTTTGTTTATTGCCATGTGATTGATTACATCCTAATGGGAAACTTATGGATGACCAAGCACCATGGAGCGCCTTAAGCCAAGGAGGGAATACTTAGTAAGGTGATGCCAGTATTAATGAAATGTTTAGCCAATCCACCTTACCATCCCCCGCAGTTTGTTCACTGTGACGGTGGCGTGAGACTATTTATACCATGTGCCACATTCAACGATGGCTCAGGCACCTTAGCCGCATGATACAATCAATCCACTCATTTTAAAACAAAACTCCCCCATACTAAGATCTGCAATCGTCCATTAAAGGTATCTTAGTTGAGTACCCAGTTGGTCACCTTTTGATCGACTCGGATTGGGCCCAAAACAACGGCTGACCATCTCCTCGCCCACGCTCATGCATTGATTGGCTCCCACGGAGCCCGCACTTGCCTCCGTCAGCGTCGTGGCCACCCGCTAGCCATCGCTTTATTGGCTGGTGGTGGTGGTGGTCGTGCTGTCGGTACCGAATTGAGACGATTGACTTGCATATTGAAAATGGTTCATTCTCACCGTAGAGGTGTACTATCTGCATCCATCCTTATCCCCACTGGTACCTGCTTGGGCTCCGCCTCCTTCCTCTGCTTTAAGTGCTTCTTTGCTGCTTTAACAGAAACTCGGAATGATGATCGAGCGCCTCTTGTGGTGAGTCAAGCCTCCCCCGCTCCTCTTTAACCTGATCTAAGCCAGTGGCAGTCTAAAAGTCTACAAAGGATTGAAGCATAATAGACTGATATATATGCAAGATTTTATCCTGCCTACCACATACTACACCACCAAGTGAACTACCAAATTCCGGTTTGTCAACTTAAAGTGCAGCTGATGCCAACACTCGCCTTTTCGCTTAAATAAAATGTCCTTAACAAAATCGAGCACAAAGTTTGGCGTACTGGCAGTTAATAAGGAAATTACTCTGGAATCCCAACTCCTCAGGCGTTGAGTTTTGTAAGGCTGTCAAACGGCCATTTTCGCAGACTGAGACAGCTTAACGAACGTTTAGTAAGACTTTATTTGACTTTTAAAAATGTATTTCCTTTCCCCGTTTGCATAAATATTTGCTAGTAAAAACTCGAAGTTGAATGGGCGAGACGATAAAGTAAACTGGCGAGTCTCTTGGTCACCTGACTTGGTGGGTAGTCAGCTTGGCGTCTTACGCTTTGGAGGGATTGACAAGGTACAAATTTTGCACTTTTAGTCAGAATCGAGAATATTGCAGTGTGTGGTACGACGCTTCAATTGGTCCATTGGATTTGTGAAGGGTTGTGACTGTTTGTTTATGCGGCACCTTCAGAAGCACAGTACGATGACGTTATGAAGGAAATCATGACTAATTGACAGTCGCATATCCGAATGACAAAAGGAAGACTTAAAACACGTATAGAATGTGTATATTAACCGGGCAGAAAGAATTGGGGCCACTGACCAGACAATGAGGCTGAATGTTCAACAATCTTCAAGCGCAATGCAGTTTTGGCTCTTTTACTTATCACACCTGCTCAAATTCACGACTCCATACGCTCGGAGCATTGAAATGCCATTGCACTTTGTCAACCAAATAAGGAGCGTTGAATGGGGCTTGACTATTTCTCTGAAATTTAGTTACTACAGCTCCGCCTTTAAAGACGTTTTCAACCACTTTCGTAGTTAAATTTGAGTGACTGTCGCACTGTTAAAAGCGGTCTCATTTCAGGAGTGAGTGTGATGATTGACATGTTTTGGAGTCCATCATCCACCCTAAGCATTCAACTGCCTGTTGACCCGATTTGGGCAATAAATTTCGGGCTTCTCCTCCCACCATTTTGTAAGAATTGTTAACCAGCTTTCAGTCGATCCGTGAGAAGATTCCTTTCCCTCTTTTAGTTAAATGCTCTCTCCTAGACTGTCTGGCCATCAAGTTCATCCAATTTGTTCTACGCTGTTGGGCGTCTTTCACTAACTTCTGTTTTCAACTAGTAGTTTTTAGAATTTCAGAATGACTTCGTAACTTTTGCGTGGCAGATACGTCTAAATTCACCGTAAATTTACATGCCATCTTTGAACGCCAAATTGTCAACTTCACCTTCGCTCCCAATGTCCTCAAGCTTCATTTTTTTCTTTCAAAACTGAGGGACAACCAAAGACGTAGGTACCTTTTGGGGCGGTTGTTGTTAGGTGCAGTCCAAACAAAACGTCTGATTTTAGTCATTCACAGGTTCAGTAGAATCTACTTGGCGTGCGAATCTTATTACAGGCGAATTCACTTGTTTGATGATTTTGGAAGAATACTGAGAAAAGCCTCATCACTCTCTTGAGTGGAGTGGATTGGATGCGATCTTTTGATTGTTGTTAATGGATTTGCTGATCCTGCCTGAGTTGAATATCTCACATCTAAGCGAAGTAGCAGGCAATGAAGAGGGGTGGTCCACTTCGACACGTTTTGTCACGTCGAGTGTACGTCAACCTTTACCGTTTTACATTCTGTAAGTAAACAATAGCGCCTCTAGTCGATCACCTCACTCTACGCACCCACACGGAAGGATGGAAAGATGAAGGAGGCTGACGCGGACGGTGAGGTGCACACCTTAGAAGTAGCACTGGATCGCAACGTTACTGGCATGAAGATGTGCAAAGGCATGTACAGATGTTTGGTGAGAATTTCAATACAAATCGGACTTCTCAATACAAGGAATAGCTAGCTTAGTAACGTGGATGAGGAGGAAACGAAATGGTTTCTGTCCACTATTTAGTGAATGGCATATGGGTGTGGTTTATTTAGTACGGATTCACTGCGACCCTTAACATTGATGCAGATGTAGGCACACTTTTCCTCGTTCCTTCAGTTGTTCTATCCATCCTGGGTAATCCTTTGGGCACAGAAAATGAAGATCTCCCTCAATTGAGTCCCCTTCTGCCAAATTTCCGCCGAACGCCTTCTAAAGATGATGATGATGATAAGTTTAATGTGACCTGTCTATCCTTTGGTACAATAAAAAAAAAACAACGAAATTTTACCGAGGCAGTAGAATGCCACGGTGGTGAAGCCACGTGCATGAAAAATATCGCTTTTCTCGCGATACCTTCCAAAGTGCAACAGGTCATCCAACCAACTTTCTCAGTCACCCAATAATCCCAACGTTGGCAGATCAAGTGGAATAGAAAATTCTGAATTTTCAGATTAACAATTTACTTGTTTGCTTGTAAAAGACTTAAAACAGAGGTAAACATTTCATTCCGGTGGCTATAAATATATGGTTCCGGTTTCTTTTTTAATGAAAAGCCTGACTGTCACAGACACTTTTTCAGCTTTTGGACATGACACTTGGCTCGAGGGCTGTCAAATCAGGCTCGCGTATTACTCACAACGAGATCAGTAGCGGATGGCTCAGTGACATTCGCCCTGCGCAGAATTGCTATGAGCAGAATGTTGAAATCACAAGGCCCAGAGACAAGGTGGAGGAGCCTGTTGCCACCTTGTTCCCTTTCTGTGAGTACCATGACAACCAGGAGTCGGATATCGGACCATTGCGATTCCAGGCCCTTAAGGACATTCCCATCGGAAGTGAATTGTTGGCTTGGCCCGACCTTTTACTGGGCCTCTCAATCGGCTTGCCCTTTTTGACCATTCAACACATAAAAAGTGAGACCATTTCATTGCTACTGCTTGTGTGTTGCTATTAGCATGGTTTGGCACAGATGGCACGGCGTCGATTGATGCCTAGGATTTGATTACATCAAAGGATTGACGTAACATTAGCCTACAATGCAAAGGATTTTTCATGTGTTTTCGGATCGAGTTGTCGAAAATGGGTGCAATTTGAGAATTTGCTGCTTTTAAAATGGACACTTAGGTTGTTTGAGCAGTAAAGCCTAAGGGAAATGATGCCGTGTTCGAAGTGGAAAATTCAGGTTCTTGACATGATTGGAAGACAATTGCAAAAACACTGTTGCCCTTCTGCATCTTTGCTGCGAAACCCATGAAATTCAAACGGGCGTTGCATATGTGTGACATTAAAGCGACGTTAGAAAGCATGGGCCATGAATGGCGAAGCAGTACTACGGACAGGATTCCACACCATTATCGATAGAGTTCCCGGATTGAAATAAAGAATTGGCTGAAGTCCGGCTTGCCACTTGAGCATTCTAAGGCAACAAACTATGTGCTCATGTTTCATACCTTATCAGAGAGGAGACTCAACAATGAGCATGAGGGGACATGTGAAAGGCTGGCTGATGTACCCGAAGTGGGTGCTGTTAACACCAGTTGCAACCTAGACATTCGGTTGTAAACGATGGCTGTAGTTCAGACCCGCCAAAGAGGGGATAGAAACAGACTGCAAACGTACACTGCAATCGTGCAATAATCTGACCCAGCGGCATTCTGACTTGATGCGCCTAAATAAAGCAGTTGATTTGCTTAATCCATTCGGAGGTTCCGTAGCTTGAGAGGTATTAGAAATGCCTTCATGACCGATTTTACTAACAGATGCGCTCATTCAAAGCACTTCTCTGACATACACTAAGACTACCGAATGCCACAACCGGTAGAGATCCTACTTTCTGGTATATTGGTTAGCAAACACGATCATATTTCAGGTCCCACATGCTACTGTTGCCCCGAGTGCGGCCTCGACTTCGCTCAGCCAAATGCTCTCAAATCGCACCTCTTCCTGGCGGCTTGTGGGGTAAGCGAACAGGGAATGGAGAGAAACATACAGACAGGAACGCTTCGGTACACCTGCACTTTCTGTGGAAGACGCTATGCCCGACGCTACAGTCTTGTGATCCACCAACGCACCCACACTGGTCACAAGCCCCTCGCCTGTCGCGTGTGTGCTCGACGCTTTGGAGACCCCTCAAATCTGAACAAGCATCTACGGACTCATGGAGTGGGAGTAGGAGGTGGTGATAATAGTGGAGTGCGGAATCCTTACGTCTGCGGGACCTGTGGAAACATATCCGCAAGAAGAAGAGACTTCGAGAGGCACATGAAACGTAAACACGAAGCCGAGAGATCTTGATGACTATCCTTTGACAATGTGTAGATGGTAGAGAGGGCACGAATTGTTACATCCAAACCTACATTAATGCTCGTTTTACCATTCGGACCTCCATAAGCACAAGCCGTAAGTGCCGTAAAATATTAAGAATATTAAGGAACTGATACAAAAATTAACGATCGCATTTAAAAAAAGGGATCATTGCGATAAAACTTTGTTCGATAAAAGAGCAAATGTTGGATTCGTGTATTCTTTTTCAGCTGTTAGGATAATAGCGACAGAATTTTATAGCTGAAGATGATTTCGGTTTAATCCAAAGATGTTTATCTACGACCGGCTAACCGAAGTTGATATCGTTACCTCATATGCGATTCTTGAGGAAAGCGTTCGCCGTTCTGTTTAGTCAATGCAAAACAAGAAACTCCAGAAACAGGAAATCCTGTCAATCTTTATCTACATCCTTACTTACATAGCCATAAGAGAAGTAACTCATGCTTGAGTTTCTTACTATCATAAAATTGAGGAAGTTCTACAACTGTAGCGAATCAAAAAAGGTTAGGATCGCATATAGTAAGAAAATAACCTTACATCCACTATAATGCAACAGAAAAATTTGGCCAAATCTGACCAATTCACCAAATGGACAGGTGCCATGAATGACGAAACTCGGTATTGTGAAGGATAGGGAGAATAATGATAGATTCTGTGAAACATTACATCATAGGACGAAAGTTCGTCTGGATTTTCCAATGACAGCACCCTTCTTGACCCACTCATAGTCGCCGAATTGACTGTCGAAGGTACCAACTTGAATAGACTTTAACTTGAGCGTGAATCTTGGCCCCACTTCATTTACTACAACCCGATCCGATGGTCTCACCGAAGAACCAGCATCAGCCTCATCGCCCTCATTATCGATCACATAGTTCTTCCTATCTGTCGTCGCATCGCCATTCTTCCGATGGATGTATCGATAATGACGGAAGAAAATAAAATCGCGTTGATTGTGAAAAACCACTGTCCGACAGTGGGGCGGAGGTGATCCCCTTGAAGCTGAAGGGAAGAGAGCTCCAAGAATACGTTCAACGCGACGACCCAGAGTGGTCATGAAACGGTTGAGAATGAGGTGGGGAATAACACCCTCTTCGATTCCTCGATTTTTAAGACCCCGGAGTTTACGACGCGGAGTAACATTGGTGACATGAAAGGTGGCTGTGGGCCCGTCAGGAAGATGGCTGACAACAAGAGTGTTCAGCTTCTTCATATCGTCGTTTACAACTAGAAGAGCTGTGTATCCATGCTCAATTGCTTTGGGGATTAGTTTTTTCAAAGGTAGGTGCCATCGTGGGACAAACGTGGTGTTGGGTATTACCTACAGAAGCAAAACAAGTGACCCAGTCAGAGGTGGGAGTTCTAAAAGATGTTGGAAAATCGCATCAAACTTACACGGCTCAACTCCTTGCAAAAACCAATAGTGGGTGGAGTAACCCGGTCCGAATGGGTCAGCAGCAACTTAGGCTCTACCGCACCAGAGTATATCCTGGACAATTCATCCTAAACACAATAGCTGATCACGATATGAAACGTACATTTTCTTCTTCATGTAACAAATCGACATCGTCCCTGGGAAGAATGGTTTCGTCTGGGTTCCTTAGAGTTTCCAACGTGTGTGGAATCCCAGCGATCTTCCCACTCTTTTTTTGCTCCCTTCTACGTTGCCTCTTCTCCTTAGCTTTCTTGGCCCTTTCCTTATTATTTATTTCTCGGGCGTGATGTCGTGTCGTCTCCTTACGATTCATTGTTAGCACGCCAGCCCCGTGAATAGCACACAGCCTCCGGAATCGGCGCCACCTTTTCCACGAAGTTAAATGACCGCTCCAAGCATCCAAAAAAGATATCAAAAATCATTAAACATGCTTAGAATTTATATTTTTTCGAACATAAAACCACTTTATTGATATATTTTGGGATTTTCGTAACTGATGAGCCTATTGGCTACCCAGGGTCGGCCGATGGTACCGTAATTAGCCTGCTTTCGTAGTGGCGCGCAGAATAAATCAGGATGGTCGAAGTAGTTGCTCCCATAAACATAGCTCTCTTAAAATACTGTAGCATTTCGCTTGAAACTCGATCTGCTGTTTAGGGGGAAAGTCAGATTGCCTGAATATAGAACCGATGACGGACTCCCTTAGTCTCACATTGAGCAGCATGCATGTAAAATTTTTAATTTTTCGGATAAATTACATATATAGTTGCATAGTCGGACGCAGATTTCTCTCTCTCCTGGCGTGGGTTATGCATTTACTCTCAATGGGAGGTCGGTTTTGCTTCCATTTGTTAAGTTTCTTCCATAGGAATCAACCATTAACTAGTCGGATGGAAGATGTCATTATTGTAATCCCTAACGAATTTGCATAGTTCTGATATAGGTCTCGCAACTAAGAGCTATGAAAATCGGAAGCTTTACCCGGTTTCAGAAAATCCACATAAAAAGCACTAACAATTTTCCTACCGCAGCTGGATTGGCATCTTCCGCCTCTGGATTGGCTTCCTTAGGTGCGTCCCAGAATCTGACTGCTCATAGGATAACATATTGTCATTTCTGAACAGATCCGGTAATCTGACTTATAGCATTCGGACTATCTGCACTTTATAATCTTGAGGGAGATATAGCTGCTCTTGCAAGGGAAGTTGTTTTCTTACCATTCTCGTGATTCCTCATATTATTCTTTGCAATTACATTGTTCGCTCTTTTATCGGTGATATTCCACGGGATAGCCATTGTTTGCTGTTGATTTCAGTCAAGTTTTATCCTGTGAGCATCATTTTCGGACTGAAACAAACAGAAAGTGGGCCTTAATTTTGGCATGTTTTTGTCTCGCGATAGATTTATTTAGGTCCCGTTTCTTTTTTTACAAACCTGGTGACTTATTGCGAGCTACATGCCTTGGTCAGGTAGCTGTGGCTTCAACCACTTTTCTCGCATGTAGTATTTTGCCACACATTCAGTTAATCAACAAAGTTAATTATTTTAGTTAGTTAAGGTTTACCTACCATGGCTTAAATATCTGAACCTTTTTTTGTAATATGAACTGGCAAAAAAGTTAAATTTACCTTACATTCAGTTCATCCTTAAAATTGTCCTTTTGTAATGGTTGTAGAAGGGGTTCGGGCTCAGCATGCAGAAGCATGTTTGGAGGTTTTGTACACTGGGAGCGATCTAGACCTGACAGTGAACATGTCCCTCAGTCTGTAAAACAGCTCTTCCCTTGTACTCACTGGCCTGAACTTCGCGTTCTTATCTGTGTGGTAGGTCATCGAATGTGTTCCGAGTGATCAAATTGTCTGCTTTTTTAAACTTGGTTCCTTTATTTGGGCTTAATTCCATCGGCACTTCTACGATAACGGAAGTTTTGGGAGTTACTGACCCGCTTTTCACTTGCAAAGGTTAATTTGTTCGTAGTTCTTGTTTAACTCCTCTAACTGTACCTGGTTATACGATTTCGAGAACTTTTTGAAGGATTTCTGGGAACCGCCTTGCTCCCTAACAAACAATGATATTTAACCATAAACCTGAGCATGCTAACCAAGTTTTCAACCCGGCTTGACTCTTAAAGGTTATGTCTCCACGAAGGGCGACCAGTTTCAATGCAAATTATCCATTTTTAATGATCTTCCTTGCCTTGCTCATGGGTATTAGTTTCTGTTGAAGTGTTGTTGGAGCCCCGTAAAATAGGAGTCATTTAACTTTAATATAACTCTTTTTGGTAAATACTGGACTTTCACTAATCTAATGCGTGCGGTGCATGAAGATGACTTACTCAGGCCAAAATTTTGCTTTCCTGAATTCACTCCCTCGAATTCCTCCATGATATCAAGCGATTGCTGATTGAAAGTTTGGTCGTTTGCTCTTGTGTATTGGCGTTAATGAAAAGCAGTAAATCGGTTTATCCTTACCACAAATCATTGCCTTTTTTCTACACAATGAAGAATAGTTAGCAATCATGATCGTGTGTTAAATCCACCAGATTCCATGTAACCGTTATCTCCGTTAGAAGCTTCTACTTTTTGGGTAAATCATTTCTCTTCCCGATAGTCACCCAATCATTTGTAGGCCAAGTAAAAGCAAATGTCTACAACTATCAGTCGGAACGTTTTTAAGGAATACTTCTTATTTTTTCAGGCGGTATTAAGCATTCTTCCCGACTGGGCTACTATGAAGTAGCTTAGTATTGAACTTACTGCCTCTCTTGATCAACGTCTTTAAATCCCTAAATTTGGTTGTCTAACTTGCTGTCTGGCTTCTCAGTATTCGATTGCTTCTCTTTAATCAGATCTCCTCGCATCACAAATCGGTATCCTCTAGGGAAGCGATGCTTCGTACTGTGACAACTAGCCCGCTCTACCAAGAGGCGAGGGCAACTGTGGTCAGACACCGTTTACCCCGCTTTATCGACGCGTTTGGACAACGGGATTTTGCTGCTCTCGCTGAATTAACAATGCGCGAGAGCAACGAACTGCACGCTTTCTGTTTGGACTCCTGGCCACCTGTCGTTTACCTCAATTCTACTAGTTTTGCTGTCATGGACTTTGTTCATGCGCTAAACCAACATATGCACCGATATGTGGTGAGTCGCTTCAATTTCAAAAAATTCATGGTGCTTGGTCCCATTTAAATGTGATATATTTCCTCACATTTGCATGTCCCTACTCGAGAATCCGAGGCTTTTGTCGGACTGGAGGAGTATTATCTCCAGAAAAGCCGGCACTCCGATTGACATCGCGATGTTTGTTAAATACGGCAGAGGCCTACTGAGCCTTCCATTAGGCAAAGATTTTGTTTTGTAGCCAATCTAAAGCTGTCACTCTTACATTCAACTAAACTTGGTTCCCCATGTAAGGCATTGAGACAAGAAAGATGTTGAAAAAATGAGGATAATAGATGTGTGATTTTTCTGTTCTATCGCGAAGCTCAAGCTCTCACATCTCTCATAACAAAGTGAATTCTTCATGCTTCGGCTTGCATCACTGCTGCTTCGTATGATGCTTCTTTTGAGTAACTTCCACCTAATTTTGATGTCACTTTTAAATTGTAACTAGAAAGTTATCATCTATATGAAATACATTCTGCTTTGCTTGCATTCGGCGCTACTTGCAGCTTTTGAGGCTGCTTCGTTAAATTCCTTGTGCTTTAGTGCAGTTGTTTTGGGTTCATATACGTTCTGCTGAAAGAAACGCCAAACGGTCAATCTGACTAGTACGCGTAATCCGTCTTCGGCCGACTATGGTGATCATTCACCACATCGGAATCTTTTGCGAGCGAAAAACACAGGCACAATTTTCCATACTTTCGTCAGTTTGAGCATTACCCTATGTTCTAATCAGTACCTGAACAGCTACAGCCTGAGAAAAACAGTTCTCGGTTTAGTGGTCACCGTGCGCCAGCTTTCAGAAAGTATAAATATTGGAGTATGGCCGTCTTCATAGTTTCTCCGCAAAGTTATGCCCTTTTATAACGTATTTTCAAGATTTGAACTTACGTTTGTGAGATGTCCACGGAACCGCCACCACCGAGAACTGTTCTAGTGTATCGGCACCTCTTGCAGGTTTGGTGTTTGGCTCTCTGTTCGCGATACGTTGCGTTTACGCGCATTATCATTGTATATCACCTCAGTGGACGCTGTGTTGTGTGAAAATGGCATACGCTGCCTGTGCCACCCACTTTTACCGTTTTTTCCTCCCTAGGTAGCCTATACCTTCGATGCAGGCCCAAACGCCTTCCTCCTTACGTTGGCGGACGACGCGCCTCTTGTTCTGGCTCTCCTCGCGGAATGCTTCGGCGAAGTTGAAGGTAAAAGAGGCTTGAGTGGTTATGGGGATGATTCGGATAAAAAGGGACCCCATATTGAGACTCACACGGGTCATCTTGAAGTTGAAGGCATTCAGTACTCCTCAGAAGTTGATTTATCCGATCACAGGGTAAGTTTTGAACGTAAGGCTATATTCGGGTGGGGATAACTAGTACATTTATTGTTCTACTGCTTTAGGGGTTTCTGGAGTCATTCCCACGATCCGGTGGATCGATTCAGTACGTCATTAGCACAGAGGCAAGTTACCGTTAGTGTTGTCTGCAATTGTGCAAGGCTTATTATTTACTTTCTGTGGGAGAGGAGCCATTCGAAAACCGATGCTTCCAAGTTCCCTTACGGAATTAAATTGAAAGAAAAATTCTGAACTTAGTAAGGATGCATAGCCAAATTACCGAATCAGTGAACGGAACTAAGAAGTAAAGATAACAACTTTAATGCACCAGTCAAAGAAGTAATCATTTTCTGCTTGTAAATTTTAGGTTGGTCCTGGACCCAGGATAATATCCAAACAGATCTAACAACACGACAACCAATTGTTGTTTTGAAAGAAAGTTTTGTCATCCCATTAGAAAAATCAAAATTCGAAAGAAATTGCGAATTTTGTTTGATACGGCGGCAAAAAGAGGAACAGTAAACGCAGAGGTACAATTTCAGAAGTAGTGTCAACAGGCGTGAATCTGAGCCTCAGTTTATGCATGGATGTGATGCAACTATTTAAAGTGTATTCATCCACTCCAGCAAGTCTGATGCCCGCCAGATTTGTGTGCATTTTTTAATTCACATTACAGATTGCCTCTCACCAGTCGCGGTGTTGACGAATGGCCAGAGGAAGGAGACAAATGGGTTGATTGGTTGGTAAATTAGCCGCTTGTTTGACACTAATACACGGGTGGATGGGTGAAAGGAATGAATGGCAGCGAAAGCGCATCATTCATTTTCTGACTCATATGCAAGGTCATTTTGTAGCATGCAAGTCATGACGACACAAGAGCACGACATGCTGAACCCAGTAGATGAGGCCACAGATGGAGCAGAAAAAAAATAGCGCACTGTTTTAAGGAGCATAAGGTGAGGGGACTGCGTCATATGCCTGCGTAACTCAGTGGAATGAGCATAGGGATCTGGGTCTGAGGTAGTGGTTGTGAGCTCAGATCCGAATCAAGTAACTGCGAGTCAGCCAGATAGTCTGGGCAGGCTGTGGCGCGGTGGGAAGGGGAGATGTTCTCCTTTCACCTCTGGCGCGCTGCGGTGCGCTCATGGTTAGCTGCTTGATAGCCATTGCCGTCGGTGAGGAGCATTGTCGATGTAAAGGGCACCCTTGGGTAGGGCTTGAGACAGGATGCTGAAATCAACGATCCTGTGACTCGTCAAGATAAGTCGAATAAAGACAGCAATAAATATCAGATTACAACAGCAGAATGGTCAAGCGATCAAGACGTTGGATTCGGATCCAAAATCCTATCTGGAACACACCAGAGGAACTTGTATCAATTCCTTTTGGTCTACTGGGCCTCTGACATTTCGCACTTCTACTCATTAATTTGCCGGTTATCATTTGTGATATTTTCAGGCGAGCATCTGACAGCTAAGAAACCACAGTCCTCCACCACTTAGCTAAGTTCGAAAACCGGGAGCTGTAGTACTTCGTTTATGTGACCGCCGGATGACTGTTGGTTACTGTGTTATCTGTTTGGTCCTTAAAATCGTGAACTGGACTTCAGGTCAAGCTCAGACTTGATAACATTCCTCTCCATAGAATGAATGTATTCAGCCACAGCTAATGCCTACTTCTACCTATTCGGAAGTCTCGGAACGCTACGGGCGCCACCTCAAATCTCACCGTGACAGGACAGACAAATATACACTTAATCACATGGAGGTTGGTGTAGCGTCCCGTGACTTCCCGCCGGGTGGAAAGAGGAGGTAGGTGAAGCTGGATACACGTATTCCAAAGAGAACAAAGCGACTAGGCCTGAGCATGGTCTGAAGGACAGCCCAAACGTACAAGGACTAGACAAATCTTAAAGTGACCGTCAAACGTCAGGTAATCCCATAAACAAAGCAATACAATAGGCATACCTGACGCTGCCTCTTTATGTTTATTTCCACGTTGATTAAGCTATCTTGATGGCGAAGGTTTGCCATTCAAAGGAAACACTGGCAAAAGACATTAAACAGGGAAGGGACCTCATATTAATGTCTCTATTGCGCCCAGTATTCGTCGTCGCATCCAGTGATACGTTTGATATTGCCTATGGAGAAGCTCAATGTGTTAAAGTTTATCATAGTTGAGCTTTTAATGTTCATTGGTTGTGTATTCTTTTGTCATCAAAATTTGCTCAGAGTTTTGAAGCGAATTTTTAGACCAATATTTTAGCCAAAGATACACAACATACTATTTTGGTAAAGTAAATATTAATGTAGGTGTGATGTGTGATTGTGACCTTAGCGTCCCGAGGCTTCCTACTTAGTAAGAGAAGTAATAAGGTTTGGAGGTAGGTGTGGCCAGTTCGGGCTATTCCCCCTTAAGACAAACAGAAAGGGCTTCTCCTGGAAGAGGTTTACCTAAGTTCCACGGCTTACAAGGGGTCAGTGAGCCTACAAAGAGTCTTTATGCGTTGCAAATATAATGTGCAAAATTTGCATCTGCGTACCTTCGGCACGATTTCTTGACTAAGCTTCAAGTGTGGATGCATAATATTAGGGAAATACCAAGTGAAACGTGGCAAAAAATTGCAATATTTTTCTGTACACCTACCAATAGAATGATCTTTTCGGCCCAAATTTTAGCGTGATCATGCTTGTCTACCTTCTGTAATGCTGTGTCCATAGCCTATTTTTAATGCGTAATCATCAGCTTAAGCTGCTAACCCAACCGTTTGAATGTTTGCATTGTTGTAGCTATATAAATACCGACAAAACACTTAAAGTTTAAGCATGGTTTTCAGTGCCGCAAAAGTTTATATGAGCTACCTAATTGTAGCTGGAGGAAATTAGCCAATCAATATGATGGGTCGTTTGGTGTTCTTTTGAATATTTTATGCTATTTTTGCATTTGTTTAATATCTTGGTCTCTTCATGGATAATTCACATTTGTTCCCAATGGACGTAGATCAGGCACTGTCTAGAGAGGAAGGTGGAAGTTCTGATTCTCCTACTAATCATGACGGTATTACCACGACATCTGATCGGTTACTCCCTACAAACGATGTTCCTGGCAATGCCAACCGGCATATAACTCTAAACGATCAGCACAAAGATATAAGTCATGTGGACTCCGAGTTTTCATTTTTGGACTACGTGAGGAGTCACTTTGGTAAGCACGACCTTAAATTGATGAAAAGGCACGGGAAGCTTGGACCTATGCAAAAAAGTGGACTTGATGTGAATTTCGTTTCTGATGGTCATTCTGTCGTTTCCTCACTTGAAAAATCGAAAGTAATATCAGTTTCTGACAGCATGGTTCAGCTACGCGGCGGGATTCTGGAAAATTATCGGCACATTGTTCGTAAAGGCACTTCTTCGACATCATCCGCTTCATCTGGCAGTAGTTCAAGTTTCAGCTCATCACTTTCAACCAACTCTATCGATACAGCATCCGATGGTAGTGAATCTTCATCAGATTCATCATCTCAGTCCGACGATGAGCTTTCGCCTCCCGAGCCACCAGACGGCGGATGGGGTTGGGTTATCGTGATTGCTACATTTTTCATCCAAATGATTGATGACGGAATTGCAACATCTTTTGGTATCTTTCTTGACGATCTTGCCGAGGAATTTGGGGCTTCCTTGAGTGTCACATCTTGGGTCGGTGCCTTTAGTTATGGCATTCCATGTTTGGCGGCTCCTGTAGCTTCGATGCTCATTAACAGATTTCAATGTCGCAAGGTTTGTGTAGTTGGTGGGCTGATTAGCGCCATAGGCTGTGTCCTTGCATTCTTTGTAGAGTCTATGCTCGGCTTGGTTCTCACTTTTGGTGTTCTTGTTGGACTGGGAGCAAGTCTTTCATCCACTGCTGCATTGATTATTGTCTCCATATACTTTGAAGATAGGCGTGCAACAGCTACTGGCCTTTCCATTGCTGGGTCTGGAGTAGGCTCGTTTGTTTTCGCTCCACTTGTTAACTATCTTATTAATGTCTACACCTGGCGTGGAGCGATTCTTATTCTCTCTTCTATTTTTGCTCATATTGTGCTATTCGGGTGTCTGATGAGGCCCTTAGAGACTGGGCGACAACGGAGGAAGCGGCAACTTCTTCTTAGGATGGAGAATTTTGCAAAGGAGTCGGGATTCAAGCTGCCCGATGTATATTTGAAAAGCGAGGATGAGAATGTTGATTATCGAATCTATCTTTTACGGAGACTTCTCACCAGCCCCCAACGTTACAATTCCTCGGATTCTTCGTCAGATATTGCAATTGACTCTTTACTTATCAATGCCGACTCCTGTTTGAAGGACAATGCAAAAACAGGAGGGGAAAGAGAAAAGAGAAAGGTCACTCAACCGACGCTCACATTTTCAGACGTCACTGAGTCTAAGCAGGACTTGTCAAATGTGCGCCAGTTACCCATTCCATCAGCTGCAACAAGTATTCGAAACGCCTTCTCGCTTATTCCGCCTGTTTATGGACGTACTAAACGATCTCTATACCATCGATCAGCTACATTTCAGTCCAATGCTCAAAGCCACATTCGGCCCACTCTCAGTATGCCAGATTTGCAAGGTTCAACACCATCCTTTCCCTCGTCAACCTCCTCGTCCAGTCCCATCGCTTGTGTTCGACAGCATTTGCATTCCATTTGTCGGCATTTTTACCGTCAGTTGCGTAATGTTGTCGACCCTTCCATGTTCTGGAGCCTTTCTTTTAACCTTTTCCTCCTCTCCACATTGGGCCTTTTCTTCTGGTGCAATGTAACCTATTTCTTCATCACAATCTATGCAAACTCGCAAATGGGCATCTCCAATCGCCTGTCAGCGATGCTGTTGGCTATCATGGGAGGCTCTGACATGGTGGGTGAGGTGGTGTATGGTTGGGCTGCAGATCAAGAGTGGTCCAACATTCTGTATTTATACACTTCTGGCGTAGTTGTCTGTGGTATGGCAACAATGCTTGTTCCCGTGGCAACCTCATTTGGGGCCCTCGTCGTCTACAACCGTAAGTTTTGCCATCCTCCTAATTAAACTTGATCTCGCTTTGTTGTAAAAACCGCTAGGTAAGACATTTTATTTAAGACTGAGTTTTAGATGGCCTTAGTCATAAAGTAATCGGGCGATACACCAGAAGAATGAAATATCATGTTCAATTATGAACATATTTAAGCAGAAATCACTCGTCTGAACATTTATCTCAGTTGGAAATTCGAATGGAATGAAAATGCTTTTTTGAACTACATCATAACTTGTACTTAATGCATTAAAGATCAATGTGTATCTAATGTTCCCTTCGCACTAGTATCAGTACATTTAGACAATCTGTCGCTGCATTATTCGCAGGGATGAAAGGTAAAAGGCTCTACTTCATCGCCTTGCAGTCGTTTTAGCTCTTCACTTATGGGGGATAGAATTAGCTCCTGCCCACAGGCGTGCAGAAGCACTCAACAATAATGACGCAGGTGGCCTGGTTGTAGTGCATACAGTTGGAGTTATTGCAGTCTTCTTTTACTACGCATATGTTATCGGTTAACGCAGTTTCATTCGTCGTCCTCTTTGATGTGTTCCTCCCTAGCCAAACTCTACTTGACCAGAGGCTAACAGTGGTTTTCATTGGTGAAATAAGATTTTTGAAGAATTCAACAACTTGACATATCAACTGCCTTTTATCCATCTATACAACTACCTATTGTTTGCCATCGTAAACACATAAATTAACCTTCGTCAATCCGTATTGCTAGGTAAACCAGTCATTTTAATTGATGCATCATCCAAACAACCTCTCCCATTAAATTCAAGATAATGTAGTTGTCTTTATGATTCTGTAACAGTTTTACTAGAGTGTGCCCCTTTCTTCGTACTCTGCTCGAACCACGATAATTTTATCCTTTACAACAGCCAGTCCAACAAAGTGTACCTGTCTTGGAAATTTGCAGGCAGAAAACCATCAGAAGTATAACTTTTTCGGCGGATTCATTGAAAGTGATTTTTATTCACCCCACTTAATTTAATGCTTTCAACGTCTCCATATATCATAGCTTCATTTTTAGCCTTTTTACTTCCCTATAGCGTTATCTTAGTTCTATTCTTTGCAGTTTGCTGAGAGCGGGGAGAAATTAGCTTCACAAACATCCGTTTGTCATCAAAGAATTCCAAAATGACAATTTCACCTTAGCAATATCAAAGAGCTCAATTGCTACCCTTTTTTTTTAATCTTTTCAACAGTTAGTGTGTCCACTTTTGACCATTCTAGCATACGATGCCTGGATATTTGCGACTACTTACGACAATAATCACAATGGAATTACCATGTTTATGTCATTTTGATCGAAGTTCCGGCTATTCTTTTTTCATAAACTTGCTATTCTGACAAGCTAGAGACCAATTTTGTGGAAAATCTGCTTGTTCTTGCCACGAAATTACAAGCTTATTCAGTAGGTATGGCGTCTGTATTCCTTTTTACCGGATGCGTCCTCAGTACCCTCAAGTGCACTAGCAGCTTGGTTTAACCATAAATGTCGGACTCGGAGTCCTAGCGAAAACTTGGGCACTGTCATCACGATGCAACAGTACCACTTACACTGTCGAATTCACCGATTCAAATGATGTTCAAATAGAAGTGAAAAGAAGAGCACTCGTCATCAAATTGGTAAAGCCCTGCTACCTTTTATCATTCATAATTTTACAGTCAAAGCCACCGTGAGTCAATGGAAAATATGGCGTTGTTAGCGAGAGCTTTCGTCGGCTTCAGGACGTAACCCGAATCTAGTATCATATGCGCATTTTAAGGTAAAGTAATACCGTTCAGCATTAATTCAGCTTGTCCTTGCTCAGTCTCCATTAGACTATGCTCAAATGCACAGAACATCGATGTCAGAATGGTTGTCGAGATTGATTGAGAACTCAAGGTATACTTAGCAGGCATATTCTTTTAATATGAAAGCCCTCTGGAAATTCACTGTGTTTCTTTATGCTTTCCCTATGTTTAAGAGAAATGTTTACTCCAGACTGCTTCCGCCTTGAGTGTGTAGTGATTGGTCTAAACCATGCAACTCTACCCTCTTCCCTGTTCAGTTTCGTGCAGAACTGGAAGTCATTTGTTCCCTTAATTTGGTAAGTCACTTATGAGTCAAATAGTTTGTTCCAGAGTCTGTTGGGTCTCGAATGGAAATGCGGTACTGTAGCCAAGATATTTAATTGCCTCATCGTTATTGCTACTCAAAATGTAAGTGGATTGGTTGACTAAAATGGAAGAAGTCGTGTCACATGTGTGCGTGACACCGCCGGCGAACAATTTTAATAATCATAATCACATCTGCACTATTGAGGTGGTCAAAATTTACCGAAAACGCTACTTTTTCCTGTTAATTTAGCGAAAAGTGTGGCTATTCATCCTGACAAGGTACTCGTGGTGTTCCTTTTCCATTTGATTACTTGGCAGTTCGACGAGGACCAGCATGTTTAGAATTTTCTGCACCATGGTGATAAGTAAGATCGGACTTCGAGAGGAGCTTTCTTCTGCTGCATACTTCGTACATAATAATAAGGTCTACTTAGATAATCTCCAACTTCACGCATGCCATTGGCCTTCATCGCCTTTGCCTCGGCTTCTCTCTCCCTCTCTCCTCCTCTCTCTTCCTCTCACGAATGCTCTATTGAATAATTTTTTCCTCCTCTCGTTTGTTTACCGCACAAGTGAAATGACGTTCTTTGGTTTTGAACAGTCTGCGTTGTCTACCTTAATAGCGTCATTGAGTTACAGCCGGAAAATAACGAGGACTTCATTTTGCTTATCAGTGCTCGACAGGTACTTCTAAGAATGGTAGGGGAAATAAGAACATATTTAGGTGATACTTGAAGCTGATGTTAATCCAATGAACTAAGAGGACACGTACTTTCCGCACCTCATGTGCCTGATTCATGACCTCTAAATCGCGAGTAATACGAGGGCACTTTTTTAAAACGTTCAGTTGTTAAATATATCTGTGAAAACCAACTTATTGGAAGTGGAGTTGCCCCGAAACGCATTGTTTACTCAAAAATTCGAATCTGCTTCGATAAGTGAAGTCTTTTCTGTCACTTTACGTCTACTCAAATCTGTTGCGCTCCAATTTGGTGTGCCTCATACCAAATTGAAATGGGAGGCAAATTGTTTCTTTCGTCGCGTGTATGGCACCCAGAAGGCATCCGAGCGAAGATGAATTCAAATATTCTTTGATAGAGATAGAAGTTGTGTCTAAGTGTTTACTCTGAGTTCGCATTAATAGTGAGCAGGCTGGTTTAGTATTTGAAAAGTTTAATTAAATGAGGTGAATGAAACCCCATAGCAAACAACCTCTAGATTATTAATGATTACCGAGCAATGCATTCCTTTACTAATCTCTTTCATTGAGTATCCGGGGAAAGGGTGCAGCAATGCAGAAATGGAAACCGTTAACAAAATTTCTTATCCTAAAGCTATTTTATGACAAGTCTTCGTCTGAATCTCTTCATTGGCACCAGCATTGTGATATCCTTTGTACCGGGTACAAAGCATGCCAATCCACTGATTGTGAGGTATATGAAGCTCACGTATCAGAGCAGGCAGATAGAGTGTTTTTCGTGGTGCAGCAAGTCCGTCTTTGACCACTGCAAAAGGACTTAATGGGTGCGTTGTTGAATTGCTTGGACTCGTTGTCCACCGGATGAGAATGTGGATAGTGTTGCACTATTGAGAGTGCATCTGCTGCGCTACTGCTAGTCCTAAAAATCCCATTGTTACAATTTCACATGTTTGAACTGCATGGCAGAAATTGCCCTCGACCTGATTACCGGCTTTGCCTTGCCAAGACCTGTTTGTAAACGTCCTTTAAAGTAAAATTCTATACATTTTGTCAGTTCCTTAAACTGCAATTGCGCGATGTTTGGCGAGTCTTTATTTGTTACCGCAGAGCATCCATAAGTGGACAATTTGCTTCGGCTTTGATGTTTGTGCCGTTTTCTTCATAAACCCGAAGCGGAGTGCTCTGTGTTTCCGTCCATCAATGAAAAGCCGCCCGCATCCAGTAAGCGCGACATGTTGTCGTTTATCGCTTCCGATAAACTACACGCATGGCTTAGCAGGTTCTAACCCATTTCACTAACACGAAGGTCATGACTCCAAACTCTCAATATTTAACTCGTGTTGGTGCAAAATCGCATCTCTTTCTGAAATTACAAAAATTGTGGCATTTCGTAAAGTTTGATAGATTACCCGACAACACGATTCTTTGACTTGTTCGTGATCGGAACTGTCTTAAATTTGGGAACTCGGCCTCACTTTGGGCGTCCAACAATTCTGAACTGGCAATTTTGTAGTAAATTTTCAAAGTAGTCTGAATAATGCAAAATAATCCAGGGTTTAACCTTTCGCGTGACGACCCAGAGGTAGTCGAAGTGTCAGGATTGACGCCATTTCAGCGATAGTTTATGCATGTCAAGTGGCTTGCATATGATAGCGCCAAGTAAGGCGTAAGCACCACACGTTAATGTATTATTAAACAACCATGTCAACTTATGCATATTTGTCCGGTTACCCAGTTGACCATTTGGCCTGGGATGTTTGTGAGGCACTGCTAGGGTACAACGCAAACCATGGGGAGGACAGCTATGGTGACCGGAATAAGTGTCCTCCTTCATCCAGCCATTGTACATGAGGTAGTGGTCATAGATAGGACGCAGGTGGCACTATGTAGTGGACTTTAAATGTGGCCGTTTTTGTAGGTAAATGCGTTAAAAGTCGGTGATTTTGCGATTGAAATGTAGTTGGAAAGAAGGGTGTATTCAAGTTCCTCTGAATACTTGTCCGTTTTATGACTAGGTAGCATTTGCTCATATCGGCGTACTTGGGTTTTTCACCCGCAGAAACGACGCATAGTTTTGATGGCCTGATCTGTCTTTTATTTGGAGCTTTTTTTGTATTCCTCAAGGAAAACGGGTCGGACGTTTTGCTTTGCTGAGATTTGGTCCACATTTTCTATATACATGCTTTGACCCAAGCACACATAGAAGTCTACTGACGCTTTAACTTACTCAATGTGTGCAATCTGTTTGGATGGAACAAAATCTTCACACTTCTCTCATCATGGCATGAGATTATTCCATGTTTTCGATGACTTTTAGTTCAAAATATTTTAGTAAAAGTAAGTGCACCTGCGTTTTTACCAAATTGATGGACGACTTCGCTTCTTAGGGTGTTGAATTAGTGAGTAAATCGTGCATTCACGATGTAAACTTCGGCTAGAAAAGTTTGCTCGCCCCTCTGGCCACGTGATGATGGATTCCATCTTCGCAGTAGCTGAAATTCTCATGTGGTGCATTGACAGCGAGCAAGGTGTTACCGCAACGCAGTTCACTTTATCATTTAGAAGTATGCGAACTATTGTCAATTGTGAGATTTTTGCCTTTTCTTTTTGTACTTCCTCCATCTCTGATCTCAGAGGCTCGGGTTGTTAAGTGTTGGGCATTTAATTGTTTGAACAAATGAAAGAGGGTTGAATGCCAACTATCACGATTTTATGAAAGAATGCCATATTCGCTGCCAACTTGTGGAACCCGAAGTTTCTAATGTTTAAACCGCTGCCTGTAAGGCAACCATTTGCTCACTGCTTATTTATTCGAAATCTCTGTTATGTGGTTACTAGTGAATCCTTTGATGGACTGGTTTAACTTCATTGAACGGGGTATTTGTCTTGTGAATGGTTCCTGTACTGTAACACTTTGATGCGAATCACATTATCTTTAAGCGTTCATGACAGGGCGGCATGTGATCTTTTCCTCCCTTCGCTCGTCCATTTCGGCCCATCAACCCAGTGTACCAAGAGCCGCATTGAACTAACTACAACTATACACTGTGGTAACTGCGTTCCCACACACGTTTTAGCTCGTTTTTGGTCTAGAAGCTCAAACCAGCCTCCTTTAATTGGTGAACTTGGAGCACATATAAAGCACTCTATAGTAAGCCAATTGAAAATATGTGTTCGATTGCAATCGCAAACTTAAGCAGTAAAGGCAGAACTTTGATTCGAAATGTGGATAGGAATATTTCTCACTTGTTTTACTGATGAACGTAATTACTACTGCATGAGCCAATGTATTCGCTGATGTGACCAACCCGTGGGGTGGGATAGGCATTGTTGATAGAGGATCTGCCTGGCCTAATCATGGAAGCTCGCTTAAACCGATTGTGACCGTATTCTACCTCCACATGCGCCTACTCCCTTCATGAAACAAGCTTACTTAGGGACACCTCATTCGTCTTACCTTTAAGAGTAGAGTTGCATATGCCAATTTCATAGTCCAAAGTGAGATTATATTTTTCGTTGCTAAAGTTGACCGGAGCGCATGAACCTGGGGAGGTAGCATCACTGTAATCGCACTGAAGGTTACAATTTTGATGGTATAAGTTTGAAAAACGACTTATGAGGGTGAAGGCCTCCTGCCAATTGTTAATCGCGAAAAGATGACATCCAAATTCAGTTGCAGCATTACGGTTCAGGCGACTTGATAAATTTATATGCAAACTTATTTACTCAGTAGAATATCAAGGTAGACTTTTGTTTTTCTCTTTTCTTTCCACTCAAGCAAATCTTTACTTAACACGTATTCACCACCTCAGTGAGATATCGAGTCTTTAACTTTTACCAATTTCAAGTCTTGTTGCAATCTTTGCACCCCAAGTGCAATCTAAGCGTGTCCTCCAAAGCAGACCTCTTGTTGTTTATAGGGCAAGATGCTGAATTTGGTCCAGAATTTTCTAGTTTAGAGTTGAAACGAAATTAAGAACCATCCTGATTTAATCCACCTATATGCAACTCTTCTTCATTACTTTGGCTAGAAAAGGAAGACATGAACCAAATTTCAACGCGATGGCAGCTGGTAGCCCTCAAATTTACGACAAGTCTTATTGGTCGAGTACAGAAGGTCTGAGCAGCCGAACATAGTATTATTTAGCGTTGAGAGGTTCCTGTTGGGCTGCATATAACCACCTCTTTCTAACTGCAGTGGTCTTCGGTTTCACTATGGCAGCCAATGACTCATTATGCACAATCGTCGTCATTGAGTTCCTCGGTCTGAGTCGTCTAGTCAGTGGTCTTGGCTTCTGCCTCTTCTGCCAGGGCGTCGCATCCATTTTTGGACCTCCGGTCATCGGTGAGTTACTGTTGTCCTCCAATGTCGTTAGTTGAGCGTTCGCTCGAACTTGGCAAAGTGACACTGGTCGTGCGACGGTGGCGTAAATAGTCAATTGCCTTGGCTTTAATGACATGCGTCAATGTTTATTGTACGTTTGGCTTGAAACTGAATGAGCAAGCATAGGACAGGAAAAAGCGGAGCAAATCGAGGTAGTCAAACTTCATTTACTAAATTTAGTTGCACAAATGTAGACGTATTCTTACTCGCTTTAGAACAGGCTAACATCATTTCGTGAGAGATGCGTCTCTCATTTAGGCTTGATGTTTGTAATGGCGTGACTATGTCATGAACATTTCTAGAGGCACTCCTTATCTCCAGCTACCGAAATTGAAAATTTCCAGTTGTCTGATGAGTTTAAGGATGAAATTCTTGGAAATATTAAACAATGTCGTTTCCTCCTCCCAGATTCTTGCATCTTTATTTAACTCATCAGTTTTTATTATGGCACTCAAACTCGTTTTCAAATGAAAACTGCTGATCGCTAGGTTGCTTAAAACAGAAACTTTGAGTTGTTCAAGTTTGATGGTGAGCATTTATGCTTCACTTTCCTTTCAATGTTCCATTTTTGCGCATATTTTTTCCGTATGTGCTTTTGGTAAACCGATTGCTATACTTTTACGAAAGTCTAAGCATGACGTAGCAGCATTCATATAAACACATATGGTCCCTCAATGACAGCCTTCTTTGGCACTTTGAATTTCAGAAGTCAAGAATTCGACTCTCACTCTCCAATAACAAGCTCATTTGGAGCCGATTTAATGACCTTATTGACAAAAAACATTGTTGCATTTACGGCTTAGAAATTTAAGGTGCCGTCACCTTTGTCGCCTTAACAACAACGTTTGGTTTAAAAAGAGTAATGCTTCTGGCTAATGCAAAGGAATATTCCATTGAATCGTTACGGTGCGCAAGAACTGCCACGAGCGTTTTGCGGCCACGAGAAACCTTAATCATATGAGCCTCATCAAAACTTTCATAGAGCTTGAAGCAGATCCACTACCCGAGTACATTGCTTATATAGCTGGTGTGTCAAAAGCCTCGGGTGGGCTACTGCCCCTCAGAGGCCAGGCCATTCGCAGGAGTAAGGTGATGCAAACCCTCAACGGTTCGTTGGTAAAGCCGGTAAAAGGATAAACGCAAAACGTATTACGCGCACGCAAAATAATGTGCTTTTATTTTTCGGGTCATATATTGACATTCGTGGCAAAACTTGTCCATCCTCATCATGCTTAATTGTGAGTCATAACTGGATTTAGCATACTACTGAACAAAATGTTCATTTGGTTGGATTTCTGCCAAAACAGCAGCGAAACAAAGATCAAGCTCTTGTTGCCTGAGAATATCCTTTGCGTTCCTTCAAATTGTAACCTTTTCCACGACTCGTCAGCACTGCTACTCTTGTACTCCGCGATCTCATAGGTGGGCAGCATGGTTCAGTTATGAGTTGACTGAAAATTTGCTTGCATCTTTCTAATGTTTATCTGACTCCGCAACGGCGTTGGCATTGCTGCAAGGGTCTGCTTTTGAGACCACTGGAGCAAATTGACAGTTGGGAGTGACTACCGATGTTGCGGAATCTACTGAGCGCCGAATTATGTTCTACGTCTGAACCAACAGATACCTATCCGGCACCTGAGTAAAACTGTTTCTCGACGTACATTGACTGCTGAGGATCAAATCACCTTTACACCTCACAACCACAACGCTGCCTTGGCGATCTCCTTTCTTCTATGCATTGAATATGATAATGGACCTCTAAACTTCTTCATTACCTATTCAGAAGATGAAAACTCGGATGGATTAGCAACCGGTCTCAGCTGTTGGAAATCTAACACCTTCCCTCACAATGACTGGCTCGGCCAGAGGTCCAATTGTGTTTGTGCTTTTAATGGCCTAATCCTGGCATCAGTTTTAGCATACTGTTGTAGCTCTTCCATTGAAAAGGTTTGCTCATGCACTTTAGTCAAACCGAATGGTCGAGATAAAAAGGGTTAAAGTTATCCGATCTACAAGAGATGTTTTTTTCGTTTCTTTGTATGTGTGTGTGTGTCTGTGTGTGTGCAATTAGTCAAAGTTCATTTTCTGAGCCACCATCAGGTCAAGTAATTTCCTCATTATTTTTCTTGATGCACTAATTAGAATTGCTACTCAACTTGGTATGCTATGAATTGGGAAAGTCTGCTACTCTGTTTCATTGTTTTTCTTGGAAGTGTTGGCCAACTTCCTTGCAATCTTTTGATGACGAATTACGTTTACAAGCAGCACTCACATTTAAATCGAAAGTAAAATGCATTGTAGTCCACATTAGAATCAGCTATCTTCGCAAAACTAATGGTTTCTTACTGGCGAGCAGCTGCAATTTTTTGCTCATCACTTGTGCAGGCGTTTGGCTTACGCCCGCTCTGCTCTCTGTTGTGGTTGAGCTTTTGGCAACTTATGGCGCACTTAAGGTGTAAACTGTTAAACACTTTGGCAGTCAAATGGCTAACATTTTGGGGGTTCTTATATCATTTTTGCCAATGTACCAGCATAACCAAGCAATCTTCACTGAAGATCAGTCGATAGCTTCTCGTGAAATTAATCCATGTCCTCCGGACGAATAGTAAAACCCTCCAGATTTTGACCGGGGGAAGGGGATGACTCCAGCAACCAATTGCACTTTTGGCTACTCCTTTTTTAACTTGTGGACCCCACACCCACATTACCCTGCTGAGAATGCGAATGCCAGTGCGTGCATTTCGGCCACCTTTAACATTGTCTGCTCACCAATCAGCGTAGCACAACTGGTGGCTCTACCGCACATGAATATGTTTCTACTGCTACGATTTCCTGCAAAGGTGGTGAACATATTTTCACTGGATGTATAAAACTTTACCCCATTCATCAAATACCTGTGGCATTTTATTTTCACTGAATGTGATTGTACAATAGTATTTACACAACTTTAAAGCCGAAATAAGAGCATGGCATTCCAAGACTTCATTGAAGACATATGAAAACAATGGACGAGTAGAATGTGTGTAAGGCTTGAACCTACTAAAATGCCTTAGAAGTCAGTCCACTTGGCAAAAGCACGATGGTGGAGTACCTAGGCAGCCCTCTTACCACAACCAATAACTAAAAAACAACCAGCGTTGGAAAGTACTTCATGCCTTATCCGAACTTTTATGTTAATAGGAGAGCCTCGTCTGACCCTTTTATCAAAATCGAGAGTCCTTCTTGGCTCTTCCCTTAATCAACTTATCGTGTTAACATTTGAGAGTCTACTGTGTCTATCATCGGATTTCCATGCAGCTGAGGCTTGACGACATCATCACAGACCTCCTTTGCCAGTTCTACTTGGTTTGGTGTTTTGGTCTATTAGGAGGCTGAATTTATGAGAAATAATGTACCATTCCGGTTGTATCTATCGCTTCGCCTAATAAAGAGCAAAGTTTGAAATAGTTTCCTGGAAGCGGAGCTTTGCGCCTATTTCTCTTTTCTTACATAACCGATGCCGATGCACAGGTGCGGTCAAGTGTCTTAATGACTTTTTCAGACGATTCATGGGTAGTGTTGCTTCCGTCAGTAACGCCCCCTCAAAACACCGTCTTTGCTGAGGGTGAACTCCGTTTCTGACCTGTTTGTTGTAAAATACAACCAAAAATCTCATGTGCAGAATACGCGTATCCTCCGTCCTACTATAATTTAATATCTAGCAGTAAAATTCAGGGTTCATGCCCTCTAAGACCGGACATGGACACGAGAAAAGACAATACCTTAGCAAATTATGTATACTTGGCATGCAAATAGAATTGGAGTTGCTGACATGATTCGAAGCGCAGCTTATTTAGCGAAGGTACTGTGACTGAGGCACTAAGTGGTTCGCTAACCAAGTCATGGTTTAGACAACCAACTTCAAAAGTGTAGATTGAAAGTTGATGCAAATTATGCTCTACCTATATTGTTTAGCAGGAATTTGGGGCTGGCGTTACAAATGGCTCCTAACTACACCCAATCTCAACACGTTTTTAAATGTCCTAGGCCACTTTCTGTTGCGCAAGTTCACAATCCAGCACCGCAAAACAGTGACCACCACAGAAACAGACAGACGCTTTCTAGTTTTCCTTCAGTGGAACAGTGGAAATTATACTTAATTGTAGGCATACTACCTACTTAAATTATTTAAGCGGGCTCGTCTTGTACTTTTGCGCCAGGATTCATAATCGATGCGACCGAGTCCTACACAGTTGCCTTCACTGTCGGTGGCGCGGGTGTACTTCTAGCTGGTTTGGTGATGCTGCCGGCGATATTCCGACAGCTGCAACACCGTCGAGCTAAACGACGTCGTCTGGAAGCCCGAAGACGAGCAGCCGCCGCCGTTGGAAGGACTGAAAACGGCGACGTGCTGATTTGCTCAAGTCCCCTATCCATCTAACACTACACATTGCCTCCTGAGATGCGATTTTCCCCTCCCTCCTATGTGTGATGAAGTACCTATTTTAGTATCCTATCTCCCTGGCTCCCCACCCTCCATATATGCACACACATCTGCGTACGCATTCATGTATGCTAGCGGCGGACTCAGCAGAACCAATCACATGCGGACCTTACACAATAGCCGCCAATTTTTTGCGTGAAAGGAGTTGCAACAAGTACTAATTATTCCAAAACTGGTGCTACTCACGAAATCGGTGCCATTTCGTGAACTCAAGGCAAATGATAACCCAAATTGGAACAAAGATCTTAAGGTCTCATTTCGATGGGTTCTCTCACTACACCAGCATTGATGAAAGCAACAACTGCGCTCAAATCACCAACAAGCAACTGTACCGTTCGAAACGTGAAGTCGGAGTACAACAACAGGGGCTACCTCGTGTGAAAGGATGGGTGGGGAAGCGTGAGCCACGCACGTACTGCGCGAAAGATCGCAGTTTGCATAAACGGACAGCAAAATAGCAATCAATGAACATAGAATAGACCATGATTTAGAAGAGGACGATCTGTAGAAAAGATATTCATTACAAAAGGTGTGGGTATATTACATAGTGGTAGCGCAGACAAACGGTCAATGTTGCAAATGCCTGGTTCACACAAACTGAAGATGTCCACATCTCCTAGTACAATCTACAACGGTGAAAATGGGAAGGAGCGAATCGCCAAGGGCACTGCCTCGATGGAAGAAGCCAAGGCTAAAATGATTTGAAGATACACAAATATTAGAACCAAGGGAAACGTAGTCACTGTTGCGCGTATCTTTTCTTTTTTCTTTCTTTTTTTCGAACAATCAATATGGTGCACCGTAATAAATACGACGTCGCCTACAAATTTAATAGACAATAGAATAAAAGAGTACTAACAAATAAGCAGTGAAGTATCCACCCTTGGCAACGTACCTGAACCTAGAGGTCCTTGTTCGAGGCATACCAAAGGCATGACGAAGACCATAAGGGCTGTATCGACGACGAGGTCGCCTAAATCCACGCACAGTTGTTGAAAGTCCGGGAATATTCGTCCTTTTAGGCATCACTTTGATCGGGCGACCTCTGAAACATGAGTCGTCTAGGGCGACTGCAGCTTCGATAGCATCTGCGTTTTCAAACTCTATATAGGCAAAACCTTTTGGGTGACCAGTATAACGATCGCAGAGGATCGTAACGCGGTTAATGGCTCCACAACAGCGAAAGTGCGCTTCTAACTCATCTGCAGTAGACCCATAGTCGACATTCCCAACGTAGATAGAACGTAAATCAACCTCAGCTTTCTCTTCTCCTGACATGGTAGAGAGATTGTTTTCTAAAATCGTGTTGCAAAATTTATACAAAGCCAGTACTACTCGAAGACTTGTCTGCATTTGTCAGGTTGTGCAACTTGTTCGCATCCTCTTCGACTTCTTTGAGGCGGTCCTTTATCCGCTCAATTTCCTAAAAAACATTAAAATCTACTACCCCATACCATATCCTCTTTCAAAGACTCATCAACAAACTCATCGTTTTCACCCTCTTGAACAGCATCAAGAACGAAGTCAGACATTACTTATTTCAGAAGAAAGGGGTGGACATGTGATCAACTTAAACAACAACGGAAAGGATAAGAAATTTAGATCATAAAACTTGTAACAATTAAAAAAAACACTTTCGTACATAAAAAATTGAGCATATCTAAAGCGCATATTTTTTACAAAATTAGCATTAATTAGAAATGTGTTAGATTGAAAGTCAGAAAAATGTAGGAATAATGATCTAGCGCAAGGCACGTGAGGAATTTAACACGCTAAAGGTTACAAATGAAAAGTGATTGTTATATATGCTGTAGGAGGTTTGCCTAAGCATCAGTTAGAACTAGAATAATTAAATGAACATTAAAATAACTGGGTTTGTATTATTTATGCCAAAATTTTACCTATCCATATTGAAGCTGTAGCGGCCAAAAACATTCCATTGGGTGGTAAAAGGCAGTAAGCGAGGCTGGATACATGTGTTCCGAAGGAAACAGGAGAAGACAACATGAGCAGGATCCGAAGGAGAGCCCAAGTGGACAAGGATAAGGTAAAAACCAAAGTGAATGCAAACGTCATGTGATCACACAAACAAAGTATCAGACTGCTCCCCTCTGTAGCGTCCCGAGGCTTCCAATGGGGTAGTAGAAGGCATAAGTGAGGTTGAATTTATGTATTCCGAAGACAATATGAGAAATGGGTCCTGAGCGTGGCCCGAAGGCCAGCCCACGTGTACAGGGACCAGACAAGTTCTAAAGTGACCGCCATACATCATATAGTCACATAAACAAAGCATTACACTGCCTCTATCTTCTTTTGAGCGACGTCATCGGCGCTCCCCTTTGGTAAGCCTCCTGCTCCAGCCATCACAACACATTCGGGACTACAAGAAAGCATCCACGAGCCAACTGCGCCAGTCGACAGACAACGCGAGAGCGAGGAACCGTACCTGATCTTCTTCGCAGCTTCAACTGGATCAGGAGTTCCGTTCGGTCTGACAACCAGATTAGGGGACTCCTACATCTGTCGACCATCAATTGCTTCAAGGAATACACGGTGGAACTCTGGTCTACAACAGATATGTTACAGGGATAAGGGGACGGGCCATTGTCCTGTATTCGAGGAGATCCGTTGTTTCCTTTCCGATACCTAAACACGGGTTCTGTATGGAAAATTCCCACACGAAACTTTTACAGATATTTCACGGCGGTGTCGCTTCACTTGTTAATAGCTTGTTTGTGAAGGGTCCAGGGATCCTCCGTCATCAAGGTAAATGCGCCCCCTTCAATTCACGTCCCTTTTTCGCCTGTATCTTTATCTAGTGCACTTCGATAGATAGAGTCAGACTTCCTTCTACGCAGGTATAGCTCATGAATTCCAGAATGCGCTTCTTAATTTTGGATTTCTCCCCAAAGAGGCAGAATTCGTTTGCAGTCTGTTCTGCTGGTTGGATTATAACCTTCATGTCGTGAAAATAGGGATTTCTACTTTCCGGCCGAGGGAACCCGAATTTGGGGTATCTGCATGTATTGAGCCAGTGCATCATCCGATCGAACCGTTGCTCTTCGGTTTGTTCGTATTGTTCTTTTCCGGAAATCAGTCGGCTAATTGGCAAAGTTTAGCAAGGCAAACGTAGGATGTCAGTAGCACAGTGATGACTGTTAAGCAACACATTTTCCCACACACTGTGTCGCTTTCAAAAGCACCTTATACCTAAAAGTCGTCAAAAAGATGTTGGGTTCGCTTTCCGCTGCCACCAGTGTAGCGTCTCGAGGCTTCCAATGGGGTAGTGGAAGGCAAAAGTGGGGCTGAATACATGTATTCCGAAGGAATTAAAGAAATGGGGCCCGAGGGTGCCCCGAAGTCCACCACATGTACAGGGCGCACAAAAGTCATAAAGTGACCGCCAAACGTCATATAGTCGCAAAAACAAAGCATTTAACCTATCACAACAGAAAGGTTATATCAAGAATGTTAGAATGATGAAACCGGAAAGTGAACTTGAAGGAGAAGGATCCACCCATTCGATGGTGGTCGTAGAAGAAGAGGTTGAGCAAGAGAAGTG